TTTTTGTTTGTTTATCTTCTTGTGATTTTTTATATTTTTTAAATTTTTTTATCGATTTTGATGGTTATTATATCGTTAGAACTGACGAGGGTCAACCCAGACCGAAATATATTTTCGATAAATGTGGAACTAACATCTACTTTTTACTCTACAGTGGTTTGGTCCATCACCATCACCGAATTTTAAGTCTTTTTCATTATCAGGTGTTACTTTTTAAAAGTAGTTTCCTTTTAATTTTGTATTTTCCAGGGGAGCAGGGCCTCCCCCTGGAACTCCCATGGGGGGGGGGGTAAGAAGACTACTGCCCCCTTAGGTACGCCACTGTGCCTGGCCTGAGGAAGGGAAATGCAAGCAGATGTAATATTAAAAGAGCCTCCCCCCAGACCCCCCATGGGTGCCCCCTCTCAGCCTCTCAGGGAAAATGTAAAGATGTTTTTGGAATCTTCTTTTAAAGATCTAAATAACTAAAACATGAAAAGTAAAGTTTTGAAGATAATTAAATAATTATGAATTACCAAAGTTTTTTAGATTTTCATGTTTTACAGGTCAACCTGTACAAAAAAAATCAAAAATTTAATTGAATATCATTTTTTCATGAATACAATCAAGTTTTGTTTTGACAAGATCCTTCTAAAACAACTTCACTAATAGTTAATGGTCTCGTCACTAATGGGTTAAGATAGATATTTTGCCTGCTTTCTTTCCCTTAAGTGCTACAGAGAGAAGCTATTTGAATCCAACAAAACAAACTGAGAGGTATATTATAAGATGTAGAGATCTGAGTTTAATGCTTTGCTGTAATGGTTCATTAGAATCATTCATATAATAAAAGGAGGGAAAGGATAGGTTTTCAAAATACAAAAAAATTGATTAAAACCCTTTCATTTCACAATGATTTCATGCCAATTTTCTCCCTTTTTTTCTTTCATTTTTCGCTTCCAATTCTCTTCCTATTTTCCTTTCCTTCTTTTTGTTTCTGATAGTGTGCCCCCCTGTACCCACCCTTCGGGGGTTTAAAGGAGGGGCATGTGCCCCTAGTATCTAGATCGATTGAAATGCTTTTCCGGTTCATTAGATTTAAATGTATTAAAATCCCCAAACAAAAATTATTAAGTGTATGGCCAAGCCATATTTGAAATAAATATAAGTTTTATGCTATAAATCCATTTTTATAACCCCACCCCTGCCCCCGTTTATATCCCCATTTTTTAGGTGGGGGGGGGGGGTGGACAGAGAATATTAAGAGTTGTCAAATAAAGGTTCAGAACTTTGAATGTTTCTGTTAAAAATCATGTTTTCATCAAATTATTTGCTTTTCCATATTTAAAATTATCGGGTAATCTGGGTAAAATTGAAAGGATTGAAATATAAATAAATTGGAAAACTTGCTCAAAAACATGATTACAATGACCTTATTTAAAAACTTAAGAGTAATATTTCTTTAACTAGGAGAAAACATGGTTCTTGGATTGGATCCTCTGCAAGCTGAATCAAAACATAAGAGAATAAAGAAGAGTAAAGATGGGTCTCCATGTTCTCAAGATTCTAATCTAAAGGGACGTGTTGACAGTAAACACAAACCAGTGAGACATCCTTGTCCTGAATGTGAGTACACAGCAACTAGACCAATTCGCCTGAAGCTTCATGTTGAAAGTAAACACAAAGGAGTGAAATATCCTTGTTCTGATTGTGACTATATTGCAACTCAACCAGGTTACCTGAAGAATCATGTTGAAAGTATACACATAAGAGTGAGATATGCTTGTCCTGAATGTGAGTTTACTGCAACTAGAGCAAGCAACCTGAAGATTCATGTTGATAGTAAGCACAAAGGAGTGAGATATTCTTGTTTTGAATGTGCTTATGTTGCAACTACACCAAGTGTACTACATAAACATGTTAAAAGTAAACACAAAGGAGTAAGATATCCTTGTGCACAATGTGAGTTTGCTGCTACTACAACATATGGTCTTAAGATACACTTTGAAATCAAACATGAAGCAGTGCGGTATCATTGCCTTGAATGTGAGTATGCTGCTACTACAGCAAATAACCTGAAGAGACATGTAGAGATTACGCACAGAGACTTGAAATATCCTTGTTCTCAATGTGATTTTGCTGCAACTACAACACGTGATCTAAAGAGACATGTTGAAGGGAAACATGAAGGAGTGAGGTATCCCTGTCCTAATTGTGAATTTACTGCATCAAGAGCAGGAGATCTAAAGATTCATGTAGAAAGTAAGCATGAAGGAGTGAGGTATCCTTGTTCTAAATGTGAATTTACTGCAACTAGAACAGGAGATTTAAAGATTCATGTAGAAAATAAGCATGAAGGAGTAAGATATCCTTGTCCTAAATGTGAATTTGCTTCAACTTCAAGACAAGGACTGAAGAAACATCAAATAAACAAACATTAAATATGGTCGTTAGATATCAATTATCAATATTTTTTTAACTTATTTAAATACACTAATAAGGAAACTTACTTAAAATGCTTAATTTATTTAACCAATCTGAGGCCGAATTTAAAGAAATTGAGTCGCGGCTCCACTTAAAATTGCATCAATGTTCTAAGATTTAAGCCGGTGCTCAATTTAAACTGTTATTTTTGCGGATTTGAAACGCGGCTCAAATTCTTTAAATTCGGACTCTGGAAGACACATGATGGGTACTATAAATTGACATGAAAGTCAATTCTTTGAATTTGGTTCAATTTCCATCATGTCGAAAGCGTAGTAAATGCTAAGTATTTTATTATTTGTGGTTTTCCTTGTAGATTACCATTATAAAATATTCAGTGATTTTTATCTGGAATAAGCTAAACTTTATTCAGATACAGGGTTGCACAGTCTGTAAAGACGACCTAAAACTCTAAAAATATGACGATGTCGTATTCAATTGCTATGTATTTATATATGTGAGATTTGCTTTATTTTGGGGCATTCTTTTCAGTTTGGGGCAAAGGAATTGAGTTTCTGTCTCAAAATCAATTTTTTAAATTCCTATATCTTTGCCACCAAGTATCGTAGTCCTTTAATATTTCAAATTATAAATTATGTTAGATAAGATAGTCTAAGTTTAAAATATCAAAGGTCTACACCAACAGGTTGCGAAGATATTAGAAATTAAGACTTTGTTTTAAGGGCAAATTTATTTTTTTAGTTTGGGCAATTTTGTGTATGGGAAATCTTCAATCTTTATTTTGGGGTCAAATTTTTTTATTTAAGGGCATTTTCAAAATATATGAAGAGGCTTTTTTAATCAAATGGTAATTTTTTTTGGTCGGGGTAAAACTTCTTTACTTTGGAGTACAGCCAAATCTTTAAAAAAGCATTTTTTTAAGATTTGGCTGTACATTTTAAAGTTGGGTTTTATTAAAGAACATTTGGGGATGAATAAAAAATTAAGTGCAAATTAAAAATATTTGGCGGCACTCTTAAAAATTAAAGGTTACAAATGTTGAAGAAAGGGGCAAATTAAAGTCTGGTGTGGCAATTTGAATAAAAATTTGTGAGTGTAATTTTAAAAATCGAATTGGGGGGCATTTTTTCAAGAAACGGGCGAAAATAAAAAGAATCTGAGCTTATATTGAAAAATACAGTGAATTTGAGTTTGCTTTACGAATGAGGGTAGGTTTAAAATGAGGGGAATTTTTTTTTAATTTTAAAGAAAATTAGCTATTTTTGGAACTATATGGACTTCTTGCTTCCCTCCCTGCAGGGGGGGCAAGCCTTCTCAATTGTGGGGCTCCCCCCCCCCCTTAGTCAGACTATGTAGCAGAATCTTTGTAGAATTTATAAAGATTTTAAGGATCCATTTGATTTGTGATGCGGGTCCTTAATCCGCATTGGGAAAAATGGATCCGGATCCGGGTCCATCTAGGCCATGGACATTTCTTTAAGATTTACTGATTTTTTATTAAAAGAAAAATTTTAAATTTATTTTGTCTTTTTTTGTTCACTCATCTTTATACTAAAACTTGATGAACCTTAAATAGATATGGAAATATTTGATAATCTCTCTTTTTCTACAGTTTAGGTTTGGATTTTTAAAGCAAAAGATTTTTTTGCAGTTATTTTTTTTAAATATTTTTACCCTTAGATTCGGATCCGTGGATCAGAATATTTTTGCGGAGCTGGATCCGGATCCAGGAAGCCAAAATGTTGCGGATCCAGATCCTAAGCACTGTAATTTTTTATAAATGTATAGAATAAGGATATTGATCTGATGAGCTATCCAATCAAAATTTGAAGCAAATCGGTCAAGAAGTTCATGAGTTATGAATTATGATCAAACATACAAACAAACAGGTCCGCAAAAAGAGAATACTACTTAATATATATAAATACATAAATCAAAGTTTTGTCAGAAACTTTCAACACGTTAATGAGACTAACATTATAACCCAGCTATACTTGGAAGATTTGAAAACTTTTCAAACCAAGCAAAGAATGGTCCCGGTTCTCGTTAAAATATTAAAATTTGATGATTTGGCTATTGAAACATGACAGAAGCAAGACCAAATAAAGGTCGTATTTGAACATTGATATAACGAATATTACGAATTGGCATTTCCAAAATGTGGTCTGCCTATGTTGTGCTTTCAATATTACCGGAGATATGAAGAATTTGCTTAGATTTTGACAATTTGGGGTTTACTCTTAAAAAGTAAAATTCGAACGAGATTCTTAATATCTTCGGTAATATTGACAACACAAAAAAGGCAGACCACATTTGGGAAATGCCAGGATTAGGGTAATTTTTCGGCTTTATTGTTTCAAAAATCATAAAAGGCAGGTTGACGACTTAAAGCATAGATTGATTAAAATAAAAGATGGGATGGGGGTTTTCGTTCACAATAATACTGAGGCCCATAGGAGTCACGCGCATTCGCCGTAGATCAGGATCTATCTCTCTGTAGTGGTGATGGTGGTCGAGTTGTGGTGGTCCACTGGTTGTTGTTCAGTGGTGGTGGAGGGGTGGTCAAGTGGTGGTTTGGTGATCTAGTAGTGGTCGAGTGGGTTAGCGTGCAAGCTATATTCAATACACATATAAAGTAATTAGTAAGAGATATATTTTAACCAATTTTGTTGACATAAATGTTTTGATTTTAGTACGTTCATTGTTTTCATTTTAGAACTGTTCAAAAATGTTAATTTTTAGGATATTGTTAAATATTTCCAGGTAAAAATATAGTTTAATGTTTTTCTATATAGTTTCTTATCTACTATAATAAACACCAGTAAATTGTATCAGTAATTTTAATGTGGAAGAAAATAAATGTTTTTTAAAAACTTCTGATATGAATTTATTGGTCAATGCACTGCAAACAATTAATTGGAAAAATTGCAGGAGACTGCATTCTTTTACAGTTTTGCAACGCAAGGCAACGTTTTTTTATTGTTAATAAGAACTATTTACTGGACATTGCAAATTAGTTAATGATGTTTAAAGAAAGTCGAATTCGAAATTTTGCTATAAAATATGGGCAGAGATAGATTTACTGCGTTAAATCTAATCTCTTTAATCCTGTACCTTAAACTTTAACTGAGCGATAAATACGTAATACGATTGTTTTAATCATGTGATATCAATAACATCGTAGGGATTAAATTATGTCAATTCCTGTTCACCTTGTAACCTAAGCTATTGAATAAAGTTACTTGATTGAGACTCGGCTTTGATTACGTTATCAGAAACATATTAAGCTTTGCCCAGAACCGGGAACTCTTGTATTGTTAATATATTTTCTTAATCCTATAGATTAATGTATTCTTTAAAGTCTAGGGATGGGCAGCTCTTTATTTTTCAAAACAGTCGTTTTCCTGTTCAAGTGTCCACTTGAGAAAAACGAAAGAAAAACTCATTTTCATCAAAAACAAAAACCTGTAAAAAAATTGTTTTTCATTCCAAAACAGAGAACTTAACGAATTCGTTTTTTGTTTCAAAACTGAAAACTGAAAAAATCGTTTTTCTTTCCAAAACGGAAAACTGAAAGAATTCGTTTTTCACTTTAAAAAGAAATACTAAAAAAATATTTTTTTCTATCCACGAAGGAAAATTTTTTTTGGTTTTAAAACGGACAATTCTAAACGAATTTTTTTTCGTTACAAAATTGAAAAATTTAAAACAGAACACACACACATGACGTTTCAGCACCCTGGGTATAGTGCACCTTCACCCTTCACTAAACATTATACAGGATATTACACCTTCAACCTTCACTAAACATTATACAGGATATTACACCTTTACCCTTCACTAAACATTATACAGGATATTACACCTTCACTAAACTTATACAAGGTTAATAGACCTTCTCCATATGAATTGACTAAATATTATTTAACAAGAATAAAAGTTCAAGGTCTGACTTCAAGGATATTTCTAAAAGTACATGTCAACACCTGTTCAAAGCATCTGTACAAGCAGAAAAAAGTGAGAGTTCACTGCTGTGACTTAAAAATTATTTTAAGAATTATTTAGAATATTTAAAAAGCACGTTTTCTTGTATTTACCATCATTTAAAAATGATATGAATATTTGGAATGAAGAAATCGAGTGTTATTCCTATTTAAAAATTTATCTAAAACAAAATGTATTTAACCAACCGATTTTGACTGTTTACTGCAGAACACCCTCTTACTATCAGTCTGAGTCTGTAGATGAACATTGGAATAGAAAATATTAAAGAGACTGTGAGTGAAATTTTAAATAAACCACTATGCTAAGATGCCAATGGCCAAATCGTTATGGTGCCTTTGAACCTTGATCGTTATGGTGCCTTTGAACCTTGAACATTTTTATTTCTATCTTTCCATAGTTTTCCTATAGATTGATAAAACTGAGCAAGATAATTTCCTCTAGTATAGCAAATTGACAAAAGAGGAAATTTAGCTTGGGTTGAACTCAAGAGCACATTTACCCAACATATGGTTTAGAGCTGGTTTTCCAAATTAGTTAACATATTCAAATCTAGGAATTTAAGTTTCAGATTACTAAACTTTAGTGAAAATCAAAAAGAAATTAACTAAAAATAAAACTAAATGTATAGATTACTTGATGAGATTTTAAAATCAATTTTTTCTCAACACTTCTTGTATATATATATATATTTAACAAAAAAGATTTTTTTTAATTTTCTGAAATTATCCAGATAAAATATTATTCTATTCGAAACTATAAAGGTTTATTAGACTTGAAAAATAAATTGATTAAATTACAATTACATTTTAGATAAATAGCAGCTTATTCTTCATAATCATATTCATCATAATATTCATTGCTGAATGAATACTCATTATCATCCTCCTCATTGTTCAAATCAACTTCATCTGATGCCTCATTGTCATCATCCTCTACATCTTCAGCATCATTCTCATCTTCGGCATCATCCTCATCCTCCTCATCTCCAGCATCCTTTTCATCTTCAGCATCTTCTGCATCCTCATCATCACTAGCATCATCATCATCCTCAACATCCTCATCATCCTCAACATCTTCACTCTCATTATTCTCATCCTCTATGTCCTGCTCAGCTGTATCATTTCCAATTTCTACAACTTCATCTTCCTCCATTAAAATTGAATCAGCACTGAGAGAATCAGCAATTTCTTCTTCATTTCTGAGGCTACTTGAAAGCGAGAATGCTGACACAGAGGCTACTAAAAAGAGGGGCAACAACAACTTCAACAGCCTGAAACAAAAGACAGATTACATTTTGAGAAATGGATAAACAAATTCTAAAGAAAAAGCAAAGTGTATTTTTAGGAAGGAATTTACTTACTGCATTATCAGGCTTCTAGTTGCTTCCTGTTGGAGAAGATTATCAAGAATAAAGCTGGACTGATAATCTTACTCTTCAGGTTTCATTATTTAAACAAAATGTATTGAAACACAGGTGGAAAATCTACACATCACTACTGTCTTGTTGGAACTATAATTGCTACAAATCTGGAACATTCTAATTAGCACAATGCCATCCAGTGCACAATTAACACAAATTTTAAAAATATCTGTGCACAGGAAAAAACTAGTGTTTCCAGGTTAGTTTCCAGGTTAGTTTCCAGGTTAGTTTCCAGGTTAGTTTCCAGGTTAGTTTCCAGGTTAGTTTCGCAAAAATATCAGAATGTCAAATACCAAATGATAAAACATATCTTTATATGATCGTAAACATGTACGCCGCTAAACAGTTAAGACAACTATTTTTTCAAATATATCAATTTTATACAGTTTTACAGTCAAGTGAACTTTAAGTTTAAGGTATTCTTAAACAAATTTTTATGATAAAACGTCTGTAAAATGCAAGCTCTCTCTTTCACGCAATCTATTTTTCATCTCTTGTATTTTCCATTCTTCTCTTCTATTTTCTTCTCTTCTCCTTTCTTCTCTTCTATTTTCTTCTCTTCTCCTTTCTTCTCGTCTACTTTCTTATCTTCTCCTTTCTTCTGTTCTTTTTCTTTCTCTTCTCTTTTCTTCTTTTTTTTCTCTTTTCTTTTCTCCTCTTCTCTACTCTTCTCTTCCCTTATCTCTTTTCTTCTCTTCCCGTATCTCTTTTCTTCTCTTCCCGTATCTCTTTATCGTCTCCTCTTTGTTTACTCTTTGTTGTTGACATTTAACCGGTTTTGAGATGAACAATGCAGTACGATCCGTTGTTATGATTTTTCTCTGCGTTTGTATTCCATAATTAGGCATTTGATCATTTGCCATTTGATATTCTGATATTTTTGCTTAGTTTCTATATGGGACAAACCCTGATATTGAAATTTGGCCATTGGCTCTTTACAAGTGTGAATTATTAACACATTTCTAAATAGGATCCAGATTTGCACTGTCTGATATAATGGCGCAAATACAGCTGTAAATAGGATCCAGATTTGCACTGTCTGATATAATGGCGCAAATACAACGACTCAAAAACATTCTTTTAAAAGCAGCGCCATAAATAGACATGCAAAGGGAACCAAGACAAAAGAGAACCTGCAGCCATTAGAAATTATCAACTATTTTATAAAAATTATAAAAAAAATAATTATAAAACACTGATGGGACTAAGCATTGATTTCATTTGAAATTAAAAATATGTGGCACATTTTGAAATTAAAACATAAGTTATTGGATCTTTTATCCTAGATGTATTGATCCATATATGAAGTTTTAAATTTTAATATTTACATTGAATAGTTGACTGTAAAAAAGTAAATGTGGTTACTTGTAAACTGTATAATGCTTTAGCTAACAGAGACTAAACCTATGGAACTAATTTAATGATAAGCTTGGTTTATACAGTGATAACCAGAAAACTCTGGAATTGGAAGACGACTTTTAGAGTCAAGTTTTAACTTTAAAAAGTTCAATGACGACGAAACACAGCAATTTTGCAGTTGAAAAAGACCCATTTCAAAAAAAAGTGATTTTATAAGTGTCTGGTAAAACCATTTGCTTTGTAACAACATCAAATACACTAAGTGCTCCTATAATGTCGTCTTCCTATTCCATTGTTATTTGGTTATTACTGTATTAAAAAAAAATCTTCAAATATAGGAATCGTTTTCTAATTTAGGAGTTATGATCTTTTTGTATCAGAATTGAGTTCTTATGCATAAAACGAAGATTCAAATTCCAATAATTACAGAATATTCTCTTCTAAATTAAGAATCTGATATCAGGAATGAAATGAAATCACATTCTGAAATTAAGGTAAAGGATATCCTTGAAAGTCAGAAAATTAGATTACTGTATAATTTTTACTTTATTTTTCGTCGTCGTTATTTGATAATTAAAAAAAAAACTAATTCTGAAAACGTATCCACCCCCAAAGTAGGAGTTTTAAACGTCAAATTTGCGCTCAAACTTAGGATTTACAGATATTTAAAAAGTTTAATATGTCTCCAATGTATCCGAAAGAAGTTTTCCACAACACTCAGTTCAACTATCTTACATAGCTGGTCACTCCCTTTAACACAAGTGACTTCCGCATTTATGCTTAAGAAACAATGGATGAAATTATAAGAATTATACATGTTTTTATAGTAAAACGAAATTTCAGTTGAAGGTTTCAACTNTTTCATCTTTGCTTTTCTATCCTTTCCTTGCACTTTACTCCATTCAGACCCTTCGCTTTCTTTCGAATTCTCCAACTTCTCCAATTTTTTTACTAAATCGCTTATAAGACCCATGTCTATTTTTGTGTCAGTCATTTTGAGTCTAGTAGAAATATTTTTTACTGGAAACCTACAGTGCAATGCATTTAACTGTAGAAAAGTAAGAAGACTGTTAGACTCCTGTTTGTTTATATAGATGAGCATGAGGCATAGCAATTATCAGTGGATATAATTTGAATTGAATTTTATTCTAATAATACAAGTATAATCTTTATAAATATTTTAAACACATGTGAAAAACATTAATAAAATGCATAAATATAAGTAAATCTTTGAAAGCATAAACACTTCTGTCTTTCTGTATATACGCTTTAAAAATTCATATTCTAAAAAAAAACATGAATTCTAAACATTTATCTTGGCTTGGCAATGAAAAATACATCTTTTTTTCTAAATAATTTAATCCTTTACACTGTAAAGCCATCCAACCTTTTAAACTCAGACGTCTAAAAACCTAGTAAAAATCAACTCTAAGCTAGGCCCTTGTGCCTTTTCTATCGACCAATAGGATACCAGAATTTGAAGTGCAACCCTTTTTTAACCAATGGAACCATGTACAGCGAGGCTAAATGTTAAAGTACTATTATATATATTCTGTGCGCAAACTGCAACCCATTGTGATTTAGTATAATTACCATGTATTTATTACGTATTGCCTCTCTACTCTAAGCTTTTGTACCATTAACGAGTGAAATAACTCTTCTGACAGATAAAAAGAAAATTTTTTACTCTTGTCTTTGTAGAGTCTATGATCAAAGAGTTTCGTTTTCTTAGTATACTGTGCTCAGAAATCTCTCTGCAAATTTTTCAGTGGACGCTGAGAAAGGTGTCTACACATAGGAGGGAGGGAAGGCCAAGCGACCCCAGCCCCATGATCAATAAGCTAGCCTCTTTTCTTAGCTACAGTACCCATGGCCAGGGTACTATATTAAGAAATAGGAATAACAAAGAGCTAATGTGTCTAAAACTAATCCGATTTAAAATCCACTTCACTTTGCGATCAGAGCCCTTTCTGGAAGGGTCCTGCTCCTAGCTGATAAAAAGAGACAACTCTGCATTCTGCATGCAGCGCGGCAGTGAACACTAAATGCGATACTACCTTTGGAATTCCGCTGAACTGGGAAACAGTATAACATGCGGACTAATGGAGTGTTTTTTAACAAACCTATCCTGATACAGTTCTCCTCAAACCTTTATCCTCATCTCTACTCTCCTCTACCTACTATCTAACCTTCTCACAAGCAGCAAAATAAGACTCGAGGACATATCACTGTTGTAACCTACAATAAAATTACCTCTGAGCGGATCACTTGATTATCCTTCATTGAATAGCAACCCTCCTTGTATAGGAAGTTAAAAATGTACGGTTCATATGGCAGGGAAGCATTACTCCCTTGCTGCATATAGAAACTAAATAACTTAAAGTTCTAAGAAAGGTGACCTAGAAAATGCAAGTAGACAGAATGTGGAGCTGAGGCTACATTTACAATTGAGCAAAACAAACAAACAAAAAACGGAGAGGGGGAATCCATAAAATGAAAAGGTGATTGTGCACTGTCTTAATGGCGAATAGACAGCAACTTGTGATGAACATTCTTTCGACATGGAAGGGCAAAGGGAAGCAAGAAAAAGAGAACCTGCAGGCGTGCAGATGGAGAGAGGAGAAAAAAGATGAACAGTTAAAATTATTAACTATGCTTAGTAAATTCGACGTTCAAAACTCCTACTTTGGGGGTAGATACGTTTTCAAAATTAGGTTTTTAAAATTAATAAATTACGACGGAATAATAGTAAAAAAGTTCTACAATAAACTACAGACGTCATGTATAGGAACATGTTGAGAAAATAAAAATTAATCTTATCATCGAAAATAAGTAATCTTGTTCAATTATTAGTTTCTATTTTCTCATTATTCTGGTTTCTCATTATTCACAAAGATTTTCTGCAGATTTTCTAGAATTATTATTGAAATGGCGACATTTGAAGAATTTGAAGAAATATGCGAATGAATTCAAAGAAAATAAGAAATTCAATATAAAAATGAAAACAAAATAATCGATTTTAGCATTGATTTATTGACAAATTTCTTTTGAGAAATATGTTTCTAACCATCTAATTAGATTACTGTATAATTTTTACTTTATTTTTCGTTTTCGTTCTTTAATAAATAAAAAAAACTAATTCTGAAAACGTATCCACCCCCAAAGTAGAAGTTTTAAACGTCAAATTTGCGCTCAAACTCAGGATTTACAGATCTTTAAAAAGTTTAATATGTCTCAAATGAATGAATCCGATTGAAGTTTTCCACAACACTGCATACTCAGTTCAACTACCTTACATAGCCGGTCATTCCCTTTAAAAAAAGATTTTAAACTAAAATTCAAATGCCGTTATGTTCTACATATTCTACATTTTGATTGGTATTACTGAATATAAGAAACTAGGCTGTCTTCTATTTCAATTGTGAGCATTTTCTCTTCGTACACAGTGTAAAACAAAAACAAACAAAAATTTAAGGATTTCATAAAAAAATTTGGCGAAAATATATTTGAATTTTCGCGAAATTTTCGCAATTTGTAAAAATATATTCGCATTTCACATTTTCGCAAAATTTCCCTTTGTTTTTGCTTCATTTATTTACGCAAAATTTTGAAAAGGTTTGCGAAATGCGATCGAAAATTTTCCGAGAAACATTTCGTGCACTGGAAACCCTATGTGTCAGTCAGATGCTACACAGAATGGCTCCAGTAAAATCTCAAAAGAAAAAATCTAACAGACCTAAGAGCTTGTTAAGCTTTTGTCAGTTGATATGACAACTAATAACATCCTGAAATACACAATACACCTCAACCCAAAAATATTAGGTAAATATTTAACTAAATTAGTTTTTTTGTCAACACTTTGTTGCAAATGTCTCTGATCAACACATGTTTAAATGGTATAAAACTGGAACAGAACAGGTTCATTAGTCTAGTCTATCAAGATGAACAGTTCTGATCACAGGGTTTAGCTTGACGGCAGTTTGTATTTTTTAAATAAATTTATTGGATAGTAGACACTTTAAATACAGAGTGTCCCAATAAACATGGGAATTCAGTGACGAATTCGATATCGTCTTTTCAAATAATTCTTTGATTTAGTATAGTGATACCTACTGAGAAAGCTGTAATCTGTAAGAGTTTCGTCTGCTATGTTCACATTTTGTTTGTTTATGTTTTGACTGCAAAAGGTTGTACTTAGCAAAACAAGAAAATTGCAGTTTACAAACAGAGTAAACTTGTCCGTCTTCACTGTTCATCTTGCGGAGACATTATAGACACATTTTTACACATCGTTTACCCTTCTCATAAAATAAACTCTAGCAGACATAATAATATTATGGCTTTTGAAATTAGGTATTACATTGCTAATTCATAACAAAGACGATATCGAATTCGTCACTGAATTCCCATGTTTTATGAGACACCCTGTATTTTAAAGATAAAACTACAAATGTCAGATTTGTTGAAGTTCAGACAACAATAAGATAAGTAAGGAAAAGGTAAGGTTGCTAAAAAAAAGGACTATTAAATGTTGATTGCAGATAAAAAGATGTGGCAACAGCTTATGTGTCTAATTGTGTCTTGCAACTACAACAATAAGGAAATGTTCACATTTAATTTTTTCCTATACCACATTTTGCATTTTAAAAGAACTCCTGCAATTTAATAAACTTAAAAGTTTTGAACATTTATCTTTTTAGCTGCACATCTTATCGGACAGGTAATTTAAATGATATTTTGTCTTTTTATAGTATGCATAAATTCAGTCATTTCCACCTAATTACATGAAAATCTATGATATAAAAAAAGATCAAATTATTGAAAGGTTATGCTTTACTGTAAATGTCACTTTCACTTTAAAAGGTGGTCAATATTAGTGTTGAAGTTATCTAGATTGGATGATGTTCATGTTACCACTGTATTAAATCCACCATTCGTGGCACTCAAACCCAACAGTGAATGATTTATATTTTCCCAAAAAAATTATTCCCCCCCCCCCCACCCTATAGAAAATTGTTTTTTTTCCACAGACATTATATTGGTTAGCGCAGTTTAAGAACTGCCACAAAGTAAAAGAATACTCTATTCTTGCTTTTATTAAAATCAAGGAATTCTGCTGGATATAGTAGTCAAAATTTATAAATATCAAAATGAGAGATTAGTATTTGAAAATTAGACATTAAAGCAAAAAATCTGTTTTTCTGTTTACATGATAATAATGTTATACATTCTAGTGTTTTTTGTATAGATTTGCAGGGATAAACACCCCTGAGCTGAGGAAATGGGGAAAAAATTGATTAGAAAACTAAAATTTGGATTCAACTGGCTTTGTGCAAAAAATCTATGATTAATGTAACTTTCAAGAAATGTTTACCCCCTGTATATTTGACAACACTGCTAGAAATACAGATTAAGTTAGAGATTGATTAGAAAAAATTGATGACTAAGTTTGGTTAATTATCTAATAACAACTTAACATTTGAGATTTTGATTCAGAAAATGATTGGAAATGACAAGTACGAAGGATTTGTACCCGATATGCTGAAAAAACTGACGCAGATCCTAGGAGTGAACTTCTCGATAAATCTAGTCAAAGATGGTAGGTTAACACCGCTATTAATTTTCATAAATAAAACTGGAAAATGGACCTCTTCATTTATCAGTTTTCAGTACACTGATGGAACCAAATTGTTATTAAGGATTATAATATATAAATTGCTTTATCTTAAGTATTCCCGTCTAAAGCGAGTTATATCTTAAAGATACCAAAATGAATCTGTTGTATACATTGAAAGCTTGAAATTTAATATTTTTTAAATCATAGGAAAGTATGGAAAATGCAACCATGGAAACTGTACTGGTATGATTGGAGAAGTAAAGAGGTAAAATATTTTTTGGTTTGAAATTTGTCAGGTTTCCAATCGGAATTCCGTTGCGCGGAATTGTGCACAATGGTTCCTAATCCTTCCGCTTGTGCTATTTCATTGCGCTATAATTGCGAAAAAGGAAGTAACTAAATATTCGCGGAATTGCGTGGAATTGCGTGCATCGGAATTACTTTTCTATCTAAAAATCAATAATTTTAACTGTCCGACTTACAAATTTATGCAGCAGATACAAGAATGGCATTAAATATCTCTGTTGATTTTAAAATAATCGAGGCCCGAGTGTATTTGATGTCGTTCAAGTCAAACAAAATTAATTTAATCACTTATCCCGTTACATGGGTCTGCTTGAGTCTAAACTGTCGTCTTCCCATGCCAGAGTTTCTGGTCATCATGCCGAACATGAATATTATAAAACAAAAGATTAAGTTTAAATTCAATTTTCTTAGCATTTCAGATTGAAATGTTAGTGAAGTTCAGTTTATTGTATGCCACTAACAAAGTTTAAATTGAATTTTTTGTTTTTTTAAGGAATTACGCAATTTCCTTTATTTGCGCGCAATTATTACGGAATTCCGCGATAGTAAAATCCACTTGCGTTGGAAACCCTAGAAATTAGGGTGTCCACAAAAAAAATTCCTGGTACAGTTTATCACACATGGGAATGATTCAGATTTTTTTTCCAATGAGGAAAAAGTTCCTGAATTCCTTTGCGTTTTTTTTTGCAATTGAGTGCAAGTAAAATCCAATTATTTACCATTTAAAAAAAAAGAAAAAATGAGAAGATATAATGGAAACCAATATTCTGCATTTTAGAATATTTCCCTGGATAATTACATTCCCAAAAGAGGATTTATTTTCTACAGTGAAACCCCTAATAACGAATACATCGAAGGAATTCATCAAATGTCGTATTCTTCACTTTCTAATAATGGAATGTTGCAGATATTTAGTTTTTTAATTAAATGATTATATGAAACTCTTTAAAACTGTTACCGCATATTCATGGCTATTTATTCATTTTCGCAAATACTGAAATTTACCAAGTATAGTATAAAACTCATTTAAAAATTGTCAAGACCACATTTGATAAATTTTTCCGATGTATTCGTTATTAAGGGTTTCACTGTAGAAAAACGGAACACAAATGTAAAATTAAGAATGATGACACACAATTCTATTTCTAGAGGTAAAGCAGATCTCGCCATAGCTGACATAACTATTTCACCCTTACGGTAATGATAAAGCAGTTTTTTCTGGTCATCTGATTTTCCGTATGGATTTTACAAAGGTTAATGTTTTCTCTAGTGTTCTAAATGTTGACTTCTCTCAGCCCTTTATGACTGGTGGTATCACTACTCTGGTGAAGAACCCTGAACCTAATATTAGAACTGTAGAAGATCTGATAGCAAATGGTAACATGTAGAGCCAAATTAAGACATCTTAAATAAACAATTTTAAATTTCTTAAATCATTTTTAATCAGGATATCGCTTTCTATCCTATTGCTGTGGATCAACTGAAAGATTTTTTAGAACAAGCAAAGTCAGTCTTCATGAAAGGTAAGACAACTGATAATGCGTTAATTGAATTAAAATCTATTTCATCATTTAAACCTTTTTTTACTACTAATAAACAATAATAAGGATAGCAAATAATCTGGTAAAAGTGGACAGCAATTCAGAAGGAGTTGACAGGGTATGTTGATCAACATTGATGATTTAAATACCTTCAAGAAAGGTTACACTGCACTTTTGCGATTTGCATTAATTGTACGATTTAAAATTGGAAGAATATGTTAAAAAGTCCAGATATAATTTTAAGTGCAATATTTGTTATAGGTATTAAACTCAGATGAAAAATTAGCTATGCTTATTGAAGAAAGTAGTGCCAAGTGGCATGCTTCTCAGGACTGTAGGTAATGATTGTACAAAGTGTAAAACTTTTTCATAAACTGTAGTTTCAGTAAATAAATGGAATATTTTGTTAAGTAATGGAATTTAACATGCATTATCAACTCCTCTAAATCAAGAAGAACTGCTTTAACAAAATGAAGAAAAAAATTTTAATGTTAATTTTTTTAAGCATGAAATATTAAATAAATATTCTTTTTCTATCAAGTATGTTGTCTTTTAATTCTAATATATATATCAAAGACTAATCATCCTAAACTGCTTTAAATACATTAATTATGCTTTATGGATTAACAATCATTTAAAAGAAGTTAATTTTAAGATTGTACTAAACTAAACATTAAGAATATAAAAATTAACCAGTGTCCGAATTTAATGAATTGAAGCCGTGTCTCAAATCCCCCAAAAACCGGTTTCAATTGAAATCTTGAAGAATTTAAGTGGAACAAGCAAAATTTGAGCCCTGACTTAAATTTAAACCGCGGCTCAAATTCTTTAAAAGCCTTATGTACCATTATTGTATTCAAGCATAATTTTTCTTTCCCATAAATAAATGAGGGTTTAAATTTCTATCAGTGTAATGTTTAGTTTGAAAGTAGTTGGTGAATCAATGAACTCAGTAGGTTATGGAATAGGAATGGCCAAGGTAACCTGTTCTTTCCATTATACTAAACAACTATGTTTTTCAGTATTAGGGGAATATATATATGATATCTGAAAAATTGAAAAATCTTCTTATCATCAAATCATGAATAATCTTATTCAGGAGGATATAAGATACTAACCATAAGCAGTTTGATAAAATCCAAGGATTTGCAATTTCAGTTCCCTGAAAACCCCTCAAAAAACTTAGATATTAAAGTAGCAGAATAGGAAGAGGCTTTCCAGGCCTAATTAATGCACTCATATATTGTCTGAATTCATTTCTAATTGACAACTTATTGATACCACTGATAACAGGGAATTGCTGTCAAAACTGCAGAGGGAGTGTTTGAAGTCAGAACCCTGATAGACCATGCCATTCTTCAAATGAAATATGACTCCACCTTAGAATTGTAAGACTTTTTTTTTAAATGTTTAACTTATTTTCTTGATACTGTTAGTTTAATACTTCTTATTTTAGATTGGAGTCAAAATGGTGGCCTAAGAAGTGTTGAACAAGAATTAGATGATTAAATGAAACTGCTGTAAAAACGATAGATTTATTATTTTTACATTATTACAGAATATAATAAATACAATTTGAATTTACATATTTTAACTATCTTAAAATGTACGAGTAAACTGATACAATCTGAAGTTGAGAAAGTTTTTCACAATCATTATTTGCAAAACAATACCTGGAAAAAAAACTAAATTTTTCTATATCTTATAATCTTGGTTCATTATTTTCTTAGTTCAGAAACATTAAATCTTTTTAAATTTAAGTTTTTAGTCAGATGAGTAAGCTTCCACTGTAAGCACATTTGAAAACAGAATTCTTGTATTAAACTAGATAAACTTAAGCAGTATATTCCTCCACACACCATCAGGCGATTCACATTGAATATCTTCGTCGTTGCCACCTTCTCAGTTCACCTTTAACTAATCTACTCAGGCAGAGAAGTGCAAACACATTAGACAACATCAACATATTAAAAACTGATGTCCAAGATCCATGTCCAGAGAGGTAACCAGCCATAAAGGGTCCAACTGCAGCTCCTACACTACCAGTGCCATCTATGATTGAAGTGACTGTAGCAAGCGCTCTGCTGGATCCCATCAGGGATTTGTGAGTTCCCAATTCTGCAGACACAGCTGTTGTTATTAATGCATATGGTCCATTAACCAATATGCCTACGATTATCAAAAATGCAGTATGAATTATAAAACAAACATTCAATATGGGTACTCCATTGTGTTGAACCAGTGGGCACATAACCGAGAGGGAACTTTCATAATAGAATAAAGTGGGTATTGCCAGAAATAATAATGTTGTGCAAGTTGTAGCACTCATACCTGACTTGTCTGATACAAGTCCTGCCAGAACACCACCAATAATTCCTCCTATATCAAAGTATGTTGACATCATAGCAGACTCTTTAGCATTGACACTGTGAACTATGTTTATGTAGTTAGGAAGCCAATATAAAAAAGTATAACTAACCAATTTGGCAAAAAATAGGCAAAGAGAAAACTCCAGAACACCTGGAATCTTTAAAGCATTAAAAAAGCCTACGGCCTCATCTTTAGGGGATACATGTATTTCAGCATCAGAATTATATGGAGAGTCCAGTCTCGAGCTTGAAGGAGCCCTCATCAATGTTGAAGTTGAAACAGGTCTTGAGTGTAGCTCTGATTTTGAAGAGTATTCATAGGTAGGAGATGAAGCAGGGTTGGTTGTAACTATTCCAACATCTTGAGGATTGGGTACCAGAAACAGATAAATCAGGAATCCAGCAAAACACATCAGTAAACCTGGGATGATGAAGGAAAGACCCCAATTATAGCTTACAAAAGAACCAGCAATTAATGAACCTAGAATGTTTCCAACTGATGTGTGTGAATTCCAAATTCCCATAATGAGACCCCGTTTTCCTTTCCCGAACCAGTTTGCAATTACTGTTACAACACCTAAATAAAATTAAATAATTAATACAATTTAAGTCAGCATAACAAATAAATACAACACAGCAGTCCATTGACATACCTGGCCACCCTGTTGATTGGAAAATGCCTCCCAATATTTGTGCAAAGAATAGATACCAGATACTATGAATGCCAAAGGTGCGAGCAGAACCAAACATAATGGTAAAAAATCCAGACATTATCATTCCTGAAAAAGGTTTTTCATATCTTACAGGGTGTCCCAATAAACATGGGAATTCAGTGACGAATTCGATATCGTCTTTATAAATAATTCTTTGATTTAGTATCGTCATACCTACTGAGAAAGCTGTAATCTTTAAGAGTTATGTTCACATTTTGTTTGTTTATGTTTTGACTGCATACAATTGTACTTAGTAAAACAAGAAAATTGCAGTATACAAACAGAGTAAACTTGTCCATCTTCACCGTTATCTTGCGGAGACATTATAGACACATATTTACAGTCTTTTACCCTTTTCATAAAATAAACTCTAGCAGACATAATAATATTATGGCTTTTGAAATTAGATATTACAATGCTAATTCATAACAAAGACGATATCCAATTCGTCACTGAATTCCCATGTTTATTGGGACACCCTGTATTTAAAAAAAAATTATTCAAGTACGCAGACGCTTGAATGATTAACTACCTGCAGTGAGAAAAATTCTTAGATTCATTCTTTCAGCAATAAATCCACTATAACAATTTAATTATTTGACTTATTTAAAAAAAATTTGTAAACTAAATATCTCTGCTACAAAACCAAAATGACCAGCTAAGTAAACCTAATATTTAAAAGGTAAAGAAATTGCTTTTAATACCCTTGAACTGTATCCATTCCAAAGTTTGTCATTTTTTTACATAATGTAAATTTAGTTTTAAATATCAAAGTGATTTCCTAAAGAACATTGAGACTGCATAAGTTACCAAGTAGCCAGTGTCCAACAATCCTAATGAATTTATGGGGAACTGTTAATACAATCATTAAATTAATTCTAATTTTATTAAAATTAACTGACCTAAGTATGTCATTGAAACATCTTCAGGTTTGCCATTAATTTCAGCAATCCAGGATTTACAAAATTTTCTATAAAGAACTATACAGGTTGACTTCATTTCATGCTGGAATATTTTCCAAGTGATGATTTTTAAATAAACAAAATGCATTATTGCATTAGTTTCAAGATGATTGCAGTTGAAAAATCATATTAACTTAATTAATCAGTTTCAGTACATTATTAATTATATTTGTTTCACAGAATAGGTTCTTAAATAATGGAAATAATTGAACTTTTCCCCCAATTGTAAGTGTCAAAAACTTTTTGACTGATTTATTTAATTTTACAATAATTTTCTGCTAATAAAACACATTATAATGCTTTAAAAGTGTCCAAAAAGATTTTTAGATCAAAGAAAAATCAGCAGACAAGGAATTCTCAGGGATTTTAAGGAGTATTGAATTAAATTTTGCGTGTAAGCATCATTATTAATAATAATTGTTTTAAAATGTTAATATTTAAGAATTGACTTTTCACCTGTCTTCAGAACAATCCAAAAATTCTTTAGAATTTTTAACAACAGAAATTGGTTTCCGAGTCATATGAAATGATGCATATGCCATAAATGTGAGACAGAACACCAATATTCTGTAAGAACATTCTTGATTGGATCTTGATTTTTGAACAATTTTCTTCAGATATATAACTCCTAGATGTTCAGTTAATCAACTATGAAAAATTAATAAAAGAAAAAACAGTGCAATTTAAACAACAATATTAAAATAAAAAATCATAGTGTTATGAGCCCCTGGAGGAATGTCTTTTTTCATGTAACTGTCTAGATTCAGAACTATTAAACCATCATTCAAATAAAGTTAATGTTTAACAGTTTCTTAATAAAAAAGTGGTTTGAAGATAAAATCAAGCTAATACAAGGTTTCTCCCAAAACTAATTAAAGTAAGCTAAGAAGATATTTGTCAATTTAGGAAAATCACATTAGTTACATTTCAATTACGGGAAATATAATTATTAAGAGGTGAAATCTAAACATTGAAACTTTTTAAAAAAATTTTAAAAGTGATTCTATGATATCTCAAGCTAATCCAAGGTTTCTCTCAGAACCAATTAGAGTACAGATAAGAAAATATTTGTCAATACAGGGTGCTTATTTTTAGGTAAACACATTTAAATTATGGAAAACGTTGTTATTCAGAGGTGAAATCTGAAAATTTCAGTCTAAGTCTGTTAATTTAAAGCTATGAGGATGCCTAAGCCATCCCTGCCATAGATAAATAAATAAACATAAATTGCTTATGTACGCAAAATCACCAAGAATCATACTTCTAGGGGTCAAAGTGTACTTCAATGATAAGCGAGGTGGGTTGGTGTTTTAATGTATTTCTTAATAGAGTGTAAAATAACTCCGGGATTGGAACTATTTGAACAACAATATTTCACTGAGCAATATATCATATTGACGAGAACTGAAGAAGGACATGAGAAGGACTAAACTAACTTAAATTTCTCTCTACAGAACTCATGTACACCACAAGTACTCAATGACATAAGAACAGCCAATGTTCACAACCGACCTAGTTAATCTATATAATAGGAATATCTTTAAAACATCTCTGTACATTTATATCTTTCAAGATGAAAAATGTCGTCTTATATCTGTCTTTATCTATGATCCCTGCAAAATTTCATTCAGTTGTTTCAGTTGTTAAACAAAAATCCCATTATTATAGCGGCTAGGAACACCTGTTATATTTAGATTGTTTAAAATTAAATAAAATTAAATATTCTAAGTTCTAAAATAAACTTTAATATTCTAAGTTCTAAAATAAACTTAAATATTCAAAGTTTTAACTGAATTTAACAAAAAGTTGGGTTAAATTATATCATTAGTCCAATTACTAGATAATGACACAGAACTGTAATCCATATCTGACTTACAAAGTCTTTGACTTTCAGTTTTTCAAACTATTGTAGACAAAGAACACTCCAGAAAACACTGATCAGTAGCATATTCAGAGGGGGGCACCAGTTCTCTCCCCCCCCCCCAACTACAAAATTAGGGCTGGACAAAGTTCTGTTAACGATTAATGGAAGAGTCCGTTAATGAATGGCAAAATTAACAGTTGATAACGAAATGGATTGGATTTAAAAAACTTTCATTCTTTTTTTGGTTAAAAACTGCATCAAATTTTTTTTATATTTATTTATGTGATGGAATTTTTAAGGATTTTTTCTGCTATTTGGTGACTGCTTGTGCACTAAATTCAATTTGATAAACTGTTAAGAATTTTGAAGTTCAGGCAAACTGTTATTGCTACAAACAACCGTTAACAGCTTACACCGTTCACAATCTGACAAACTATTAACAATTTGACAAACCATTAACTTCAAACAACCGTTAACGGCTATCACTATTAACAATTTGACAAACCATTAACTTCAAACAACCGTTAACGGCTAGCACTATTAACAATTTGACAAACCATTAACTTCAAACAACCGTTAACGGCTATCACTATTAACAATTTGACAAACCATTAACTTCAAACAACCGTTAACGGCTAGCACTGTTAACAATTTGACAAACCATTAACTTCAAACAACCGTTAACGGCTATCACTATTAACAATTTTACAAACCATTAACTTTAAACAACCGTTAACGGCTAGCACTGTTAACAATTTGACAAACCTTTAAAGAAAATTTCTGAACGGCTAATGTTCGTTTTTCAGGTTAAATAAGATTTTTTAACAATTGAATAAAGACTTTATTTTTTTCAAATAATTATAAATAACTGATAAGATTTAATAATTTGAAAAATATCAAAATTTGACTTTTTTGAATGATGTATTTAACCTAGAGTAGCATCCTTCATGATGTATGATTTACAAGATACTGGAAATTTGAATTAACAAACTAACAGATGTTTTTATTCCTTCTAATTCGTACTAAGAATACAATGGTACCATTTTACACTTCTTGTATAGTTAGACCAGCTGAGAAAATATAATATTTTACTGTGTTCAACTATTTAGATTTCATTTTCTTTTATTATAGAAAACTTCGCTAAATACTTTGTGTTTGCAAATGTCCAGGGACCAAGTCTAATGAATAGTAGAGTTAAGCCCTAAAGGAGCCATACATCGAAAGAATTTATCAAATGTCCTCTTAACAATTTTTCAATGAGTTTTATACTATTTTACGTAAATTTCAGTATTTGAGAAAATAAATAAATAGCCATGAATATGCGGGACCAGTTTTAAAAAGTTCCATATAATCATTTAATTAAAAAACTAAATATCTGCATCATTTCATTATCAGAAAGTAAAGAATACGACATTTGATGAATTCTTTCGATGTAGGACTTATTTAGGGTTTAACTGTAAGAAGTAGTTGACCTACTGAAACAAAGCTGAACCACAATCACACAAGAAAAGTGGTTCAATTTAGTCCACGTAGTTCAGCTACTTTTAGAATTTATTAAATTTTACCCAGCAAGAAATGCAGTCAGGGGTTTATTTTCAGAAATGGATTTCGATGCTCCAGGGAAGAAAAAGTACAATTTACATCACCTACGTACCCTATTTGTACTATTTAACCAAAACTTTAATATTTTGCCCCCCAATTCAGCAAATAGACCCCATTAATGTGTTTCCGTGCAAACATACAATATTTATTTGAAATTATTTCTATTGGAAAAAAAGAGCTTCTTTTTTTAGATATAACATAAGAAACCTCACCCCCCCCCCCCGGCTACCCGGGATCAGGAAGGGATTTAATGAATAAAAAAAGTATTTAACATTTTAATCATCTTAACTTTTAAAAAAATGTTAATTTTACTACGACATTCTTAGTTCAGCTTAATCTGCAGAGTAGGTATTAAATATAAGATGCGGGGTGTCCCATGAAACATGACAGTTGGTAAATAGTTTAGAAAGTCTTCTTCCATAATTTGTTAAGTTGTTATAATACCAAATACAATATTAAAAATATTATGTAGGAGTCATTTTATAGTAAAATTCTTTTCAAAGTAAAATATATTTGAGCAAAAGATTTTCTAAACGAAATAAACTGCAGAAAGCCTTTAATATCTATAATTACAGTGTATGGAAGACAACATTAAAAACTATGTTTCGTGGGACACCCTGTAATTAAAAATAATTTATGTTAGACTCTGAGGTTTTATCAATCGTACATATTAGGTATTTTAGATAGTAACGAAATTTACAAATTTCATGAACGATGAAGAATTTAAAAGAATAATTCAGTGAGCAGAGAGCTCTAATCCTACCTAGAGATTCTTTCTATTCAAGGGAAGGTAAGCGTAATTTTAAGTGACCCTCCATACAAAGATGACAATGCCCGATTTACAACAGTACCCTTGAAACCTTAATCTGATCAAAAATTGTAAGATAACGTCGTTTTACTAACTCGGAAAATGCTTATTTCTGTGAGTTTCTTTTTAGTAGCAAGAGAAATGCGCAAGTCACTTTCGCAGAGAAGTCGGAAAGAAAATAAACAGTTTAAAGAAACAAAAACATGAATATCTAATTCATACTTGATCAGACGAATCAGACAAAGCTTTAAAATATATAAAATCTCGGGAATTATTTGTGGTGTCAAATTTTGTAAATTGTATAAAATAAACATACTATTAAAATAATGTATCTACATAAAGTTTGAATTATCGAAATTTACATCTCCTTGTCACAGCTGATTTGACAGCATTCTGTCTGCTACAGAGAGAAAGCTTGAAAAACAGTCTCTCATTGGTCGAATCAGAACCAACCCTGACTTGGGTTCTATCTAAGCCCGAGTTTGAGTTTTACTCAGGTTTAAGCTTTTAAAGTCTCTTCTTAAGTCAGTCACTTTTTCTTAAAAAAAAACAACGGTAAAAAACACTGCGTTCTATCTAAATGGTACTGTAAATGCAAACAAAACTAGATCTTAAATTACAATAAGAGAGCTAGGAAGATTACATCAAAATGAATTATTGCCTTCTATATGAAACACAAGACAAGTGATACGTACCGCAAATTTTATTTTCAGCAAAAGTTTACAATATTTGAGTTTTATTAGCAAATAATTATCGTCCTAACAATTTTACAATTTTAGCATGACAATAACAAAGAACCTGGTGAGCACTAAACAGATACAAAATCTGATACAAATTTAAATATTAAACTTATTTAAATTATTTTTAATTCAAAAAGTAAGGTCTAAACTGATGACAAGCTCTATTCCTTATTTACATTTGTAAACAAGTTGACTGTAATTATTTTGGTGTTTATGTATAGTTGCCAATCCCGAGAAGTAGTTCCACAATATATCCCTTGACTAAACAATACCAGTTGTGTTGTGATCTACCAGAATATGATCATTATTCTGATACCTAATCTTGTACACAGCGTTCTTTGGTGATACCTTTGTTCCATCCTTTGGTCGTTTACCAACAACTTGACCATTCAGGCAGTAGAAACCACCTTCACAGTTTCCACATGGAGCTTGGACATATTCGACCATACAGGTAATATCCTTCGAGGGTTTACACTTTCTCTTCACCTCTTCACCAGTTGGTCAAGCTTGGTGACTCCAGCATTAGAATTCTTCCATTGCATCTTGGTGACTTCCAACACACTCTTAGTATCTTCCAACTGAACGTTGGTGGTATCATTGGTAGCTTTAAACTTAATCCCTGGTTCTCCCGATTACGACTTGACTGCATTCAGTTCAGAGCATACTTTGTCTTTCTGATCCTCTGCGCTCTGGTTACCTTAAAAAAGGATGTCAATAATATAAACTATAACTGCAGAGATGTTCTAAATAAGTCAGATATTTTCCGATATTTATGTTGGTAAACGGACTAAACGATCACATATAGTTATATGTAGGTGGGAATCAAGGGTAATGTTTATGAACAGGTTGTAAATTCATTGAATATTTACCTGGAGTTTTCTCTGCTACCTGCTTCTCCAGTTTCTTCAATTCTTCTAGAGCTTTATACAGAAGTTGGCCAATAGGAGATCTCATTTTTCTAATTTTCCAAATCTTGAAAGGAGAAAAAATGATTAGTTTTTTTTTCTCACAAAAATGTATCCCGCCATGAATACATGAATACAAAAAATAAGAAGACACAATTACAAGAAATTTGCAAAGAGTATTATGATCACAAAAGTAATCAAAATTACCAAGCTGAACCAATTCAGGATTCTTTTTCAACCAAAGCTATTACAAAGATATAAAAGAGTTGTTTTCTAGACAAGAATGATTACAAAGAAAGTTTATTTTTCCCATTTTTAATTTTAAGTATTAAGGAAACTTTCATAAATTTGCAAAAATTAAGAATATCACTGACAAATAATCGGATTAAAAACAATACTTATAACATCCAGGATTCAAAACTTAGATCTTTAATTCACAGAAGGGATAATATTGAACCATTAATGTTGAAAACTTGAAATTTTAAGTATGTTAATAAACATATAGATTTCTATAGTAGGGATGTTAATAGTATTATCATAGTCAAACTGTTAAGTGAACAATAATACGGAGGCGAGAACGATTAACATAAAGACAGGAGCTTATATTTGAATATTTAATGATTGTTTATTATCAACAAAATATGACCCCTTAACAGACAACATTTGTATTTATTTCTAAATACATACTTCATGGGTTAAGCTTCCACTGTCAGCAGTTATTTACACTTGTAAACAAATAGACCGAAATAATCGCAATATCTGGATCCTGATTTGTTCCACTTAACGACAGGACAATCGTCATGAACAGTATCCACAGTTCCAAAATCACCAGCAACCACATATACTTTAGCATTTTTCATGATGAAGGAGGTATCCTCAACAGCTCTGATCATGGTTCCATGTCCTGGTGTATTAAGAACAACTTGACCATCCAGGCATACTGTTGGTCCTTTGCAGTTTTTACATGGGTCTTTGCAATACTCAACCATCTTAACCATCTTGGCTAATTTCTTCTCAAGCTCAGAAATTTCAGCCTTAGAATTCTCTAATTGGGCCTTTGAGTCTTCAAACTGAATCTTTGTGTCGTCTAATTGGAGCTTGTTGTCTTCTAATTGGAGCTTGGTGTCTTCTAATTGAATCTTTGTGTCTTCTAATTGGAGCTTGGTGTCTTCTGATTGGAGCTTGGTGTCTTCTAATTGAATCTTTGTGTCATCTAATTGGAGCTTGGTGTCTTCTGATTGCTTCTTTACATCATCAAACTGCTTCTTTATATCTTCAAACTGACTTCTATGTTCCTCAACACTCTGAATCTCCAGAAAGAATGAGAATATCAGCAAATACTTTACATTTATATTTATTGAATAGCCACACATGTTAATGCTCACATAATATTAAAAACCTCTTAAATAGACTGTAATCGTAATTTCAAGTGACCCTCCATGCAAAGATGACAATTTTCGATTTACACTGGTATCCTGGAAACCTTTATTTTATCAAAAATATATAAGAAATCATCGTTTTTTTCACTCAAATTGTTTATTTCTGTGAGTTTCTCTCTGTTTAATTGTTGTTCTTATAAACAAGGAATGCGCAAGCCACTTTCGCAGAGAACCCACAAATGAAAAAAACAGTTTAAAGAAACAAAAACATTAATATCTTATTCATACTTGATCAGAAAAAGCTGTCAAGGGTACCGTTGTAAATCAGACATTACCATCTTTGCATGGACATTTATTTGAAAAAATGGAAACAACACCATAATGGAAGATAAAAAATGCTTAACCTGAGCTATATCTATTCCATTTCTGAATCCTGTTCTTAACCCAGAAACAGAAATCTGTGTCATCAGATTCCTTTAGATACTCCAGATAGGATTCTGGAGAGCTGCAGCCCAGGAAACCTAAATAATCATATTATCAATTATTAAGTTTATATAATTTATATTAAATATAAAGGCAAATAATCAGGGGAACAGGGGAAACAAATTTTTATTTTTTTTAAACTGTAAACTCTAATACCTTGAACTTTAACTCGTAGTATATCACAGAGATCTTCAAACAAGAAAGTATTCTCATGCTTCTTTATCCCCTTGAGTATATGAATCCAGTTCTCCTGGTTAATCTTGAAGCTGGAGACGACTTCCTTGATCAGGTTCCTGGATCCACGCAGCTCATACTTGTCTCCCAGACAATACAGATCAAACAGATCATCAATAGAGGATATATCTGAACATAAAGATCAAACAGATCATCAATGCAGGAAATATCTGAACATACAGATCAAACAGATCATCAATGCAGGAAATATCTGAACATACAGATCAAACAGATCATCAATGCAGGATATATCTGAACATGAAGATCAAACAGATTATCGATGAAGGATGTATCTCAACATTAAGATTTGGATCAATGCCCACAAAAAAAGATAAGATAGAAAACTGTACTGTACACTTACAACTGTTTACTAATAATGATAAACTAAAGTTTAGGCCATAATCTTCTTATAATAAATAAATATGCTCTCAGTATAGTTAATAGCCTATACAATTATAAACTATAAACCTCAATGAATTAGACTATTCGATGCCCAAAAAAGGAATGATAATGAAACCCTTTGACAAACTATATTAACTGACTTTTCTCCAATGTACAAGAACTTATTTAAAAAAACTTTTAAAACTGATAAATCGCCTGTGTATAAAATTTCAATAAACTGACCTTTAGTAATTGACTCTTCTCAAGTGTTAAAGAACTTGAAGGATCGATTATCTGACCTGTAATAACTGACTCATCTCCAGTGTATAAGAACTTAATGAGGGTCTGAAAACTAATGAAGGATGGTTTAACTGACCTCTAATAACCGACACATCTCCAGTGTATAAGAACTTAATGAGGGTCTGAAAACTAATGAAGGATAGTTTAACAGACCTGTAATAACTGACTCATCTCCAGTGTATAAGAACTGGATGAGGATCTGAAAACTAATGAAGGATGGTTTAACTGACCTGTATTAACTGACTCATCTCCAGTGTATAAGAACTGGATGAGGGTCTGAAAACTAATGAAGGATGGTTTAACTGACCTGTAATAACTGACTCATCTCCAGTAAAAAAGAACCTGATGAGGGTCTGAAAGCTAATGAAGGATGATTTAACTGACCTGTAATCACTGACTCATCTCCAGTGTATAAGAACTTAATGCCAGTCTGAAAACTAATGAAGGATGGTTTAACTGACCTGTAATAACTGACTCATCTCCAGTATATAAGAACTTAATGAGGGTCTGAAAACTAATGAAGGATGGTTTAACTGACCTGTAATAACTGACTCATCTCCAGTATATAAGAACTGGATGAGGGTCTGAAAACTAATGAAGGATGGTTTAACTGACCTGTAATCACTGCCTCATCTACAGTGTATAAGAACTGGATGAGGGTCTGGAAACTAATGAAGGATAGTTTAACTGACCTGTAATAACTGACTCTTCTCCAGTGTATGAGAACTGGATGAGGGTCTGAAAACTTATGAAGGATGGCTTAACTGACTCATCTCCAGTGTATTAGAACTGGATGTGGGTCTAAAACTAATAAAAAATGGTTTAACTGACCTGTAATAACTGACTCATCTCCAGTGTATAAGAACTGGATGAGGGTCTGAAAACTTATGAAGGATGGCTTAACTGACTCATCTCCAGTGTATAAGAACTGGATGAGGGTCTGAAAACTAATGAAGGATGGTTTAACTGACCTGTAATCACTGACTCATCTCCAGTGTAAAAGAACTGGATGAGGATCTGAAAACTAATGAAGGATGGTTTAACTGACCTGTAATAACTGACTCATCTCCAGTGTATAAGAACTGGATGAGGGTCTGAAAACTAATAAAGGATGGACCAGTGATCTCAACAACAATGAATCCCTTCTCCCGACTCATAAACATCTTCTTCAGCACAGGGGACAGGAGGGACAGCAAGAACTTGTGGGACCTGACAGTTCCCAGCTCCTGGGAGTTCTCATCTACAATCTTGAATTCAACATCATCAAGGTTGGATGCAGGGTCAAGCAAATCTTGGAAATCATAATCCTTGATGTTTATCATTTTAGACTTCATTCTTGTAGTAGGTCTCGAAAATGTCTGAAAATTAACTGAGTAATTATAATTGTATAATAGGAAGAAAGGAATTTAGTTTTAGCCGCAATCGTAATTTTTCTAATCCCCATAGATATACAAACTGATTGTATAAAAAACTCTTTTTTTTCAAACTTAGATTATTTGGTCTAACTAACAGAATTCATAATTTGGAATATTTAATGTCAACGACATTAGGTTGCAAAGATAAAGGTATTAGAAAACTTAACTTTATTCTGATAGACCCTGATTTTTTCAAACAGCTATTTTTAAAGAATATATTTGTCCTAATTAGTCATACTTAGTTTATAAAACAAACGAAATAAAACAAACGATTGACAGGTTCATTAAATAGTTTTTATTGCAACTAACAAATCAAAAAAGGAATTATTCACTGCCTAAATATTGACTATTTTGTTTAAAAATTACAGAAATAATTACCAAATAATGCTCTCCAACAATCCTGAGGATTTAATAACGCTTAAAAGTCAGGGATTTATATCTGAAACATTACAATATTCGTTAAACATACAAATTTTCAATATCAATAATATAAGCAGAAACTATCTAGACAATAGTAACTGAATTATTGGAATAATATTTCTCTGTTCTATCGGAAAATGCCAACAAATATTACAAAACAGGACTGTTTATACAACCTTATTCATGAATACAAAAATAAGAAAACACAATTACAAGAAATATACGATGAGTATTATGATCACAAAAGTAATCAAAATTACCAAACTGAACCAATTCAGGATTCTTTTTCCACCAAAGTTATTTCAAAGATACAATAGAGTAATATGTTTTCTAGACAAGAATGATTACAAAAAGAAAGTTTATTTTTCCCGTTTTTAATTTTAAATATTAAGGAATCTTTCATAAATTTGCAAAAATTAAGAATATCACTGACAAATAATCGGATTAAAAACAATACTTATCAACATCCAGGATTCAAAACTTAGATCTTTAAACAATGGTTGGGACTTGGAGGAAAATTTGGAAGACAACTTCAAATTTTACCGTTTTATTCTTCAAAATGTAAGAATTTCAACATTAGCTTTAACAAGCTTCTAACGTGAAGTTATTTACTGGTAAAATACGATTATGTATTCTCGATTCAAATGGAGCAGCTGTAATAAAGCAGTTTTCTCTATAAACATACAACAATGTAAATGAAAAATGCGATTATGTATTCTACATACAAATAGAGCAGCTGTAATAAAGCAGTTTTCTCTATTTACATACAACAATGTAAATAAATTATAAGGTTATGTATTCTACATTCAAATGGAGCAGCTGTATTAAAGCAGTTTTCTCTATAAACATACAACAATGTAAATGAATTATAAGGTTATGTATTCTACATTCAAATGGAGCAGCTGTATTAAAGCAGTTTTCTCTATAAACATACAACAATGTAAATGAATTACAGTCGGAAGTTTTACTGCCCGTTTGCACAATACTTGTAAACAATGTTAGAAACATCATTATGACACTGAATTCCTGCATTCTCCCAAATAATGATGTATCGTAGACTCAGAAGTCTTGGGAGAGGATTCTAAGAATCATGCAACAAACATAATCTTACAATCCAAGGATCAAAATTAAATCTTGAAAAAGTAAAAACTGAAATTATAAACATTTAACAAGCTCATATTTTGCAGAAGGGATAATATTGAACCATTAATGTTGAAAACTTGAAATTTTAAGTATGTTAATAAACATATAGATTTCTATAGTAGGGATGTTAATGGTATTATCATAGTCAAATTGTTAAGTATACAATTATATGGAGGCGAGAACGATTAACATAAAGACAGGAGCTTATATTTGAATACTTAATGATTATTTATTATTAACAAAATATGACCCCTTTACAGACAACATTTGTATTTATTTCTTAATACATACTTCATGGGTTAAGCTTCCACTGTCAGCAGTTATTTACATTTGTAAACAAATCCAGTGAAATCATCGCAAATTCTGGATCCTAATTTGTTCCAATTAACGACAGGACCGCCAGCGCCCCACCTTAAAGTACCCACAGTTCCAAAATCATCAGCATCCACATTTACTTCATCTTCATTGAACATGTAGGAGGTATCCTCATCAGGTCTGATCATGGTTCCATACCCTGGTGTACCATGAAGAACTTGACCATCCAGGCACACTGTTGGTCCTTTGCAGTTTTTACATGGGTCTTTGGCATACTCAACCATCTTGGCTAATTTCTTCTCAAGCTCAGAGATTTCAGCCTTAGAATTCTCTAATTGGGTCTTTGAGTCTTCAAATTGAATCTTTGTGTCTTCTAATTGGAGCTTGGTGTCTTCTGATTGCTTCTTTACATCATCAAACTGCTTCTTTATATCTTCAAACTGACTTCTTTGTTCCTCAACACTCTGAATCTCTAGAAAGAATGAGAATATCAGCAAATACTTTACATTCATATATATTGAATAGCAACACATGTTAATGCTCACATAATCTTAAAAACCTCTTAAATAGACTGTAATCGTAATTTCAAGTGACCCTCCATGCAAAGATGACAATGCTCGATTTACACTGGTATGCTGGAAACCTTTATTTGATCACAAATATGAAAGAAATCATCGTTTTTTAACTCAAATTGTTTATTTCTGTGAGTTTCTCTCTGTTTAATTGTTGTGCTTATAAACAAGGAATGCGCAAGCCACTTTCGCAGAGAACCCACTAAAGAAAAAAACAGTTAAAAGAAACAAAATCATTGAATCTTATTCATACTTGATCAGAAAAAGCCGTCAAGGGTACCGTTGTAAATCAGACATTACCATCTTTGCGTGGACATTCATTTGAAAAAATGGAATCAACACCATAATGGAAGATAAAAAATGCTAAACCTGAGCTAGATCTACTCCATTTCTGAATCCTGTTTTTAACCCAGAAACAGAAATCTGTGTCCTCAGATTCCTTTAGATCCTCCTGATAGGATTCTGGAGAGCTGCAGACCAGGAAATCTAAATAATCAGATTATCAATTATTAAGTTTATATAATTTGTATTAAATATAAAGGCAAATAATCAAACATACAGGGGAAACAAATTATTTTTATTTAAAAACTGTAAACCCTAATACCTTGAACTTTAACTCGAAGTATATCACAGAGATCTTCGAACAGGAAAGTATTCTCATGCTTCTTGATCCCCTTGAGTATATGAATAAAGTTCTCCTGGTTGATCTTGAAGCTGGAGACAACTTCCTTGATCAGGTTCCTGGATCCACACAGCTCATACTTGTCTCCCAGACAATATAGATCAAACAGATCATCAATGCAGGATATATCTGAACATGAAGATCATCAATGCAGGATATATCTGAACATAAAGATCAAACAGATCATCAATGCAGGATATATCTGAACATAAAGATCAAACAGATCATCAATGCAGGATATATCTAAACATTAAGATCAAACAGATCATCAATGCAGGATATATCTCAACATAAAGATCAAACATATCATAATAGAGGATGTATCTGACCATAAAGATCAAACAGATCATCAATGCAGGATATATCTCAACATAAAGATCAAACATATCATAATAGAGGATGTATCTGACCATAAAGATCAAACAGATTATCAATGAAGGATGTATCTCAACATAAAAATTTGAATCAATGCCCACAAAAAATGACAAAATAGAAAAACTTTTTATAATTAATGATTTAAAAGGACCAGGGGGAATGATAGTTTCCTACCTGTGTGTTCAGTTAGCTGTACTGTACACTACCAACTGTTTACTAATAATGATTTACTACAGTTTAGTCCATAATCTCCTCATAATAAATAAATAAATATGCAGTACGCTCTTAGTATAGTTCATGGCCTATACAATTAGTAAAGGATTAGCGTACATCATCACTCTATACACTATAACCTGGTTGATTTGGACCATGCTATGCCCAAAAAAGAATGACAATGAAACCGTTTAACGAAATATATTAACTGACATTTCAACAGTGTACAAGAACTTAGTTAAAAAAACTGATTAATCGCCAGTGTACAAGAATTTGAAAAACTGACCTGTAATGATTGAAGAACTTGAAGAATGGATTGACTAACCTGTAATAATTGACTCATCTCTAGTGTAAAGAACTTAAAGGATGGTTTAACAGACCTGTAATAACAGACTCATCACAAGTGTATAAGAACTGGATGAGGGTCTGAAAACTAATGAATGATGGTTTAACTGACCTGTAATAACTGACTCATCTCCAGTGTATAAGAACTTAATGCCGGTCAGAAAACTAATGAAGGATGGTTTAACTGACCTGTAATAACTGACTCATCTCCAGTGTATGAGAACTGGATGAGGGTCTGAAAACTTATGAAGGATGGCTTAACTGACTCATCTCCAGTGTATTAGAACTGGATGTGGGTCTGAAAACTAATGAAAGATGGTTTAACTGACCTGTAATAACAGACTCATCTCCAGTGTATAAGAACTGGATGAGGGTCTAAAAACTAATGAAGGATGGTTTAACTGACCTGTAATAACAGACACATCTCCAGTGTATAAGAACTGAATGAGGGTCTGAAAACTAATGAAGGATGGCTTAACTGACCTGTAATAACTGACTCATCTCCAGTGTATAAGAACTGGATGAGGGTCTGTATCTGAAACATTACAATATTCGTTAAACATACAAATTTTCAATATCAATAATATAAGCAGAAACTATCTAGACAATAGTAACTGAATTATTGGAATAATATTTCTCTGTTCTATCGGAAAACGCCAAAAAATATTACAAAACAGGACTATTAATACAACCTTCTACTTGAATACAAAAATAAGAAATCACAATTACAAGAAATTTGCGAAGAGTATTATGATCACAAAAGTAGTCAAAATTACCAAACTGAACCAATTCAGGATTCTTTTTCAACCAAAGCTATTACAAAAAGACAAAAGAATTGTTTTCTAGACAAGAATTATTACCAAAAGAAAGTTCAATTTCTAATTATAATCTTAGATATCAATTGGAAACTTTCAATAATTTGAAAAAAAGAAAACATCCCTGACAAAAAGTTGAATTAAAAACGCTACTTATAAAATTCAGGGTTCAAGGTTTTTATCTTATAAAACAATGTTTGGGACTTAAAAATTAAATTGGAAGACAACTTCAAGTTTTTCTGTTTTATTCTTTAAAATGTAAGAATTTCAACATCAGCTTTAACAAGCTTCTAACGTGAAGTTTTTTGCTGAAAAAAAAAGATTATTTCTAGATTTAAATTAAGCAGCTGTAATTAAAGTAGTTTACACCAATATGAATCAATTACAATCTTGAGCTTTACTGATGATTTAGAATAAGAATTTACTTATCAGCTTCAAAAAGATTAAAACACGGAGTTATTTGCTGAAAAAATAGATTATATCTTGCTCACATTGGTCTATATTTAAATGGAGCAGCTGTAATAAAGCAGTTTACTCAATATACGTACAACATGTAAATAAAATACAAGCTTGAGCTTTACTGCCTATTTGCACCACATGTAAAAACCATGTTAGAACAATTTAAATCATGTTGCTGAACTCCTGCCTTCTTCCAAATAACGGCGTACGGGCATGTTGTGCTATAAAATCCAATCCCGGTATCACCAGCATAAACTACTACACCAACATTTGGATTGTAGATATTGCTTTTAGCTTTGACCATCGCTTTTTTAATAGGAAAATAACCAACAGGTTTCCCATCCAGACAGAATGAACCCATAGAGCAACCAAAACAGGAATGTTGGTCAGGATTCTTCTTTAACAGCACTTCAATCTTCTCCAGAGCTTTATTGAGCTTAGACATATCTCCAGAGACTTGATTCTTGAAGTCTTTTATCTCAACCTTGACATTTTCCACCTCATTCATCTCAACCTTCTCCTTGTCCTTGCAGATCTTGTCGTTCTCCCCCTCATCAGTCTGCATTCCTAAATTTAAAAAACAAATTTTAAACTCCTGAATTATAAGATACAAGTTAACTAAACAAACGATTTTTCTGAGTGAACAGTTTTTTGTAACAAATTATTTATCTGAACTCATGAGAATTAATTTTTCAAAAATGAACAAATTCTCGTAATGAACAATTCTACTGAAAGTACAAAATTGTTAAAAATCCCAAAAACCTAATTCTGCAGAGACTTGATTATTGAAGTCTTTCATCTCAACCTTCCCCTTGTCGTTCTCTCCCTTATCAGTCTGCACTCCTAAATTAAAAAACAAATTTTAAATTTCTCCAGAACTTTATTGAGCTTAGACATATCTGCAGAGACATGATTCTTGAAGTCTATCATCTCAACCTTCTCCTTATCCTTGCAGATCTTGTCGTTCTCCCCCTTATCAGTCTGCACTCCTAAATTTAAAAACAAATTTTAAACTTCTGAATTATAAGATACTAGTTACCTAAACAAACGAATTTTCTGAACAATTTTTCGTAACGAACTATTTATCTGAACTCGGAGATTTTTTGAATTTTTCAAAAATGAACAAATTCTCGTAATGAACAATTTTACTGAAAGTACAAAATTGTTAAAAATCCCAAAAACCTAATTTGATTTAATCTGATATATCAGTCTCCACTTGTGTGTCGAGAACTCTTGAAATCCTTGGTTTTCTACAATTGAAGATTAGTATACGTGTTAGCGCTTAGCAGTACGTATCTATAGCTGGCCAGTGGCCAAACTAATGGACCAATTTTTTCTTCTTCAAAATTCAAATTTTTTTTCTGCGAAGTTCAAATTTATTTTTTTATATAGATTAAGTATATATTTTTTGGATATTTTCACTCATTATGCATAAATTCCAAATAGAATTTAATCTATATTCAGAAGTTTGTTATGACAAAACTTATAAAAAATTGCCTTCCGAAGTGCCATTTTTCCAAAAACTTTAATCTTTTTTTTAGAACTTCTGTACTTGTAGGGTTAGCAAAGCTAGAGACATTTCTCGAAAGTATATGTTTTGTAATTTAGGACCAACCTGTGTCAAAAATGCTCCATTTCTGAATCCTGTTCTTTACCCAGAGGTAAAATTCTGTGTTTTCAGATTCTTGAATATTCTCTAGGTAGGATTCAGAAGAAGTCCAGTCCTTCAGGAAGCCTGCAGAGATATTAGATTTTGAAATATTTAATAAAAGAAACAAATCAAGGTGTTTTATGATTCAAAATTTAGAAAACGCAGAATTTTAAAAAATAGCAAAATCAAAAAAAATAAAGTAAATTTTTTATTCTTAAAAGATCAGACACCTCGAAAAATACCTTGAACTTTATCCTGAAGTATATCACAGAGATCTTCAAACAGGAAAGTAATCTCATGCTTCTTAATCCCCTTGAGTATATAAATCCAGTTCTCCTGGTTGATTTTGAAGCTGGAGACAACTTCCTTAATCAGGTTCCTGGATCCACGCAGCTCATACTTGTCTCCCAAACAATATAGATCAAACAGATCATCAATGCAGGATATATCTGAACATAAAGATCATCAATGCAGGATATATCTGAACATAAAGATCATCAATGCAGGATATATCTGAACATAAAATCATCAATGCAGAATATATCTGAACATAAAGATCAATAAGATCATCAAAACAGGATATATCTGAACATAAAGATCAAACAGATCATCAATGCAGGATATATCTGAACATAAAGATCATCAATGCAGGATATAGCTGAACATAAAGATCATCAATGCAGGATATATCTGAACATAAAAATCATCAATGCAGGATATATCTGAACATAAAGATCAAACAGATCACAATAGAGAATATATCTGAACATAAAGATCAAACAGATCACAATAGAGGATATATCTGAACATAAAGATCAAACAGATCACAATAGAGGATATATCTGAACATAAAGATCAAACAGAATATCTACGAAGGATATCCTGTGTAAAAGAACTTGAAGGATGGTTTAACCGACCTGTATTAATGAATGACTCATCTCCAGTAAAAAAGAACCTGATGAGGGTCTGAAAGCTAACGAAGGATGGTTTAACTGACCTCTAATAACTGACTCATCTCCAGTATATAAGAACTTAATGAGGGTCTGAAAACTAATGAGGAATGGTTTAACTGACCTCTAATAACTCACTCATCTCCAGTATATAAGAACTTAATGAGGGTCTGAAAACTAATGAAGGATGGTTTAACAGACCTGTAATAACTGACTCATCTCCAGTATATAAGAACTGAATGAGGGTCTGAAAACTAATGAAGGATGGACCAGTGATCTCAACAACAATGGATCCCTTCTCCCGACTCATAAACATCTTCTTCAGCACAGGGGACAGAAGGGACAGCAAGAACTTGTGGGACCTGACAGTTCCCAGCTCCTGGGAGTTCTCATCAACAATCTTGAATTCAACATCATTAAGGTTGGATGCAGGGTCAAGCAAATCTTGGAAATCATAATCCTTGATGTTTATCATTTTAGACTTCATTCTTGTAATAGGCCTCGAAAATGTCTGAAAATTAACTGAGTAATTATAATTGTATAATGGGAAGAAAGGAATTTAGTTTTAGCCACAATCGTAATTTTTCTAATCCCCATATATATGCAAACTGATTGTATAAAAAACTTTTTTTTTCAAACTTAGATTATTTGGTCTAACTAACAGAATTCATAGTTTGAACTATTTAAGGAAGATATAGGTATTAGAAAACTTTGTTTTTTTTCTGATAGACCCTAATCTTTTCAAACACCTACTTTTTAAGAATATTTCTGTCCCAATTGGTCCTACTTAGTTTATAAAACAAACGATTGACCAGTTGATGAAATAATTTAGATTGGAACTAACAAATCAAGGAAGGAATTTATCAAATACAGCATCAGCTTTGTTAAGTTTAATAATTACAGAAATAATTACCAAATAATGCTCTCCAACAGTCCTGAGGATTTAATAACTCTTAAAAGTCAGGGATTTATATCTGAAACATTACAATATTCGTTAAACATACAAATTTTCAATATCAACAATATAAGCAGTAACTATCTAGACAATAGTAACTGAATTATTGGAAAATATTTCTCTGTTCTGTCTAAAAATGCCAAAAAATATTACAAAACAGGACTGTTAATACAACCTTATACATGAATACAAAAATAAGAAAACACAATTACAAGAAATTTGCAAAGAGTATTGTGATCACAAAAGTAATTAAAATTACCAAACTGAACCAATTGAGGATTCTTTTTTAACCAAAGTTATTACAAAGATACACTTGAGTATTATGTTTTCTAGACAAGAATGATTACAAAAAGAAAGTTAGTTTTTTTCCATTTTTAATTTTAAATATTAAGGAATCTTTCATAAATTTGCAAAAATTAAGAATATCACTGACAAATAATCGGATTAAAAACAATACTTATCAACATCCAGGATTCAAAACTTAGATCTTTAAACAATAGTTGGGACTTAGAGGAAAATTTGGAAGACAACTTAAAACTTTTCCGTTTTATTCTTCAAAATGTAAGAATATCAACATTAGCTTTAACAAGCTTCTAACGTGAATTTATTTACTGGAAAAATACGATTATGTATTCTACATTAAAATGGAGCAGCTGTATTAAAGCAGTTTTCTCTATAAAAATACAACAATGTAAATGGTTTATAAGGTTATGTATTCTATATACAAATGGAGCAGCTGTAATAAAGCAGTTTTCTCTATAAACATACAACAATGTAAATGAATTATAAGGTTATGTATTCTACATTCAAATGGAGAAGCTGTATTAAAGCAGTTTTCTCTATAAACATACAACAATGTAGATGAATTATAAGGTTATGTATTCTACATTCAAATGGAGCAGCTGTATTAAAGCAGTTTTCTCTATAAACATACAACAATGTAAATGAATTATAAGGTTATGTATTCTACATTCAAATGGAGCAGCTGTATTAAAGCAGTTTTCTCTATAAACATACAACAATGTAACTAAATTACAGTCGGAAGTTTTACTGCCCGTTTGCACAACACATGTAAACAATGTTAAAACCTCATTATGACACTGAATTCCTGCATTCTCTCAAATAATGATGTATCGTAGACTCAGAAGTCTTGGGAGAGGATTCTAAGAATCATGCAACGAACTATAATATTACAATCCAAGGATCAAAATTAAAATCTTGAAGATGTGAAAACTGAAATTATAAACATTTCACACGCTCATCATTTTGCAGAAGGGATAATATTGAACCATTAATGTCGAAAACTTGAAATTTAAAGTATGTTAATAGACATATATATTTCTTAAGTAGGGATGTTAATGGTATTATCATCGTCAAATTGTTAAGTATACAATTATATGGAGGCGAGAACGATTAACATAAAGACAGGAGCTTATATTTGAATATTTAATGATTGTTTATTATCAACAAAATATGACCCCTCAACAGAAAACATTTGTATTTATTTCTAAATACATACTTCATGGGTTAAGCTTCCACTGTCAGCAGTTATTTACACTTGTAAACAAATTCAGTGAAATCATCGCAAAAGCTATTTCCGCATGTGTTCCACTTAACGACAGGACTGCCATAAAATACATTATCCACAATTCCAAAATCATCAGCAACCACTTTTACTTTAACATTTCTAGACCTGTAGAAGGTATCCTTAACAGCTCTGATCATGGTTCCATCCACTGGTGTATTAAGAAGAACTTGACCATCCAGGCACACTGTTAATCCTTTGCAGTTTTTACATGGGTTTTTAGCATACTCTATATTCACTAATTTCTTCTCAAGCTTGGAGATTTCATCCTTACAATCTTCTACTTGGGCCTTTGTGTCTTCAAGCTTAACCTTTGTGTCTTCAAGCTGAACCTTTGTGTCTTCAAGCTGAACCTTTGTGTCTTCAAGTGTCTTCAAGCTTAACCTTTGTGTCTTCAAGCTGAACCTTTGTGTCTTCGTCTTCAAGCTGAACCTTTGTGTCTTCAAGCTGAACCTTTGTCTTCAAGCTGACCCTTTGTGTCTTCAAGCTGAACCTTTGTGTCTTCAAGCTGAACCTTTGTGTCTTCAAGCTGAACCTTTGTGTCTTCGTACATAGCCTTAGTATTCGTTAACAGGGTCTTAGTGTCTTCTAACTGCTTCATAGCATCTTCAAACTGACTGCTTTGTTCCTCAACACTCGGAATCTCTAAAACAAATGAGAATATTAGCAAATACATCCATATATATTGAATAGCAAAGAGTGCAAAAGGTCAAAGAATCTAAAATCCTCTTAAAGGGACTGTTCACCGTAATTTCAAGTGATCCTTCCTGCAAAGATGACAATGCTCAATTTACAATGTTATCCTGGAAACCTTAATCTGATAAAAAATATGGAAAAAACTGCAGTTTTTTAAATCTAAAGATGTTTATTTCTGTGAGATCTCTGTTGCTTCTTTGTTCTTATAAACAAGGAATGCGCAAGTCACTTTTAACGTTAAATACTTTTAAATCCAGATATGAAATATGTAAAAAAATTCTAATATAGTTTCTTTTGTTGGGACAAAAAGAGCCAAAAAAAGGTAACTTTAAAAGAAAGGCCAAATAAAAAAAAATGTCAAAAAAGAAAAAACGAAAAAATGTTAAAGAAAATAACTACCAATAAAAAGAAAAAAAAATGTTTATTTTTAATTTTTATTTTTAATCTTGTTTCCCTGGATATTCGTAAATATTGAATATAATATTTTCTGCATAATAATGTGATATATGCAACCTTATGAATATCATGACAACAATCGGAAATTTTCTTATATTTTCCGCCAGGAGTCCTGAAAATAATCCTAACATAAACATAAACATAAACTTTCGCAGAGAACCCACAAATAAAATAAATAGTTTAAAGGAACAAAATCATTAATATCTTATTCATACTTGATCAGAAAAAGCTGTCAAGGGTACCATTTTAAATCAGACATTACCATCTTTGTACGGACATTTATTTGAAATTATGCCAACACTCCCTTTAAGTAAAGAGTATCAAAAGAGAAAAAAGCTTTTCAGATGATAAATTTTTCACCCAAAATTTTCCGACAAATTTGTGGAATCAAAACAACACCATAATGGAAGATAAAAAATGCTTAACCTGAGCTAGATCTACTCCATTTCTGAATCCTGTTTTTAACCCAGAAACAGAAATCTGTGTCCTCAGATTCCTTTAGATCCTCCAGATAGGATTCTTGAGAGCTGCAGCCCAGGAAACCTAAATAATCAGATTATCAATTATTAAGTTTATATAATTTGTATTAAATATAAAGGCAAATAATCTAACATACAGGGGAAACAAATTATTATTATTTAAAAACTGTAAACCCTAATACCTTGAACTTTATCCTGAAGTATATCACAGAGATCTTCAAACAGGAAAGTATTCTCATGCTGCTTAATCCCCTTGAGTATATGAATCCAGTTCTCCTGGTTGATCTTGAAGCTGGTGACAACTTCCTTGATCAGGTTTCTGGATCCACGCAGCTCATACTTCTCTCCCAGACAATACAGATCAAACAGATCATCAATGCAGGATATATCTGAAAATAAAGATTATCAATGCAGGATATATCTGAACATAAAGATCATCAATGCAGGATATATCTGAACATAGAGATCAAACAGATCATCAATGCAGGATATATCTGAACATAAAGATCAAACAGATCATCAATGCAGGATATATCTGAACATAAAGATCAAACAGATCATCAATGCAGGATATATCTGAACATAAAGATCAAACAGATTATCAATGCAGGATATATCTGAACATAAAGATCAAACAGATTATCAATGCAGGATGTATCTCAACATTAAGATTTGGATCAATGCCCACAAAAAGTTAAGATAGAAAAACTTTATATCTTTATTTAAAATTTTGACCAGGGGGGATGATAGTTTCCTACATGTGTGCTCAATTAGCTGTACTGTACACTTACAACTGTTTACTAATAATGATATACTAGAGTTTAGGTCATAATCTCCTTATTATAAATAAATATGCTCTCAGTATAGTTAATGGCCTATACAATTAGTAAAGGATTAGCGTACATCATCACTCTATACACTATAAACCTCGTTGATTTTGACCATTCGATGCCCAAAAAAAGAATGACAATGAAACTCTTTGACGAAAGGGGGGTGCAAAGGTGCAGGTGGACCCCCCTTTCTTCTGAAAGGGGGGTACAATGACGAATTTGCACCCCCCTTTCATAATTTCCTAAAATCTAGTTACAGTTTGAACAGTTGGTTAAAAGGAAAAAATTCATCCACTTATTTGGGAATATAATAGCCATTTTTGGGAGTTTCAAAAACATTATTTTAAGCGAGGATATTTGTTATTTTTAATCAAAGTAGAAGGGTTTTTTTGAGTACTTAAAAATTCACTCAGAATGTCTCAATGTCTCAAGGTCAATAAATAAACTCTATTAAACAAAATATTAGAAATTTTTTTTTTTTTCATCTTCATAATATCATGATGAGGCCGAGGGACAAGAAGCCTGGATTTTAAATAATAAATTTTTTCCTTAAGCTGAAGTACCATTCATTTATTTTTATGTATATTGTATATGTAAACTGAAAAGTTTCAGACACTAAAATGTAACCTTTAAAAGCTTAAATACACTTGATAAAAAGGTTAGTCTTTATAGCGTACATTGACAATGTAATAAAGAAAACCATATACCACCGTAAAAACAAACCAAGCATTGCTTTTAAAAAAAACCAAAAAAAAATTTACGCCTGCGCCGCGCTACTGTGCACCCCCCTGGAAAAATCCTGGTTACGGGCCTGACAAGAACTTAGGTAAAATAGCTTTAATAACTGATAAATCGCCTGTGTACAAGAATTTGAAAAACTGACCTGTATAATTGACTCATCTCTAGTGTATAAGAACTTGAAGGATGGATTAACTGACCTGTAATACCTCATCTCCAGTGTGTAAGAATTTGATGAGGGTCTGAAAACTAATGAGGGATGGTTTAACTGACCTGTAATAACTGACTCATCTCCAGTGTATAAGAACTTAATGAGGGTCTGAAAACTAATGAAGGATGGTTTAACTGACCTGTAATAACTGACTCATCTCCAGTGTATAAGAACTGGATGAGGGTCTGAAAACTAATGAATGATGGTTTAACTGACCTGTAATAACAGACTCATCTCCAGTGTATAAGAACTTAATGAGGGTCTGAAAGCTAATGAAGGATGGTTTAACTGACCTGCAATACCTGACTCATCTCCAGTATATAAGAACTTAATGAGGGTCTGAAAACTAATGAAGGATGGTTTAACTGACCTCTAATAACTGACTCATCTCCAGTGTATAAGAACTTAATGAAGGTCTGAAAACTAATAAAGGATGGTTTAACTGACCTGTAATAACTGACTTATCTCCAGTGTATAAGAACTAAATGAGGGTCTGAAAACTAATGAAGGATGATTTAACTGACCTGTAATAACTGACTCATCTCCAGTGTATAAGAACTTAATGAGGGTCTGAAAACTAATGAAGGATGGTTTAACTGACCTGTAATACCTGACTCATCTCCAGTATATAAGAACTTAATGCGGGTCTGAAAACTAATGAATGATGGTTTAACTGACCTGTAATAACAGACTCATCTCCAGTGTATAAGAACTGGATGAGGGTCTGAACGACATTAGGTTGCAAAGATATAGGTATTAGAAAACTTCGTTTTTTTTCTGATAGACTCTTTTCAAACAGCTATTTTTTAAGAATATTTTTGTCCTAATTAGTCCTACTTAGTTTATAAAACAAAGGATTGACAGGTTGATGAAATAATTTAGATTGGAACTAACAAATCAAAAAAGGAATTATTCAAAGCCTAAATATAGACTATTTTGTTTAAAAAATTACAGAAATAATTACCAAATAATGCTCTCCGACAGTCCTGAGGATTTAACAACTCTTAAGTCAGGGATTTTTATCTGAAACATTACAATATTCGTGAAACATACAAATTTTCAATATCAACAATATAAGCAGTAACTATCTTGACAATAAGAACTGAATTATTGGAAAAATATTTTTCAGTTCTGTCTGAAAATGCCAAAAAATATTACAAAACAGGACTGTTAATACAACCTTATACATGAATACAAAAAATAAGAAAACACAATTACAAGAAATTTGCGAAGAGTATTATGATCACAAAAGTAATCATAATTACCAAACTGAACCAATTCAGGATTCTTGTTCCACCAAAGTTATTACAAGAATACAATGGAAAAGAATTGTTTTCTAGACAAGAATTATTACAAAAAGAAAGTTCAATTTCTAATTATAATCTTTGATATCAATTGGGAACTTTCAATAATTTAAAAAAATGAAAACATCCCTGACAAAAATTTGAATTAAAAACGCTACTTATAAAATTCAGGGTTCAAGGTTTTTATCTTATAAAACAATATGTAGGACTTAAAAATTGAATTGGAAGACAACTTCAAGTTTTTCTGTTTTATTCTTTAAAATGTAAGAATTTCAACATTAACTTTAAGAAGCTTCTAACATGAAGTTTTTTGCTTGAAAGAAATAAGATTATTTCTAGATTTAAATCAAGCAGCTGTAATTAAAGCAGTTTACACCAATGTGAATCAATTACAAGCTTTAGCTTTACTGATGATTTAAAATAAGAATATCAGCTTCAAAAAGAATAAAACACTGAGTTATTTGCTAAAAAATAGATTATATCTTGCTCACATTGGTCTAGATTTAAATGAAGCAGCTGTAATAAAGCAGTTTACTCTTCATACGTACAACATGTAAATAAAATACAAGCTTGAGCTTTACTGCCTGTTTGCACCACATGTGTAAACCATGTTACGATAATCATAATGTAGCTGATCTCCTGCCTCCTCCCAAATAACGGCGTAATTTTTATCTTTATAATATCCAATTCCGGTATCAGCAGCCTTAAATAAAATCAAAAAATATTATGAAAAATCAACTATATACATATGTGGCGAAAGATATTTGATGACCATAGGGTGTAATATTTGAATGATTTGTTTGAAATTAAATAGATTTTTTTACGGTCTAAGTCGTATGTTGCATCTTTCTGAATTTGTATGGATACTACGTTCTTCGGTATTAGTCGTTTTTACCAATTTTCTCCTTATAGACGCAACAGATAGAAGTAAGATTAGAAGCGATCAAAAGCGCTTTTTTATCGCATTAAGCCTATACCCCCATTCATTTTTCGCGAACACTCCCTTTAAAAAATTTTAACAAAAAAAAAAAGATAAGAAATAATGTATAAATGGATGGATTTAAAAGGGGGGAAGTAGGAACATTCAATTCTATATTTCAAAAGGGCCCCCGGTAATTAAATTCTCAACAAAACTTACCTTGTTTTATGGATGTAGAGCTCATGATTATATATTCTTGAATTAATTTGCTGGATCTTCAGAGGAACCTGATAATAGTTGTTTTAAACACTTTTTAGTTTATATTATATCATGACTGACAATGAAGTGGTACAAAACATTTGAAAACATGAAACTTTTAACATTTGACGTACTTCATTGCTTTAATTGGTCTCATAATTTAAAAAAATGAAAACATCCCTGACAAAAATTTGAATTAAAAACGCTACTTATAAAATTCAGGGTTCAAGGTTTTTATCTTATAAAACAATGTTTGGGACTTAAAAATTAAATTGGAAGACAACTTCAAGTTTTTCTGCTTTATTCTTTAAAATGTAAGAATTTTAACATTAGCTTAAACAAGCTTCTAACGTGAAGTTTTTTGCTGTAAAAATAAGATTATTTCTAGATTTAAATTAAGCAGCTGTAATTTAAGCAGTTTACACCAATGTGAATCAATTACAAGCTTTAGCTTTACTGATGATTTAAAATAAGAATATCAGCTTCAAAAAGATTAAAACACGGAGTTATTTGCTGAAAAAATAGATTATATCTTGCTCACATTGGTCTAGATTTAAATGGAGCAGCTGTAATAAAGTAGTTTACTCTCTATACGTACAACATGTAAATAAAATACAAGCTTGAGCATTACTGCCTGTTTGCACCACATGTATAAAAAATGTTAGAACAATCTGAACCATGTAGCTTAGCTCCTGCCTTCTTCCAAATAACGAAGTACGATGGTGTGTGATCAGCTCGAACGTATCCAATCCCGGTATCACCAGCATAAACTATATCACCACGAACGCAAGAGATATTGCTTTTTGCTGTGACCATCGCTTTTTCAAGAGGAGGACGACCAACAGGTTTCCCATCCAGACAGAATGAACCCATAGAGCAACCAAAACAGGAATAGGGATCAGGTGTCTTCTTTATCAGCACTTCAATCTTCTCCAGAGCTTTTACGAGCTTAGACATATCTGCAGAGAAATGATTCTTGAAGTCTTTCATCTCAACCTTGACATTTTCTACCTCAATTTTGACGTTTTTCACCTCAAGCTTGACATTTTCTAGTTCCTTGCAGACCATGTCATTTTCATCTTTACCAGCATTTATCCCTAAATTATTTACAAATAAAATTATAGTAAATTATCATTACCTGCTTCAACTATGTAACAAAATATATTCAACCAAGAAATCCTTCTTATATAAAACTTCCGAAAAGTTCATACAATTTTACGGAACGCATAAGAAACAATTTTTCTGAAGGAAAAAAAAATTCTGCAAAAAACTAGTTTTCTGAACCAACTATTTTTGGAAAAAAATATTTAACTGAACAACGTATTTCAAATAACAAACAAAAATCGAGTGAAAATAACGAGCAAAACTAGGCAGAAATGAAGAAACTATAAACTAATGAACAAAAATGACCATTAACTAATGATGAATAAGTGAATAAAACTAATGTTAAGAAATCACAAAAACCTAATTAATATTTCCCTTCGACTTTTAGGCACATTTTATAAACTAGGCTTTTAGGGCGCTTCGCACCCATGTTCTATTTAAATTGTGAACATGTTCTTTTTGTTAACATTTTAAAACAAAGAAGAAAGTTTTTTTGCGAATTTTTAAAAAATTCACGGATTTTCAAGAATTTAATTTTTTTTTTACAAAATTAAAAACTTTTAAAACACATTTTTTTTTAATCATTCATAAACCTTCCCTGTGGTCACGTGATACCCACAAAAAATTTGGGCCCGATCGGTTCAGCCGTTTTGACGTTTATTGGATACAAACAGAAAGACAAACAGAAATACAAGCCAAATTTATATATAGAAGTCAAAATAGACCTTTTTATGTTGGGAAATAATACATTTATCGCGCCATGCATCGAAAGTTTTAAGTTTCCTTCCCTATATATTTTTTTGTGAATGAAAACCTTTAAAAAATCTAACAAAACTACAAAAAAATTGGACTTGCTTAAAAAAATTTTAACAGAAAAAAAAAGAAGAAATAATGTAAAAATGGATGAATTTATAAGGGGGGAAGTAGGAATATTTTCTTCTATATTTTATAAGGGCCCCCGGTAGATAAATTCTTAACAAAGCTTACCCTGTTTGGCCAAGTTCAAGTCTGCCACTTGGTTCTCCAGTTTGAGAATTTCCTCTTAAACCATTGCTAATGCTTTGATGGATGTAGAGCTCATGATTATTGATCTTCAGAGGAACCTGATAATAGTTGTTTTAATTAAACACTTTTTAGTTAATATTATATCATGACTGACAAAGAAGTGGTACAAAACATTTGAAAACATGAAACTTTTAACATTTAACGTACTTCATTGCTTTAATTGGTCTCAGAGCTGTATTTATTTTATTTTATTTTTTGTGGCCACCCCAGGGAAGGTTTATGAACGGTAAATAATATCCAATTTTGTGATGAGGGGGAGAAGGGAAGGTATAAAGAAAGGAGAAAAAAAAGTTAATTTGTTTTTTATCTGATAGTTTTGACAGAAAACTATGCAAAACCCTGTTTGGGGAAACATATGATTTACACCTACAGGGAAGGGGAAAATAGGAAAAAGAATGGGCTTTCAAGAATTAAAAAATCTCCAGGAGACATAGTTGTTGACCTTTATAGGGCACCAAAACGCTCCTTTGTACAACAAAATCCAGAAATTTTCTCCGCCCCTACTGCCCCCCCCCCCCTCCTTACACCATAATAAAATTCTTCAAAATTTCTTTTTTCAAAAACCCCTATTTTTGTGTTGAGACTTGGGATACAAATTACTTGAGAAGGGGGAGGGGGGGATAATAATAAGTCATATATTTAGTTTATAAGTACTATTTACAACAAATATTCTCGTGGGGGTATGATACGTTATGAAACTAAGGCATAATTTTCCTGAAAATGCGTTCATTTTTAATGTATATTTTGGTTTGCACTGTGAAAGAGGACAGTGTGAACGTTCTTTGTAAGAAAATGGAAGTTTTTGCAATTTCCTCATTAACCACAATATTTCGTACCTTTGGGCCAAGGATAACCTTCTTTAAACATGCTTTTAAAATTAAGAATAAGTTCAATCTTAGCAAACAATGCAGTTTTGTGTAAGATTAGCTTCAAAATTATATTAAATCGGAAATAAGGGTTAAATTCATCTAAGTGCGATCAAATTTTGGCATTAAAGAAATAGAAATCCATTTTGTATCAATTTGCCAAATGGGAGTTTCTTAAAGTCATTTATGGATGAAATTAGGCATTAAAAATTGATTCATTTTGCAGGAAGCTATTTGGATGTGGCTAGGAAGCGCTACAGGCGAGCGCTTTGCTGCAAGTTTATGTTTGTGAGTAGATTGTAGATAGGAAGCTATATGGGTGTGGCTTGCCTCCCCCCCCATGTTTCCACCCTTATGTAATTAACTTCTATACAAAAAACATTTTCTATCAAAATTAAAGTAAAATACCACTATATATTTAAATACCAAAGAATTAAACAACAGAAAAAATTGTTCCTTGGAATATAAACTCAAAATTGTAAGCACTGATAAAATCTGCCACAAAAAAGAAGCACACCAAATTCCTAGATGAAACCCTGGCCCAAGGAAGTATAGTAAGGTTGGTTACTCAAGATGCACTCCAATGTACATAAAATGTCGTCTCCTAAGATATATCGTTAAAAACCTAATATGACATCACTAATTATTGAGGACCAAGTGACGTCATATTTGGTTTTTATCTTTATATCTTAGGAGACGACATTTTCCGTACATTGGAGCGCATCTAGAGTAACCAACCTTATCAAACAACCTTCCCCTGGCCCCTGGTATACGCACTTGCAAAAAGATATTGAATTAGCAACAGTTCAAAAATATTATAGTAAAAAAATTAGCTACAAAATTCTAGTGATATTGCATTTATATAAATTTACAAAAAAAATAGCTGTTTAATTAAGTGAATCTTTTATGAAAGAGCAGTACGCAAACTGAACCTTTTCGAATAGATAATTAATTACAATAGGTGTCGTTGAAGAATATACGGTAAACTCAGGTACATCTATATTTTGCGTCACTTTTGACATTTTTTAGTGTCTGACAAAATGTTAGATATTATAATGATAATTTTAGAAAATAGTGATTTATGAAGTGCAATTTTATGTGTTTTTTTATGTATAGTATGACAATATAGGGTCATTCCATGTCAAGTCAGCCACCTGATGGACGGCATGTCACAGATTTTGCTGAAAGTTTGCATACAATTTGGGATATGAAAAAAAATCCCAGAACCCGAAGATGAGCCTTTTGAGACCTCCGAGGCCGGAGATATGGCTCCGGCAAGTTTCCGATAATTTGAGATTTCGAGGACGGCCTCTATATTTCAAATGGCTCTAACTTTTTTGTTTTAGAAGATAGCTCCAAAATTTTTTCAGTTTTGAATAGGTTATCACAAGCCCGTTATTTGGCGTTAGAAGAAAAAATATCATTAAAATATTATTTACAGGTCAAAATTGCATTTCTTTATTTTTAGCCTCCGTTTGAGGATGTGTACCAATTCCGATTGTGTTGATTTTTTTTTATATATTTTTATACTGCCATAAGGAAGGGGTTAGAAAAGTTTTTTTTATATGTATTTGTTCCTGTTGAGGAGGAGACCTGATAATGTAATGCTAATTTAGATTTCTTAATTTAACTAATAGGTAGTATTTCTGCTTAATTATTGTTATCTCTCCTAAACATTGATAAATATTTAATATTTGATACTTTTATGTGAGTAAGTGAATCTAAATTATAATAAGAGACCATCAATAGTATTTATTTCAACTATTGTACACAAAAATGCATGTGTGTTTTACTAATTTTTAAATATTTCAGTGTAGGTCTACACCTCAGATATTAGTCTTAGGTGGGGGTCAAATTATTAATCATACCCCCACTGCTCAAAAAGACTCAGTCACACAGTGTGTTTGCATCTGAACAGATCAAAGATTTTTATAAATGACTGTACTGTTTATTTGCTCCAAGATGGTTATCATAAAACAATTTACAGTGAAGAAATTAGTGTCAAATCATACTATATTTTAAATTGGTTTTTAGAAATTATGGCTGATAATAGGGCTAAAGTGATAAACAAATCAAGATATTGCATTGATCCATTCAAATTGCACAAGAAAAATGTATCAAAATCCTTGCTAAGCGTCCCAGAAGCAACTGCTGATAAATGGAAAACACTAGATCTATCAGGGTACTTAAAATATTTCAAACATAACTTTTTCTAAGTATTTAGAAGATTCATTGAGTTAATAAAATGAGATTAAATATTTATTAAAATGTTTTATGATAGTTGTAAGGTGTGTATCAATTTTCTGAAAAGACTCTACATCACATCTCCTCCAGAGGATGAAATGGATATGAGCTTTGGATCTAATACTTCATCATCAAGCAAACAAGATGATGAACCTTTTATAGATGATGAGAGTAGTACAGATAAAGTAGAGGTTGTGCAGCATTTGAATAGCTGTTTAAAAGCTGTTGGAGAATCTTCTCTGAAAAGACCCAGTAAGATAACCCCAACTTATGCTAGCAGGAAGATATCCAAAATTCAAACTGTACTTCAAAAAAGCTTGACTACTGAAGGAGCAGAAATTCAAGTAAAAATCTATCCAAATATATGTATAAGAAAACATAACAGTTTGACAATACAATCTTTTTAGGATGAAGCTTCAGAGGTTGAAGACTATCAAGAGATCATTGAGAAACTCAAAGACAAGTTTGCCAGCACTTCCTTGAGAAGTGAAAAAATCCAGGTCCTCACAGTTGTAGCACAAACTTGGTCTGAGAGGAAAATAGCAAGAGTCTTTGACACCTCCAGGCACATGGCAAAAATTGCTAATAAAACTGCAAGAGAGAAGGGAATACTTTCAGATCCCAATCCAAAGAGAGGAAAGACTCTAGAAAAAGATACTGTGCAAAGAGTCAAAGAGTTTTATCTAATTTCTATCTAATTTCTTCACTGTAAATTGTATTATGAAATATAGCCTCATGGAGCAAATAAACAGTACAGTCATTTATAAAAATCTTTGATCTGTTCAGATGCAAACACACTGTGTGACTGAGTCTTTTTGAGCAGTGGGGGGTATGATTAATAATTTGACCCCCACCTAAGACTTATATCTGAGGTGTAAAAATAGACCTACACTGAAATATTTAAAAATTAGTAATACACACGTGCATTTTTAGTGTACAATAGTTGAAATAAATACTTTTGATGGACTCTTGTTATAATTTAGATCACTTACTCACAAAAAAGTATCAAATATTAAATATTTATCAATGTTTAGGAGAGATAACAATAATTAAGCAGAAATACTTACATTAAGAAATCTAAATTAGCATTACATTATCAGGTCTCCTCCTCAACAGGAACAAATACATATAAAAAAAACTTTTCTAACCCCTTCCTTATGGCAGTATAAAAATATATAAAAAAAAATCAACACAATCGGAATTGGTACACATCCTCAAACGGAGGCTAAAAATAAAGAAATGCAATTTTGACCTGTAAATAATATTTTAATGATATTTTTTCTTTTTACGCCAAATAACGGGCTTGTGATAACCTATTCAAAACTGAAAAAATTTTGGAGCTATCTTCTAAAACAAAAAAGTTAGAGCCATTTAAAAAATAGAGGCCGTCCTCAAAATCTCGAATTATCGGAAACTTGCCGGAGCCATATCTCCGGCCTCGGAGGTCTCAGAACGCTCATCTTCGGGTTCCGGGATTTTTTTTCATATCCCAAATTGTATGCAAAATTTCAGCTAAATCTGTGACATGCCGTCCATAGGTGGTTGACTTGACATGGAATGACCCTATAGCAAGAGATTTGAAAGTCATCTTTGATCTTTGGGCTAATTTGAGACGTTCAGTCGTCAACCTTCTTTCACATTTATGATTCTTGAAACAATAACCGCAAAATTTTCCTAGCCCTGGCATTTCCAATATTACCAAAGATATTGAGAACTTCAATCAGATTTCAATTTTTCTAAAAAACCAAATTTCAAAATTGTCCAAATCTTAACAAAAGTCCAGGAGTATTTTGTGACTATTAACTCTAGACTTTTACTTCTAGAATTTAGTTTTCGAATAAATGTTGTAAACTATATTAAAGATTAAAGACGACTTTCAAGTTCTCTTGATGCTGTCATGTTCAAATAGATTGTCAAGTACAATAGATGGCTACACAGAATGCGTACACCTTCAGTACAGCTGTATTTACGTCAAAAATGTCAACTCAAATTCTGTGTCTGAAAAAACTACAAATAGAAGTGATATTTTTAGACTTAAGTGCTCATCTTTTAGTGAAAATAGTGCAAATTTATATGTTCTTTATTTCTATTTAAACACTTTTTCATTTAACGTTCTATAGACTAAATAACTGGGTTGAAACTGTTATTGTGCATAACCCGTTAACATTGTAATTGTAAAACGTTAAAACATATTTCAGAAATGTTTAATTATATCTTAGGAGAAGTGCTCTGGAAAGGTCTAATCGTGGATAAACCCCCAGATCCGGGGGAAATACAGGCAACAAGAAAAGGTAATTTTCTAATGAAATGTTGTCTTCTCAGGGTATTTAATTTTTTTCTCAAATGTCGTATTTTACAATTTTTGGGAACACATAAAAAATATATAAAATTTTAAAAAGTGCTTAAATTATGAAATTAATGGAAAATATATGTAGTTATATATTATATACACTATACAGGGTGTCCAAACAAAAATTTGCAGCAGTATTGGGTACTGAGGCAACAATTTTATTTAAATTTTTACAATCATGGTAACATTAGAAAGCTCTATATTTCAGATATTTCAAGGCATTTTGTTAATATTACAATTACTTCTTTAAGTATGAAGTAAAAATCGATTTCCCGTATTTTTTTAATTTAGATTTTTTACATATTATTTTCATCTGTTCATACATAGCCTAAAATGGACAAATTTTTATACATTTTTTAAGTAAGTTGTTGGTCTGATGTTTCTTTATAAGCCAAAATTTTGGATCTGCAAAATGTTTCGTGGGACTACTTGTATATTATATTTGAATATCGCAAATATGGATGTCTGTGTGATTTGTTTGTTTATAAATTTTCAAAATCCATCAAGGTGGGGAGGGGGGGTGGAGGGGTACGTTAAAGGTATACTATGGACAAGTACTAAGTCATCATTACATTATTATGAATTAAATGAAATTTTTTTATTGATTATATTTTTTCATTTAGGGGGAAAGCGAAGAACTTGTTTCGTGCCCATGGATGCCGTGCACACCCTGGGACATCCAGATTTAAAGTACAAAAAGAAGAAGAAAATGTGGCTCAATTCTTTGAAAATTGAGGAGACTAATAAAATCTAGTGTTCCCGCACACATTATTAACCTTTTTGTGAATATCCTGTTTTTCCAAAGCATAAAGCACCTAAATCTAGTTGTAAACAAACTCGGTCATCACATAAGAAATTTGAAGCAAAAAGGTCTCTTTTATAATAAATTATTAAAAATATTTTTTGTATTTTTATCATTTTTGTTGTTGTTGTTGTTGTGTATGATGATATAATGTGTATACTTTAGTCATTGTTTAACCCACTAAAACTTTGTTACTTTTAAACAGAGAAATCAAACTGATTTATTGTAAAATTTGTATATTGTAGGAGTCGAGGACGGCCTGTGTTTTAAAAATTAGAAGTCTGAATTTTTAAAAAAATAACTGGCTGCATGGGCGTAAATAAGGATTCTGTAGGTGGGGGGGAGGGGGGGGGGAAATTTTGCGAAATTTAATTTACCCCCCCTAGAAAAATATCATGATGTATGTCAAAATATTGGTTTTAGTTGGGTTTGATTTGCATTTTCCACTAATTTCTGGCATTCACAAAGTATGTTAAGATCTTAAATAAATGTAATATGGAAATGACATTATTTAGAATTAAAAATGTACTTTTCATTGCCCATACCCTTTTTTATTAAAAAACATCTAATTGTAATGACATTAGAATTTAGAATCATTTAGAATATGTTGACTTAAAATCTGAAATATCTGAAGTATCTGCACATTTAAATCATTTTCTCGAAAAAGAATTGAGTCTTTGCCACAAACTCTGATTTTCTAATCACTATATCTTTGGAACCAAATGTTGCATACCTTAGACATTTCAAACTATGAATTCTGTTAGATCAAATAAACTGAGTTTGAAATATCGAGTTCTAAAGATATTGTGGTTTAAATATTTTATTTTGTTCCAAAGACTCGATTGAGTCAATTCCTTTAAAAGATATTCAATTTCAAAATCTACCTTTTTTTATAAGCAAAAACGAAGTAACAACTCGCTATTCAGGGCCTGAATAGTTCAGGGGTAATTACCTCCAAGATTCTAGGGGGGAGGGTGGGTAATTACCCATAGGATTCTATGGGGGGTAATTACCCCCAGGATTCTAGGGGGGGGGATAAATAACCCCAATAACCCCGCTTATTTACGCCACTGGGCTTTGGAAATTTAACAGAAAACCTATAATACATCTAGAAACATTTACTTTAATGCTACTTCCGTAGAGTTGGCACCTGGACACCAACCCCCCCCTCCCCTCAGACTATTTAGTTTACATTGATATACAGAGAAATAAAAAGAATCAGGCCACCAAACGACAGTTAATATACTGCATGTAATTTTGAGTTGTAAATATTTTTTACGTATTCCCACAAAGACGACATTTATATACACTAAACCTTGGAAATCATATCAACTAATTAGAGAACATGTCGTCTTTCTTTTTACATTTGACACTTGTGACGTTGTGCGCAGTTGGTCGAATTTTCTGTTTCCATCTATTGTACCTGACAGTCTATTTGGTCATGTTTCATGGGATAGCCTGTACATTTAGTATTTACTGTAGCATAATAAAAAATGTATAGGAGCTACGCTACATATTTGACACCAATATTTGAAATAACAATTACCTTGGTTAAAAGTGTTCTTGGACTGCAGATTTATTCAACTGTGCCACAAAAAGTATTTCTCTGAAAAATTAAGATTAGCAGGATATTTCATAGAGAACACCATCTAGCCGGTCCTAGCCGCAGTGTTTAGTCTAGAAATAGTCTTTACTTAACATTCGCATATTAATATGTATAAAGTAATAATACTATTAGTTCAATGAAAGTATATATACACAAATTTGATGGAAGAGGGGCCTAAGGCAGAGGGGGGGGGGGATTAAAAGCATTTCCTTCAATGACAGGGAATCTCACTTTTGAAATTACATATTTATTTACAATATTTTTCGTCATTCTATTCTTAAAAACTAGGTGTGCATGGGAGGGGAGGGGGGGGGGGGGGCTAATAATTATGGCCTGAGACACGTGCCCTGCGGCCATAATGTTTCAACTAACTCCGTCACAAAATGTTTTTGACCAAACTATTTTCGGCTTATGATGAAATGTGTCCTACAACAAAACTTAATGTTTTATGGCGTCACAAAGCAATAAAAGATCAATTCCCATGTTATCTAGCCTATATCCTTTTGCATCACGTAATAAGTTTGTTTTCTATTATACTACAGACTTGGAACTCATCTTAAGCAAAACTCTCATACAAGCATAAAACCGCTTATTATAACTCAATAATCTCACACGGGAGGGCACACGCTGTGACGCTCTTCCCCCCCCCCCTTTACGGCCCTTATAGCATATGCATTAGTATTATATACACAAATTGTTAACCCGTCAATACTTCTTTGTCAAATAAAGAAAATTAACACTTAGTGAAATTAGCACAATAACAATTGGGGGGTTTACTGCAGGTTTGTCCTAGTGAACGATTTTTGGACCCCCCCCCCCCCTCCTATCGATTATGTAAATGACCAAATTAGTTTTTATTTAGCATTAATTAGGGTTAGGTAAGGTTAAGACACTTTCTGGGCCGAGCACTGCGGCTAGGAGGGGCTAGGGGGCCGAGCGATGCGGCCACGGGTTAGGTTAGTTAACGACACTTTCTGGGCCGAGCGCTGCGGCTATGACAGGCTAGGGGGCCGAGCGCTGCGGCCACATGTCTTACATTTAAGATTCATGTCATTTAAGATCTATGTACAAAATTGATAGGAGGGGGGGGGGGTCCAAAAATAGTTCTCTGGGAATATACCGGTTTACTTAACCAAAATTCAGATAAAGAGGATATTAACGTCAACAATTTTTAAACCTGAAACATTTTCAGATAAAAAACATCTGAAGGAATATTTTTAAATTCGCAATATATTGTAATATTGTAATATTTAACAGACTAGCACTGAAAATCGGGTCAGTCCTTGTTTACGATTTTTTGACCCCCTCCCCCCATCCGTATAAATTCTTACCACTTGTTTTTCACCAAAATTATTACTTTTTATTCTTATTTTATTTTAGAGTAAGGTTAGGTCAAGACATTTCTGGACACGCTAAGGGGCCGAGCGCCACGGCTAGGACAAGCTAGGGTGCCGGGCGCTGCGGCCACATGATCAATTATATCCGTGTGTATCATAGATATACTGCATGAACAAAATTTATTGGAAGGGGGGGGGGAATGATCCATAAATCGCTCACTAGAAAATTACCAAAAATCTAGCATGAAGCAAATTATTAATGACTATTCTCAGTAAATTAATGAAACATTTATCTCACTAAGATTCTGATTTCTGAAGTAACCCAGAAGTCAGAACTCCAAAATCCGATAAGACTGAAAGTCTGAAACAGGAATCAAAGTCGTGTTGTGTGACGTGTCCGTAAGAGAAGTACAAGTGTACAGAACGTACTCTCGAATTAAAAACCGGTTTAATTTTTACAACCGCGCAGGGGCTTCACAGGAACGCTTTGTAGTAGGCAGGGGGGGGGATGTTGAAATGTTTCAACGTGCCAATTACTTATTATTAAATATTTGTATATTAAGACTGATATGCGCGATTTGAATAAAAATGTTTTCAGAGGCAGATTCTCGAATTTACGAGAGGATCGGGGTATCAAGGAAACATGATTTTAATTGCGCGCTATAAGACTTTTTGTTTATTTCTCCTCTTCATTCTTTAGTATTTTTGACTAATAAAGATGAAATTGAAACACTTTACCCGCCCTTTGCGTGCAGGAGCAGATGCAAGGGGGGGGGGTTGGCACGACCTTTAATCCCCCTGAGGATTCAGGGCCGGGGGACGGACCCCCCCCCCCCCCCGTGGTTTCAGAATAGCTTCTCAATATAGCACTGAAGGGAAAGAAAACCTAGTGCAAAACAAAACAAAAAATATCTATCTTAAAAAATGTTCACTTGAATCCTGCCTTTGCGTCGTGTTTTGCTTCATTTGAAACCCTAGCGATGAACATTTGAAAGCTGCTATTATATAAAAAAAAAATTATTTTTTCCCATAAATTTATACTTTATTTCTCAGGGGTCCGCTTACACTTCACTTCATTTTTCCTTGCTATGATTATATTTATAACTTCCTGCAGAATTTTGCCGCAGCTAATTTCGTCATAGTTTCCAAGGAGCATGTATAAAATAAATAATATCTCTCCAAACATAATACATATGACTTCTATTCTTAACATTTGATGATTGTGTCCCAAAATGCTTTCTTTCAGACTCTAAACTTATAATACTCATTCTACAGTCATCAAAAATTGAGAAATGCTCAAAATGTAATTGTTAACGAAGTAAAAAAATTTATAAATGTTTCCTCACGATTAAGACAAAATTTAAAGTCAAGAAGAAATGTTTCAGCAAAAGTAGTGTGCGGTTTGAAAGAATACATTTTCTGAACTATTTAGTAAACATAAAACTTTTCTTCCAAAATGTATTTATAGGTAATAGTTTTCAGAGTACAGATACACATTGATTTGTCCTTCACAGAACCTTTAAAGTCTTTTATTTCAAGTCTGTTTCATCTCGTCCAGATAGAAAAATAAATCGAATACCAAGTTTATATTTTACATAATTAATTCATAATATCAGTTTCTCTGGAAGCAGAGCGTCAATCCGGAACATTTTAAATCACAATTTTGGAAAAAAAAATTTTAATAAAAAAGAATGGGATTTTACAAACTAACTTAAACCCGTAGATGAAAACTTTTGAATAAGAAAATTCTCATTCGATTAGGATTACTGTTGTGAATCGGGCATGCCACTCTTTTTTTTTTAAATGGAGGGTCACTTGAAATTACAACAACAGTCCCTTTAATCAGTTTAAGTTTCCACCTTATTAAGTTGGCAAGATTGTAAATCCCATTCTGCCGTTGGTTAGGAGCTAGGACTATCAGCTGTTTCGGTGGTAAATCAGCTGAATCAGCTGCATCAGCTGTTTCAATGGTAAATCGGCAGATTTTGTAGTTTATGTAGTTTATCAGCTCTCTTCCACACTCAAAGAATAAGACCAATAAAAAAGGTTTCAAAGGACCAACATGGTCCATATAGAAAAGTGGAACTCTAGGGACCAGGTCCCTGAAGAATTTGTCTTGGTGGTCCAGGACCAGGAGAAGGTAACCCGTGTCCTGTTCCAAGAGTTCGTCCTCCCGGATTAATGAATAGTTGTTGCTGCTGCTGCTGCTGTCCACGTCCTTGTAAGACCAACTGTTGTTGTTGTCCTCCTCCTTGTTGAAGAATGAGTTGATTTTGTCCTCGACCTTGCTGCAGGACAATGTTCCCTTGTCCGCCGTCCTGTTGTAGGATAAATTGTCCTTGCGAGTTTTGAAGGATTTGACCTTGAATTAGTTGACCTTGGCTTGTTTGAATCATGTTCCCTTGTGTCGTCTGAATGATTTGTCCTTGTCCTTGGTTGATTACCCTAGATGTCCGGGCGTATGTCGGTGATGCGCCCACCGGTTGTGGGGGAGGGGAAAACTGATTGCCAGGAATAGAATCTCTAGTGAATCTTGAACCCTGGGAGGAGATAAGTCTGGGACTATTCTGTCCTACTGGAGCTGAACTGCCAAGCTGGAGTCTACTATTGCCTAGCGTAGATCTAGGACCTGCAAACCTGAACAAATTTTAAAATTAACATTGTGAGTAACATTTGCTTAACTAATATTTATCTTATTAAAATATCCATACATTATTCGTAAAGCGTTTACGCTTTAAAAGGGTTTGAAAGATAGAAAACGTGGGAAATAAGAAATGAGACCTTTAGAAAAATCATTTGCAATACCGAAATCCTTCATCGTAGTTTCGTAGAAAAATTAATAATTTTTTTCGTAGAAAGATGAATTATTTTAAGTCTTTTGGTTCCTGGGTTTTAACATTTTATTCTAGCATGTATTATATGTTTAGTTCTAATTCCTGATTGTTATTTATCAAAATACAGACATTAAAATTTGGTCTTCTATCAAAATGCCAGAAAAAAACCAGTTTTTTACCTTGTTAATGGTTCAGAGGGAAAGTTTGAAGAAGTCTTGATTGAGCCGGTCAATTGGGTGATAGGACCGGTTAGCTGGTTACCAAGACCGGACAGCTGGTTGCTGGAACCGGTCAGCTGGTTACCAGAACCGGTCAGCTGGTTGCTGGAACCGGTCAGATGGCTGCCAGGCCCATTCAACTGGTTAGCCGAGCTGTTAACTGTAAATGACTGGAATTGAGCCGGCTGAAGGAAGTTTGCTGAGCTGGTTGGATTGAACTGCTGAACAGACTCTACAGATTGTACAGTTTTATTGAACAGGTCACCACTACTGTACACAGGACTTGGGGCCGGGGAGGGAGCAGCAACAGAGAAGTTATTTCCTAAAGATGTAGAAATATAAAAATGTGAATTTGTTAAATTAAAAAAAAAACTTCAAAACAATTTGTTTATAAAGAAGTGGGTCGGGGAGGGGGGGGGAGGGATGATCTTTAGAGAAAGCGTGCTCGTACGAAACTTTAAATAAAACGAGTGGAAGTCGGGGGGTGAGGGGGGGAATATACCTGGTAAGAAGAACTCGTCTGATGTGACCTCTATACTGAGACCAAAGCTCTCTAGGTCCTCCTGGCTAAGACTCCGACCTGAGGGAACCTCGTAGTTCCTAAATCCTCCGGATACAGTTCCAATAGTTGTAGAACCTGAGATAAAAACTAAAGTTAACTGAATACAATTTGTATCTGCTGAATCCGCTCAAAATTTGATAAAATCGTTCCAAAATTGTTCTGTCCGATTCATAGTTACTAAATTCAAAATACACAGTATTTCCGTTGGCACAAACCCGACTTCCTCTCAAGTACCTCTTGTTCAAAAATGCAGTTTCTTTAGTTCACGATATAATGACCTTACTACCTTAGAACTGAACCGTTCTTTTCTTGATTAGGTAATTTTAACCACCAGTATTCATGCAGTATATCGTGTACTGTATATAAACATACGCTATACTTCCTAATAGATAAATAACTCAGAAATAAACTTTTTTAAATAAGAGATACTATTGAGTAAGCCGGGTTTTGATTACGGTTTTCAGCGAAAAGGGTGATAAATCGTTGGGCGAAAAAAAATTTTGTCGAAAATTTCGGATTTTTACGCATTTCGTTTGCTCGCGAGAAATACGAAAATTTCAAGAAAAAACGCGAAAAAAATTCGGGGGGAAAAATGCAATTTTGCGAAAAAAAATACGGAAGGGAAATTATTAATTATTATATAATAAAACTTCTAATGTTTAGCTCTCGAAGCAATTTTTTGCGCAATTGATTGTTGCAGCTATGGTTTTCGCGGAAATTCGCGATTAAATTGCGAAATACGAAAAAGAAAATTTTTCATTTTTTCGCGAAAGATTTCATCAGCTGGAAACCCTTGTTTTGATCGGCGGAAATACAGTGTCCAGCTTTGAAAATTACCCCCTCCACCACTCTCTCCACGCAATAATTATGAGTAAACTTGAAAATTAGATTTAAAATAATTTTTACCTATTGTTCCTATAGCTGAGGAAACTGAGGTTCCAAATTGAGAAGAACCTATTGTTCCCATACTCGTGGTTCCGATAGTTCCCAGGTTACTAGAACCAATGGTTCCCATGGAAATAGATCCAATGGAGCTGGAATCTATGGTTCCCATTGAGCTAGATCCAATTGTCATCATAGAACTTGACCCAATTGTCACCATGGTACTGGATCCTATGGAACTTGAGGTTCCAAAGGGTGAGGAGCCAATGGTTCCCAAAGAGCTGGATCCAATGGTTCGAATGGTTCCCATAGCGTTAGAACCAATAGTAGAAGAAGCACCAACAGAAGATTTTCTCGCAACAGGAAGATTGTTTCTGAAAAAAATCATCATTAATGAAAAAAACATTATACAAAAACCAGTTCTAACCTGTTTAGTTGCTGAGAGAAGGATTGAGATGGTTCAAGCCTAGTCTACCAGATAAAACCAGTTATAACCTGTTTAGTTGCTGAGAGAAGGATTGAGATGGTTTAAGTCTAGTCTACCAGATAAAACCAGTTATAACCTGTTTAGTTGCTGAGAGGAGAAGGATTGAGATGATTCAAGTCTTCTACCAGATAAAACCAGTTCTAACCTATTTGGCTGCTGAGAGGAGAAGGATTGGGATGGTTCAAGTCCTCAACCAGATAAAACCAGTTAAAACCTGTTTAGTTGCTGAGAGGAGCAGGATTGGGGTGGTTTAAGTCCTCTACCAGATAAAACCAGTTATAACCTGTTTAGTTGCTGAGAGGAGCAAGGATTGGGATGGTTCAAGTCCTCAACCAGATAAAACCAGTTAAAACCTGTTTAGTTGCTGAGAGGAGCAGGATTGGGGTGGTTTAAGTCCTCTACCAGATAAAACCAGTTATAACCTGTTTAGTTGCTGAGAGGAGCAGGATTGAGGTGGTTCAAGTCCTCTACTAGATAAAATCAGTTCTAACCTGTTTAGTTGCTGAGAGGAGAAGGATTGGGGTGGTTCAGGTCTTCTACCAGAGAAAACAGAGTCCCCACTCAAGCGTCTCATTTGATGGTTTAAATTTCCAGTCTGCTAAAATACAAATTCATGTTTTTAAGCAATTGATGAGAAAATTTTTAGTATATTTCCAGTAAAGTGGGAACGGCAAACTAGGATTTTTATTACATTTGAGAAATATACTTTAAAAAAAAATTGAAAAAACAAATAAATTGACTTTTCTTTTTATAATCTTTAATAGAAGACTTCCAGGACAAAAGTGGGATAAAAGATATTTTTTAGTGCGTAAAAAGTACTACAATACTCACATTTATTTCATCATAATCTAGACTTTTAAAAAGGAAGTACACAGTTAAAAATACATCATTAGTGAATTATCTACCTGTAATTGATCCCCGCTAGCATGCCGCACATTCCTCTGTGCCGCCTGGTATCCTTGTACACCGTCCCCACTGGCGTGCCGGCCCACACGGGACAATGCAGGGGAGTTCCGTCCGAAGGGAGACAGAGGTGACCCCGCTCGGGCGTAGTTGGGGTCACCAGATAGGTGCCGGACCGGGTGGGATCCACTGTCTGTACAACAATTTACAATTATTTTAGTTACAGGGTGGCCAAAACTTTTTTGAACCCATCCGTAAAAAAATCCGTACATTTTCAGAAGAAATCCGTACAATCCGTACAATTTTCGAAAAACAATCCGTACAATCCGTACAATTTTTTTTTTAAAAATCCGTACAATCCGTACATTTTTTTAAACCAATCCGTACATTTTTTTAAAAATCTGTACAATCAGCACAATTTTCGAAAAAAATCCCATTTTTGAAAAAAAAAAACATTAAATGTATTTTCCAGGATAAAATCCGTACAATCCGTACAATTTGAAAACAAATCCGTACAATCCGTGCAATCCGTACAATCCGTACAATTTTAGGGTAAAAAAAAAATCAATCCGTACAATCCGTACAATCCGTACATTTTGGCCACCCTGTAGTTATTAATAACTTTTTAAATTTGGATAATTGTTTCTAAAATTTGTAATTTTGTTTAAAATTTGTAACTTTGTTAAAAATTTTAATTTTGTTTAGTTATTTTGTTTAAAATTTGTAATTTTGTTTAAAATTTGTAATTTTGTTTAAAATTTGTAATTTTGTTTAAAATTTGTAATTTTTTTATTCATGAATGTTCTCTTCAGTCCTAACCTGTGTTATCTAGGCTCGGTAGCATTGTAACATTAGGTGGAACTCCCTTCATCATTTCATCCATACTTGTTCCTCCTAGAAATTCAGATATTATCAAAAATCTTATGAAAATCTAAGTTAAAAATTGACTCTTCTAAAACTTCCTAATCATAATCTGCTAAAAAACTGTTATTCTCCAAAATATATATTTTTAAATTGTAAAAAAAAATCAATCTTTCTCTTAAGAATAAAATTAGTTTTTCTTGATATACTTTAATATTAAAAAAATCTTACAATTTCTTTAACAACTCCTTCAGTTTTAACACAAATTCAATAGGCCCCTTAAAAACTAATTCACCATAGACCCTCCTCATCAACTTCTTATCTCAGCTTGAGAATTAATTGTCTTTATTTATTGTCTTTATTTATTGTCTTTATTTATTGTCTTCATTTATTGTCTATATTTATTGTCTATATTTATTGTCTATATTTATTGTCTATATTTATTGTCTAAGCTTATTGTCTATAATGTCAACTTTTAATATATTTTTAAAATTTGACTTTTTTACTTGAAAAATAAAGTTTTTCTCTATCCCAATATCCTACTTTTATGGGGAAAAAATTCAACAAGGTCCCGTAAAAATTAACTTTAAAATTCAAATATTAATCTCATCTTGTCTATTCTCTACCTGATCGTTGAACAAGTATTTTCTGATGTGGAGTCCTCAGCTGCTGCCGTCCTCCAGGCTGTCCTTGAAGTAGCTGAGGATGTCCCTGAAGAGGCTGCTGATGTCCTAGTTGATTTTGCTGCTGCAGAGGAATCTGGAGTTGATCAGAGTTTAGATTCCCAACTGAACTTCTAAACAAAGATTTTTGAAATGAACAAGTTCTAAATGAAACCGACTTAAAAAATAAAATCCCCCTTTCAAATTTAATTTAGTCGAAACGTAAAATAATAACAAGCAATCTTTTCTGTAGATTGCATTATTATTTTTATTATTAATCATTCAATTAGTATTTCGACATCATTTTGTTAATAAGGTTCCCATTAAAAATATATAAATTTTCAAATACCATTTATCTTAACACGGTACTTTAACCAGAATTAAAAGAAGGGTATGGCCGATTTACAACAGTACCCTTTAAACCTATATCTAATTCTAACTTGTGTTAAATTTTAAAACAATAATGAAAAAAATAAATTTCAGCAGGAAAAAAGCACAGAATGTAACTATTTCATCCTACATCAGTTTACAGAAAACATGCCAATCTGTAAATAGAGGGCCATAAAAAAAATTACGTACATTCTGTTCGTTATCAAATAAAAGCACAAAATCTACATCAATTATTTCTTTATTCTAAAAGAAAGATAAACATTTATAAATGAACATTCTTGAGGAAATTCCTGAGGAATTTAAAGGAAAATGTGTGAGGATTGTAATCTAGGAATTTAAACTATTTCAAAACTTATAAACATAAAACAAGATATAGGAAATATGCTTAGGCGTACAAAGTACAATAAAATCATTAAATTAGACAACAGCAATTTAACAAGTACAATGGATTTCTATTTTCAAATTAAAATCTTCAAACGGATCCATTGAGATTGAACTTCAAAAAGCAAAATAAAAAATTGTAGTAAGGATTCACTATTAATGATCGTGAGAAATTCCTTTAATATAATCCGGATTTGCCATGTTTTCATTAAATCAAGTTGACGATTGAGAAAGCTTATCAATAATGCATTTAAGTTCTGGGAAGCTGGAACTTAAAGGAACTGTTCACTTAACTTTAAGGAACTCTCTAATTAAAGATTGGCATGTCCGATTCACGATACCCAATTATACAAGAAAGATATCGTCGCTTTTCTTGACTAAAAAAGGTTAAATTAAAAATTGACACTGCAGCATACTTCCGTAAATCACACTTGCAGAGAAACCAAAATTCAAAATTAATAATTTTCAGCTAAAAAAAGATAAGTAATTAGTCCTTAATCAGACACAGGTTTAAAGGTTACCGTTGTGAATTGAAAGTGCAATTCCATGAACGAGGGGTCTAAGGAAATTACTTGAACAGTCAGATTAATTTTATAATTATTTTAAACTACTCTTTTATCATTCAGTATTGAACTTTATTGATATTTTTGTATTTAACGAATAAAATTTTATGAAATTACTTACAATAAAGTTTTATGATTATTTCTAGTTGTTTACCTTTGTGCAATAACAGGCTGATGAACTCCACGGACTTGGTTCTAAAATGGAAATAGTAAAAATTGAAAACTTTTAAACATTTTATATTTAAGATTTCTATTTTCAAATTGGTTCTTATTTGCAAAAAAAGATCAATACAGTGAGAACCAGAAAACAGTGGATTATGAAGACGACATTGAAGTAATAATTAAAGTATCTAATGTAGTTACAAAGAAAGCACTTTTACTTATTAAATAACTTACAAGTAAAATGGTTTCCGTGTACAACGTACAATAGCTGTACCTCAATTGGACTATTTAAAGTCATAACTTAAGTTTGAAAGTCGTCTTACTGTTTCAAAGTTTTCTGGTTCTCACTGTATGTTTAACAGGTATTTATCTTGTTGTTACGTACCAAACTCATTTTTCGAGATAAAGCTTGAATTACCAAATTAAGTACAAGAAGGCGAGGAGGGGGGAAGGGGTGGGGAGAAATTACAAAATAATTAAAAGTAAAATGAGATGTGGGCCGGGTTCATAAAAAAAAAAATAACCTGGTGGGAGTTTGCCGCGTTGTTGATTTGAATGGATCGCTCAATCTCCTGCCTTAGCTGCAACTCAATCGCGCTGATGTGCGCCTATTCGATTGTAAACATTAAAACCGGGTTATTAAAACAATATTTATCATTACTGTTATTTCGTACAGCGTTTAAGGGTGCAGGTGCATGGAGTGCATAGTACTGTATGAGTGTAAAAAGATGTAATATGCTTATTGTAGGAACTTTTGTATTTAATTGGGATGAAATATGTTCTACTTCAGTAGTCGACCTTAGAAAATAACTTCATCATTAATTTATAGCGAATAAGCGCTGAAGTGGTAGAGATAACATATATCAGAAATGATTTAGTTTAATTGAATCGAGTACAAAATATATCGCTTTATAGGAACAATAAAACAATAATTCTAACTAGATTTAATCACTGGCATAAATTCACAATTAAAAAATAATTAGACTTTTTATCCCGCTTATTCGATCTTCGACCTTCCGTTACGATCTCTGTTTTTAAATCATTGATAGCTGAATGTAATAAAAAATTAAAGAATTTTTTCTTTTACAAATGTTGCTTCTAATTTTCTACTGAATGACATTTTAATGGTGCAAAAAGGATTTTAAAATGGCATAGTTCAACCTTAATCTAAAAAAATGGCATTTCCAAAGTTTTAACATTTTTAAGGCCAAATTGTTTAACTTTGATGGATGTGGCTTAGCACCATCCAAATGTTAATAAAAGAAAAAGTGTTCTTAGTGTAAAATGCATATATTTCCTACCTCCTGCTGGTCCCCAACTAGCTCAGTATCCATGGAGGAGAGGATATCTGGTCCCATTATCCTCTCCAGTTCCGGCCAGTTCAACCCATCAAACAATTCCGAGATATCCTTGAGAGTATTGACATTTTACAGGGTGCTTTATTTTCTTCAAATATCATTCCCCCCAGAAGTTGAGGATGAATTATTAAGGATTTCTGGTCTAAATGAGGAAAATAAATGCATTTTAGGGGGAAATGTCCGAATTTTTACGGAAAAAAAGTATTGAAAAGATAAGAAACTTTCCTTCTTGGAGCGTTGTAATTCTTAAAATTGTACACCCCTGGATAAATAGTTTGAATCTATCCATTTACATAGATATAAACAACAGAACACAGAGTTTAGCTATTAAAGCTCTCAGACGCCAGAAATTCTTTTTATGCTTACGTATGGGTTTTGAAATTGGAAAATATATGATTAAGAAATGTGGACAAAGAATTTGTGGCAAAAACGTTGATAAAATTTTAACTAACTAATAATGTCTGTTGTCAATTTACTTTCTGTTAATTCACCCTTTGTCACTTAAGAAGAAAAAACACAATTGAAAATTGAAAGAAAAACAAGAATATTAGACAATTGTAAGTAGGGGCATGTAAAACTGAAAATGGAGGGTCACTTAACATGACGTGGAAAGTGACATAAAACTCTATACCTGAGTACTAGGAGACTCCCTGTCCGCAATACTCACTTCTTTTCCTGAATTGAGAGGACTAAGAAGTTTAGCTGCTAGGATACCACCAGGGGGGCCAGGTTTTCCCCCTGGCTTACCTCCGCCGTTTCCAGAGTTGTTATTCCTATTTTGTAAATCTCGAAACCGGTTTATAACTTCCGCACGCGGTAAGCTTTTGTTCGGTATTTCGGACCATTTCGGCGGAGTACCGCTAATATGTCCTGGGGCGGGCTCCTTCCGAAGTAGGCTTTCTAGGGAGGCGGAGCCTTTGGGGGGTCCCTCGTTCAGGGCGGGGATTTTCTGAGGTGGACCCTCGTCCAGGGCGGAGAGGCGTTTCGAGGCAGATCGTGCTTCCAGGAGTTTTGATAGTTCTGTTAGTTTAGATTTAGATCCAGGATCCTTGGCAGGCTCATTCAGTCTTCTACAAATACAATTTGTAAAAATATTAGTCGACAATTAATTATTTAATCAATTAACTATTTAATCTATCAATTGTTTAATATATTGAGTATTTGATCAATTGATTATTCAATCAATTGAGTATTCAAACAATCTACTATTCAATCAATCGATCATTCAATTCATCAATTCATCAATCAGTCAATCAGTCAATCAATCAGTCAATCAATCAATTATTCAATCCTATCATTTGATCATTCAATCATTTAATCAGCCAATCAGTCAATCAGTCAACCAGTCAATCATTCAATCATTCAATCATTCACTCATTCAATCATTAAATCATTCAACCATTCAATCATTCAACAATTCAATCAGTCAATCAGTCAATCAGTCAATCAGTCAATCAGTCAATCAGTCAATCAGTCAATCATTCAGTCAATCAGTCAATCATTCAATCATTCAATCATTCAATCATTCAATCATTCAACCAGTCAACCAGTCAACCAGTCAACCATTCAATCATTCAATCATTCAATCAACCTATAATTCAATCAGTCGAATCCTTAGTAACGAGCCAAATCAATTAAGACTTTGTTAAGACAATCTTTATTCTTCTTTTTCTGTATATCACTCTATTAAATAAAATTTCTAAAATCCTTACCTTAATAATTCAGATTCTGACTGTTGTGGTTTATCAGACTTTCCGTTTAGTAGTTGACGTAGAGATATATTTTCAATAGGGATAGGTCTTGACACGTTTTCCTAAATAGATTAATAGAAATGAAAGATAGATAGATGAATAGATGAATAGATGAATAGATGAATAGATGAATAGAATATATGAATAGATGAATAGAAAAATAGATGAAGAGATAAGGAGCTTAATAGATGAATAGATGAATAGATGAATAGATGAATAGATGAATATATGAATAGATGAATAGAAAAATAGATGAAGAGATAAGGAGCTTAAGAGATGAATAGATGAATAGATGAATAGATAGATAGATGAATAGATGAATAGATGAATAGATGATGAATAGATGAATAGAAAAATAGATGAATAGAAAAATAGATGAAGAGATAAGGAGCTAAAGAGAGGAAGAGATGAATAGATGAATAGATGAATAGAAGAAGAGATTAGGAGCTAAAGAGATGAAGAGATGAATAGATGAATAGATGAATAGAAAAATAGATGAAGAGATAAGGAGCTTAAGAGATGAATAGATGAATAGATAGATAGATGAATAGATGAATAGATGAATAGATGAATAGATAAGGAGCTTAAGAGATGAATAGATGAATAGATAGATAGATGAATAGATGAATAGATGAATAGATGAATAGATGAATAGATGAATAGATAGATAGATGAATAGATGAATAGATTTAAAATTTCGTGATGATGATGGACCAAACCTCTGTAGAGTAAAAAAGTTAGTTCCACATTTATTGAAAATATATTTCGGTCTGGGTTGATGAATAGATGAATAGATGAATAGATGATAAATAGATAAATAGATAAAAAAGATAAAAGATAAATAGATGAATAGAAAATAGATGAATAGAAAAAAAGATGAAGAGATAAGGAGCTAAAGAGAGGAAGAGAGGAAGAGAGGAAGAGAGGAAGAGATGAATAGATGAATATTAATGAAAGGATGAATATATGAATAGATAAATAGATAAATAGATGAATAGATGAATAGATGAATAGATGGAAGGATGAATAGATGAATAGATGAATAGATGAATAGATGAATAGATAAATAGATAAATAGATGAATAGATGAATAGATGAATAGATGGAAGGATGAATAGATGAATAGATGAATAGATGAATAGATGAATATTAATGAAAGGATGAATATATGAATAAATGAATAGACGAATATTAATGAATAGATGAATTTATGAATTGAAGAATATATGAATGGATGGATCTATGATTTAATGGAGGGAACGAGATACTTTTATTGTACACGTTTTTCTTGTTAAAGTTAAATCCTAGTTATTATTGTCTAGGACTTTTTCAGATCACTCTTTTAACTGTTATCTGTGTAAATGTACCTTTGAGGTTAAGAGCTCCTTGAGTAGCTGATTAGACTTCTGAGGTAGAGGGTTTCTAGCTTGGAGACCAGGAGAAGTTCTATATAATCAATCAATCACAAACAGTCAACTGATTTTTCAATCACAACCAAGCAACCAACTAACCCACAAAAACAAACCCAAACACCAACACAACCAACCCACCCACCCATCAACAAACCAGCCAGCAAACCAGCCAACCAGCCAACCAACTAACCAATCAACCAACCAACCAACCAACCATGATTACCCAATCTTATAAACCAACATACTCTTCATTAGCAGCAAAATTATACCTTAAATTAGAATTGTTTGAAGAGAGTAAACTAGTGAGAATTTCATTCTTCCCAGATCCAGAGGAGATAGAAGATGGGTAGGATGCTGACATCGGAGAGTTTGGTGAGATGTATGGTCTGGGGGCGGGAGGATTGGGTGAGGTATAGGGTCTGGGGGCGGGAGGATTGGGTGAGGTATAGGGTCTAGGAACGGGAGGATTTGGTGACCCATATGGCCGCATGGGAGTAGCATTAGAAGCAGTGTAGGGATTTGAGGTGGGGGAACTTGTGGTTTGAAATTGTTTAATTGACGGATTGTTTGTCAGTAAGGAAGATGAGGACTGGGGTTGAGAAAATGACAAACTAGTAGGCTGGTTTGAGGTATAGGATACAGAGGCCAGTTGGCCAGAGGAAGGTGGCTTGGAAGAATATGAACCTTGAGGATTGGAGGGAAAAGTTGCCTTAGTTGATTGGATGGTAGAATATGATGCTTGATTTGAGGTGTAGGAGAGCGTGGAAGGCAGTTGACCTGTAGTATCTGATTTGAAGGGGTTTAGCACAGCAGTCTGATGGGGGTTGGTATCCCCTCCCGGACTAGAACCCTGTTGGGTTGCAATAGGTCGCATACTGGTCGTACTGTGCAGGTAGACAGGGCGGGGAGAGGGAGACGGAATTACTGAGAGGTTTGCAAAACTTATTGGTGGTAGACCTGGTCGTATTCTCTCCAGTGTCCCAAACGAGAGACGGGAAGAGTTTGAGGAAGATACAGCTTGAGATATTGAGCTGGGTGAGATAGTTTGGTAACCTGTACTAGGTGTAGGCACATGTTGGGTAGAGGTAGGAGAGGAGATAGATCTCATCAGAGCAGGAGATGGTTTGGAGCTGGAGGAGGGGTTTCTTTGATTCTCCTGCAACTGTCGTGTAGCAGAGTTTAGGAGAGGTGTAAAAACTTCAGTCTCACCTCGAAGGAATGAAGCCAGATCAATCCCAACACTCTCATCCTCATAGGCTATGGGCGGTATCTTCTTAATAACGATCTCACGGTCTGGTGGTGCCTGGGGGAGCTTAGGTGTGGTTCCATAACTAGCCGTGTTAATTCTTGGAGGTTCAGGACTAGCGACCGAACTAGGGAAATCCATTCTCAATGCTGGCAATTCATCCTTCTTTATGTCACTCTCCCGGACAATATGATGGGTTGACATGACAAATCCCTTTGTGCTGGTTTCTCCTTTGAATATCTTAGATTTGGATTTAACATGTACAGTGTAGTGCGGAGGAGGAAGCTGCATACGGTAAACTCGGCTTACATGGGACCCCTCACAGCGGAGCATTTGGAGATGGACATTCAGAAGGGGAGCATCCTGAACATTTTACAAAATATGATAAACGAAATTTCTTGCTCCAAATTTTCCTTAGCAAAATAAATCAGATTATCTAATGATAAAAGAAAACTTCTATTATTATGCTCAACCTTTTCATTAAAGAGAGCAAAATTGAAGTTGGGGTCATAGTTTGGGATTAATTAGAGATAATTCATAAAATTAAAAAAGAAATTATTTCAAATAATAAGTGAACTTTTGTCATGAGGACCCAATTCATCTAAAGGGTGGATACTGATTTGTGGATTAGGGAGGGATAAGATTAACAAATTTAAAACTCTACCTGAGGATGGACAATATCAGTGAGCTGTTTCCCAATGAAGTGAGGACCAATAACCTCTACATACTGCTCTGGGAGTCCGCTAGTATCCACTGTGCTTACGCTCCAGGTCTCAAGCTCAAGCTTAATATACAGTTTAAAACAGCTGTTAACCTTGCTTTGGAATAACAATAACTAGTTCCTTAAATACGGTCCAATCCACCCACTCCTCAGGCTCAAGCTTAATATACAGTTTAAAACAGCTGCTAACCTTGCTTTGGAATAACAATAACTAGTTCCTTAAATATGGTCCAATCCACTCACTCCTCAGGCTCAAGCTTAATACACAGTTTAAAACAGCTGCTAACCTTGCTTTGGAATAACAATAACTAGTTCCTTAAATATGGTCCAATCCACTCACTCCTCAGGCTCAAGAAATTAATTTTTAATTTTTAAAAAATAATCTTAAAAAATACATTGTAGGAAATGTTTAAATCTCAAAACTAAACGTTTGAAGGAATATTCAGCCCCTCCCCTTTATACATTTACATCGGAGTGCTTGTTATTTTTCGACAACAAACTAACAACATGAAAGAAAAAGATGTTATAATAATATAGAGAAGTGTGAAACAGAGATTAAAAGCAAAATACGTAATGGCAATCATCTTTTTAAATCGCGCTAATCAAAACTCAAATTTATAATTAATTAAGATATTGAATCAGCTTAATTAAGGATTTGGATGATTGTAGTGCATGATTGATTGATTGTTTGATGCTACCTGAGTTGTGAAGGACTCCACCGGAGTTTCAGAACAACTCTCATTTGAAGCAAGACGACGGGCAATGCAGAGAAGTGCACTAAAATAATTTATATAATTAACCACTTTAGGTATCAGCAGACTTCTTACTTCTTTGGTGTCTTATCTGTATTCATCAGAAATCTGGAAATTTATTACAACCCCCTTCCCAACCACCCCCTTTCAAATCAGTACTGTACAATGTAAACATGGACAGGCAAAATTTTAAAGCACTTGAAATTCTTGCTGCAAATATCTAGTATTTCTTTTAAACTTTTGGAAGAATCATTTAGTGTCTAAAACATTGTCAAACAACAGAAGTGCTTCAGAACTTTCTGCAATTTGTAAAATAATGTTAAAAATTTTAGTATGTCGAACCGAAAAGATAGATGTCTAGAAAATATATGGTATAAACTCCACCTTTTGTCCTTGTTCAGCTTGTCAGGGGTTAACATAACAATAGCAGTGACCTGCATATTCTCAAACGTATCATGCTACAGGGGTAACAATTAGATCATAAATAATGAAATAATGATCAATAATGAATAAAAATGATAATTATGATTTCCACGGAATGATGGTTGATCTTTTATTTATTTATTTATTTAATAATGATTAATAATGATTGATAATGATTAATAATGATTGATAATAATTAACGATTAATAATGATTACTTAATGATTAATTATAATTAATAATGATTAATAATGATTAATAATGATAAATAATGATTAATAAATATTAATAATGATCAATCATGATCAATCATGATCAATATTGATCTATAATGATCAATAATGATCAATAATGATCAACAATGACAGAGATTAATCATAAAAAGTTATAGTGGTTGGTAATTATAATAAAAATGAAATGGATTGAAAATTATAAAAATAGTTGTATTGAGCAAGAGAATATTTTCGAAAGTTTTACCATTTTAACTTTAAATTTAAAAACATGCCATTTTCTCCCCATTTCTATCTATAAATCTCCTTAGTGGATTCATATATTTTTTAATCTAATGGTTTCCTTGTTTTTAGATGATTCTGTTTTGATTGATTTCAGTCTGAATCTGAAAAATAAGTGGATTGTTTATATAAATGTCATATAGAGTCAAGAAGGGCAAGGGGGGGGGGAGTAGCAAACGCTGAGGATTAAAATTATTAGTTTTCTAGATAAAATATAAAAAAGAAAATAAAAATCTATAAAAAAAACGTGACAAAAACATATTTTCTTTAATGAATGATATTATAATCAGGTTTTCTAACCTTATATTAAATAAATTACTCCGGTCCAGGTTCTTTATCTCTTTAGGACCACACTCCCCACTCAACCTCTTCCAACTCGTCCAACTCTCAGTCTGTAGGTTCACAGAGAACCTGGAAATCAATCAAATAATCAATCAATCAATCAACCAATCAATCAACCAATCAATCAATCAATCAATTGTAAAATATAAATTATTGATAACTGATCAGGCCAGGCTCTCATAATCTCGATTATATAAAAATTTTAACTGACGTAAAACCACGTTTTGCTACTTGCTACAACTAGGATGATTCTAAAAAATGTCTCTCATCCCCCCCCCCGTCAAAACTTCCCCAGTAACCTGTCAACTAAAAACCCCCTGGACCTACCTGGCATGGTCCCCAAGATGAATGAATGAGTAAATGGACTGGTCTGTAATATTCTCCTGACTGAAGCCCAGGAACTCGGACACGTTCTCGCTCACAAAGTCCACCTGACCGTTACTTCGGACAATAAACATAAATCCATCCAGAGCTTCAAGAACAAGAGATCCTGAACATTAGGAGGTCAGTTTAGAGGTCACTAGTCTTCACAGTTCAGTTAAGAGGTCACTAAGTCTTCAAAGGTCAGTGAAGAGGTCACTAAGTCTTCAAAGGTTAGATTAGAGGTCACTAAGTCTTCAGAGGTCAGTTTAGACTTAAGAGGTTAGTCATACTTTCGTAATCTCTCAATGTCAATCTTTTAAAATTTCAAAAATATTTAACTTTAGTTTTCAGCCCACAAAATAAACATTAATTGTTAAGACCTGGCAAAGCTAAGACTTTACCTAATATCTCTTTTGGTAGAATAGGTTGGTTCGCAGAAACAGGACCTTGATTCACACCAAACTGATCTGTTCGTATTTCACGCAGTCGTTTCACTGTCTCTCTGTGATAAAGGGATTTTTAGAAAAATTCTAAACAAGCTTCATGTCCAAAATGCAACATAAAAAATAAACCATTTTATCACAACGATCACTTATCGTTATTTTTCTATTTCAAATGGGGCAGCAACCTTTTCTAAGAAAGTTACCAGAGCTGAAAACTTTATAATGGTGGAAATCGAGAATAATGCTTGATCTCCTCTTTTTTCTTAATATCCAGATTAAATAATGCTTGTTCTCCTCTTGTTCTTAATCTCGATTAATTTACATATCGGGATTAAGGATATCCCGTTTTAAAGTTTTCAGCTCAGTACAATATTAAATAATTTTTGAAAACAAAGATAAAACAATTAAGATATGTGTGCTGTGGCATTTTTCAAATTCAAAAAAGTTTTGGAATAAAGTTAGGTTTTTGCTAAATTGTTTTACTGCTGTAAGTTAGAATAGTTAAAATTTGTCAACATGAAAAATAATAATTGAAAATTAAAATTTCAGACGAATTTTTTTTAAATTCAATTAAAAAATACTAAGAGAAAAAAGTTTACTTGAGAATTGATCCTTTCTCTGTTCTTGGATCAACAGTGCCAGACGAATCGTCAGAATCACTAAAAAATAAATATTTTAACAAAAATCTTCCACAAATAATTTGAAAATTGGAATGCTCGCAGATTTCATCTGGGTTTATTATATCTTTTTCTAAAATTGAGCCAATGTTTTTCTAAAAACATGGAAAATGGTTTAATAACAAAAATAAGAACATTTTATGTCAATTTAAAGTAAACAAAATGCTTAGGTACAAATCTTATCGCCTATAAATTGTCATATTTTGTAGGACACTCTATACCGAATACACGTGCAATACCATATTGTCTTCAAATTGTTATGTTTATTGGGACAAACTGTACCGAATACATGTGCAATACCATATTGTCTTTAAAATTGTTCTGTTTATTGGGACACACTGTACCAAATACATGTGCAATACCATATTGTCTTTGAATTGTTATGTTTATTGGGACACCCTGTACCGAATACACATTCGATACCATCTTGTCTATAAATTGTTCTGTTTATTGGGACACCCTGTACCGAATACATGTGCAACACCATATTGTCTTTAAATTGTTATGTTTATTGGGACACACTGTACCAAATACATGGGCAATACCATATTGTCTTTAAATTGTCATACTTATTGGGACACCCTATACTGAATGCATATTCAACATAATCTTGTCTTAAAATTGTTCTGTTTATTGGAAAACCCTGTACCGAATACACATTCCATACCATCTTGTCTCTAAATTGTTATGTTTATTGGAAAACCCTGTACCGAATACACATTCCATACCATCTTGTCTCTAAATTGTTAGGTTTATTTGGACACCTTGTACCGAATACACATTCTATACCATCTTGTCTCTAAATTGTTAGGTTTATTGGAAAACCCTGTACCGAATACACATTCTATACCATCTTGTCTCTAAATTGTTCTGTTTATTTGGACACCTTGTGCCTAATACATATTCAATGCTATCCTGTCTCCTCCTTCCCCATTTCAATATTTTCCGCCAGAAGTTAGGAATGTTTGCACGGAGCGTAAAACTTTCTCAGACTTGAGAAAATAAATGATTTTTAGAGGGAAATCAATCAATTTTTGGGTAACGTGTATTAAAACAGAGGAAAAAACTTGTCTTTTAATTTCAAATTTGTCATTCCCCCCCCCCCCCCCCCACAAAATAATTTATAATTTTCACCAAGGGGGTGGTAAAGGTAATTCTTAATAATATACACCCCTGTTTTCATGTTATGTGGGACACCCTGTACCTTATCTCTGGTAGATTTACTGAGATGAGCTGGGATAGCTCCTCTAGATAGAGATTCTCTTGATCCCGTCTTTTCTTCTCATTATCCCGTTTATTCGGATTTGTGAGGTCATCGTCAACAGTTCCAGACTCCCCATTACTTGTATCAGACATCACCTTAATTAACAGTAAAGGGACTAGACACAGAATTACAAGTGATCCTCCAATTCAAATGTTCGGGAAAAATGGAAGGAGTTTGCAGGGCTGATTCCTTGTCAAATTCGGGTTTGATCGCTACTAATTATACTTATATCTGTTGCGAAGGAGCAATATACATTCACTGACTTGCGTTACTATAAATAATTCAAATGGGTTTAAAACTATCCATTAAAATATTACAATGTGCAAATGTCGGATTCAATTATGGGCATTCGAATCTAGTTAATAGTTTCAGCCCTTCCATACCCAAATTCAAATAAAACAAGTTAACAAAAACTAGCTTATAGATTCAACATTAATTACGCATATTTTCGTCACACAAGAACAACATGCGTCAATATTGTATAAAAACGCCCACCGCTAGATTTAAAGATATGAAATTGAATAATTCCATCCCTGAAAATGTTTAAATGTTTTTTATGAATAGTACGGACGTTTAACGACAACGGCAATTTGCTTTTGTATATTGGTTAACTTTTGAATTCATTTCTCACCTCTTAAATAATTAAATTGCTTACTCAAAAATGACACAAAAAATGGATTTATCATTCCATTCCCTCGCAATTAATCTGGCAATTTTATTTGTATCTTTTGTTTATGTGTGAATACAAGATTTTTTATTCACACATTACCGAAAGATTAATTTATGTAAACAATGGGGGGGGGGGGAACTCCAGGTTAAAAACATATCTATTCTCTTTGCTAAAAACCGATTAAAAAAGAGAAAATGTCGTATAAAACTAAATTCTTATTTTAGATTTAACCGACTTAATTTCCAAAAAAATTGGTATGAAGATTTTTAGTGCCAATTCTAGAACTTAATCCACAAAAAAATCGTCTGAATCTAAATAAATAAATTATTGTGGGTGTTCATTTCTGCCAGTTTCCCATACTAAACTGCAGGATGTTGTATATATGAACTCCAGGGGCATATTCGGGAAGGCTTAATATTTTTGACATTCAAGGGGGGCCATAGGCTCAGGCTACGTGGAGGGTTAAAAACTCTTGTTTACAACCGGGGGGGTTGGGCTTTGCAACCAAAACCACCCCCCCCCATCACCCTTGAATATGCCCTTATAAAGTTATTGTTTACATAATGTACCCAGTACATTAATCTGTAAAGTTTATCAACATTCAGAGACTTGATATTCCTTGGAATAGACTCGAATCAAAATGTCATGCTAAATTATAACAGTGTCCATGTTAATTAGTCTTTCAAAAAATTGAGAAGAAGAAATGAGTGTCAAAAGGCAATTTTAATTTTATTAACAATCATATTTGTTTCACAAAACAACAACAAGTCATTGATTTCCGATTACTCTAAGAGAAAACAAATAAAAAACTCGAATCTATATAATAAAACAAGACATTCATACATATACAGGGTGCGAACGGTATTCGTAGACAAAATTTAAATCAATTTTTAAGTCAGAAAGGAAATGAATCTTTAAAATTTCGGTTTTTTTAAAATCAGATAATCCAAATTTAATCGGCTCGGATATCTTGATTAAGGGGGACACACAATGACCAACAGAGGGGTCGTCATAACCCTGTTGCGCAAGGAGATTCAGGCGCCGAAGCTACTGTCACAGCCAGGAAATTGTCGATATAGTGCAAGTAATGATTGATGACGACCTGGGCACGTTCATCAGGCAGATTGGGAGGTTGCTGGGCAATATCGATTGGGTGGTGAGGAAGATTGGGAAGGAGAAGAGAGGGTACAAATCGTACATACATAGATAACGCCAGTTTATTAGCAATGCGATGAAGCCGAAGAAGATGGGGTGCAGGGCGCACATGAAGCACGTCTAGAACACAAACTAGTGGCCCCTTCAGCTACACAGATTTACATCCACCCGATTATTTTGTGTAGTCCTTGGTCAAGAAGGATGTCAAAAGAACCCTTTACAACACAACACATTGAAATCACTAGTGTATTCAAATTCAATGATATGCCGCGAGCAAAATTCGTCAGTGCCTGCTCTAGCTTAAATAATGCATGGATAAGGTTGTTGCTGAAAAAATGCGGTTTTCTTAGATAAATATGTTCGTTATAACTAAATAAACATCCTTTGATTAAAACTTCAATAAAAAATAGTTTTTGGTCAGTTTTCGAATAACGCACGCACCCTGTATATGTTGCCGGCCAAACACCTAGACCGAATGGACTGACATATTAAGTGTACACTCATGGCTAAAAAAAAATATTTTTTGGGTCCGCCCTAGAATACGATTTTGGACCCCGACCCCCTCCCATCAATTTTGTACATGACCAGTTTTTCAACAATTTTCAACAAAATTAGTATATATTTAGATTTTAGAGTTAGGTTAGGTTACGACACTTTCTGGGCCGAGCGCTGCGTTGCGTTTATGCTAGAGGGCCGAGAGCTGCGGCTGCTAAGACAGGCTAGGGGGCCGAGCACCGCGGCTAGGAGCCGGGCGCTGCGACCACTTGACCAATAATATCCTTGTCTTACATATAAGATCTATGTACAAAATTCACAGGAGGTGAGAGGGGGCCCGTTCACTTGAAAATAGCCGATATTTTGAAGAAAAACAAAGTTTTAAAGATAAACCATCAATATGTATGGTATGTTGGCGTACTACACACTTGTTGGCAAAAATACGGCCAACAATAGTATGTCATCCCTTACATATCCATGAGGAGAATTATTATTATAATCGTCTGAAACCATCAAATTACTATGTCCAAGAGTTTGTAGACGATAACACTTTGTTTATTAACACAGCACACAAGGCAAGGATATACGATTTTATTTGTTTCACTTTACAGCGCCATTTTTTATTCACAATATCACCATTTTCGGGATTCACCGCCATGCAGTTGGTATTCAAATTTAAACTTTTACGGGATAGGGACCAAAAAGTCCATGTATATGCTCATTTTTCACTCATTTAAGGTAAAAAATATTTTAAATCTACGACCTTGAAGTTATTCACTTTTTATGCAATGTTCGGTAGCACGCATGCGCAGTAATCAAAGCTTGGACAGGTCGTCTTTGATTGAGAACAAAGTCCAAAATATTTCAAATTTCTTGGAAAACTGCGCTTCAATTTTCTTCGAAATATTCGAAATATTTATGTTAAGCATATATCTGTTGATAATACACAAATAAAGCTAAGATCCTAGGCGTATACTTGGAGTTGGGTGGGGGGAGGGCAAAGGGGACAACCCCCCCCCCCCCGGATCAGTAAAATCTTTTTATCAAGGGAGTTTCAGACGGCATTTTTGAAAATTTACCCGAATTCGTATATGTGCTAAACGTTTAATTTATGAGGGACAGGACTGAGACCCCTCCCCAAAGAAATAGAATTCCCACGGGCCTGCAGGAATTTTTTCAAATAAAATTAACCCTAACATTACTGGTATGAAATTTACGAATATATACAGCTTTTTTTGGGTTTGCATCAAACTTTTAAACTCTAAAAAATACAATTTATTAAGTAAAGAAAAATCCGAAAAATAATTTCAAAATAAGTAAAATAACCTCAAACTTAATAAAAGATTGCTTGACGTCTGGTTTGTATCAAACTTTATATAAACTCTAAAAACAAGAATCGAAAAATACGTAAAAATACGTAAAATATATAAACTTAAAAACTAAGAAAAATTATTTGGTGTCAAATTTACGAAAAAATACGTATTTTAAGGTAATTGCATCCAATTTTTAAACTCAATAGGGTTTGCAGCGAAAAGGAAAACTCGTTTTGCAAACATTTTTTTTTCGCAAAATTTCGCTTCAATCTGCTTTGGGAAAAAAATTTCACCAAAAAAGACAAAATACAGCTTAAGCTCCTAAGGTTTCCGCACAAATATTTTCTCGAAATGCAAAATATTCGCAAAAGTATTTTACGCAAAATTTCGCTTCGATTTTGCATTATTTTCTTCATTCATTTTCGCGAAAAATGCGAAATTTGTGAAATACGAACAAAATTTTCGCATTTTCGCGAAACTTTTTGTTCGCTGCAAACCCTAGCCAGGATGCGCCGAAAAAAAATCATGAAATCTTATAGTATATATACAGACTATCTATCGTTTGCATTGCAGTACAATATAGATAGTATTGCAAAGTAAAAAATCCTCCTTTAATCATTAAAACATTATAATTTCAACATAGATTAAGTTTTAATGATCGGCAAATTTACTAATAGTTTTTTTTTTATAAAATCCACAAAAATATTTTTTTCTGGAACTATTAAATTATATTGAGAATTTTTACTTTTTACTTACTTACTAACATTTCGAGTTATAGCATTTTTTAACTCTTCCTGTAAATTTATTTGATCAATTGGCATAGAATAAAGAATTTAATTGGGGCTTCAATTTGAAACAATTATATATTTTTTAAATGTTCACTTTTTAATGACTTTTCAAAAAATCATAAAAAAATGGACTGATTTTTATAGATAATAATTAACTAAAAATAGTTTACTAAAATTTTATTTGGCTATCTAATTTAATTTTGGCTATCTAATTTTATTTTGGCTATCTAATTTTCTAAAAAAAACTAGAGAGAACTTTTTTTAACTTTATGTAAAGATGAGCTAAAAAACTTATATAAATTTTCAAAATATACAATTGTTACTTTGCGACCTAATTACTCCATAAATAAATTAGTTAAGGAATTCTTGACGTAAGATTTGAAATAACAGATGTTATTATTGCCCTCGTCGACTTTTCTATTCATACTTTGCTTGTCCATTTTTTGAGGCAATTCACATGACCCAATGTCCCATGGGAAGAGTTTATGGATGATCAGAATAGCAAAACATATTTCGAAAAACATAGCGGTTTTTGCAACATTTTGAAAAATTCACAAAATAATATTAAGAAATCCACGAACTTTTTTCTGTTATTTTTTCTATTTAACAAAGAGAAAATGCTGGAGCAATAATTAAAAGTTGAAATAGAAGCCAATACTAGTGATATATTATAATAAAATATTTAGTTTTCCCAAAACTAATTTTATCACTTGTTTCCTCGATATTGTCAGTTGATCTCCTATTTAACAATATGTAATGGGATCTGTGTATAATAATTTTAGTAATTGAATCTACATATATCTAAATAATTTCAGATTTATAATCTCCAGTGTATTCGAAACATTATAATTGTTATATAACATGTTGAAGCTGGGATTCATTACCTTAGCAACATTTAGGTAAATATGCCATTAACGGGACTAAAACCGTATTTTAATGCAAAGATGGCAATGTCCGATTTACAACAGTACTCTTGAAAACTCAATCTCATAAAAAATGTGGAAGATCAAGTAGTTTTCCTGACTAGAAAAGTGTTTAATTCTGTGAATTTCTTTGTTGTTTCTTAGAAGAAAGCGCGCATGCGCATAGTCATTTTTACAGAGAAATCACATATGAAAATAATCAGTTTGAAGATTCAAAAGCATGAATATAATTCATGCTAAATCAGACTCACACATGGCTATTGATTTTGTACCATTGTAAATCGGATATTGCCATCTTTGCATGGAGGGCCGCGTTACGTTACCTTACGTGGACAATCTCTATAAGCAACATTTAAAAACGTTCTCTCAAGGTTTAACCGTGGGAAACGTTTACGGAGTGTTTTAACGTTACAAAACGTAAACACATACAAAAAGCTTACATTAATTTGGTTCGCCTGTAACTGTAATAATTATTTAATCTAAAGGAATCTTGCCACGAACTTTGATTTTGGAATTCTTATATCTCCGCAACCCGATGTCGTAGAAATTTTATGTTTCACATGAATTTTGTTAAATAAAACCAAAGTTTACACCTACCCGAGGCTCAAAAGATATAGGGATTAGAAAAGTGAGTTTGGACATAATGCATTAGCAGCTGATATCTTATAAAGTATAAGCTCAAATAAGCGTAAAAACGGCTGAGCCGATCAGGCATAATTTTTTTTGTGGAATCTTAAATGATCTCAGGGGAGGTTCGGGATTTAAGAATGTTCAGAAGTAATTTTTTTACTTTTCATAAGATCGATGAAAAACATCGATAAATCATCAAATTTTTTTTGTTTTTATTTAATAATTTAAATAAAATATAGCCGCAGATTGAGCAACAATTAAAAGTTAATATAGAAGCCTATGTATTTAAAATTTTTACAAAGATAATTAGATCAACTGAAAGATTCAGCAGATTTAGTTTAAAGGAATTGAGTCTTTGCCACAAACTTAGATTATTTAATCACTATATCTTTGCAACCCATTGTCTGAGACCTTAAATATTTCAAGCTATGAGTTATGTTAGATTAAATAATCTAAGTTTGAACTGTCAAAGGTTTACACCATCAGGTTGCAAAGATTAGAAAATTTGAGTTCGTGGCAAAGAATCAATTCCTTTAACCAACAAATTTGATTTGTTTAAAAATAAGATACAAATTGTTTAGTCTGGTGTCTCCCAAAATGTATCTGATAGAGACCAAAGAACAAGCTTCTTTAGCTGCTCCTTCAATCCCAGCAGCAACTCCAGCTTCTTCATACCAAGCAGCCACACAAGCTGCTACAATTCCGGCAGCTCCAAAAGCTACTGCCTCTCCTTATGAAACAGCTTCAAAAAAACCTGATGGGAGTAAGTAACCTTTTATTTCAAACTTGCAAATTCGCAATTTTTTTCATAAGATTTTAAATTGTGCATTTTGTAAAAATTGTGTAACTTTTTTGTAGAGTAAAATGCCTTGCCTAAAGATATCCTAAATGTTCTAATGTTTAGGGACACAACTTTAATTTTTTAAATTTTAAATTTTAATTATATCCAAATATTAAATATAATATAAGCAGAGTCCGAATTTAATGAATTTGAGCCGCGTCTCAAATCCACCGATTTCAATTGAGCGTCAGCGTCTTGAAACATTGAATACAATTTTAAATGAAACCAACCATATTTGGGCGCCGTCTCAAATTAAAGCCCCGCCTCAAATTGTTTAAATTCGGCCTATGAGCTAAAAGCTCTAGTATTCTGGAATGTAGATATTTTAACGCTTGATCTTGATCTTTTATTAATCTGAAGATTAATTTAATCTTTATTCATTATTCATAATTGAGATGAAGTGACTAAGCCTTGATCTATGATCTCAGAGGATATCGAGATCAAGACGATCATGATTATGAGTATCCAGCACAGAGGATATCGAGATCAAGACTATCATGATTATGAGTATCCAACACAGAGGATATCGAGATCAAGACTATCATGATTATGAGTATCCAAGCAAAAGTTCCCAGCTCAGGATTTTTATAGTCTGCCGCCCTTAAAGGGATAATTTACTTACTTTGGGTAATTTCATGGTAAACTTATTAGCCTATTAGCTATTCATTGGTACTTTTCAGATATATCTATATATGACCGGATAAAAGCCAATTTATGGTTTAGAATTCCAACGGAAAGGTATAATACCTTTGCATAGACACTATTTAAACGTTTTCAGATATATCTATATATGACCGGATAAAAGCCAATTTATAGTTTAGAATTCCAACGGAAAGGTATAATACCTTTGCATAGACACTATTTAAACGTTTTCAGATATATCTATATATGACCGGATAAAAGCCAATTTATAGTTTAGAATTCCAACGGAAAGGTATAATACCTTTTCAAACGTTTTTCAGTAACAAAAACCAATAAAATTTAGAATTATCATATTTATATGATATCGCGTGTCAGCCATTAAAATTTTTTAAAATTTCATGACTATGACAAACAGGCATCAAATAGTGTCTATACAAAGGTATCATACCTTTGCGCTGCAATTATTAATAATAAATCGGCTTTTTCTCAGGCCACAGTTTTCTTTGGAAAGTAAGTCTAATACCAATAAATGGCTAATAGGCTATTTAGTTTACCCTCAAATTACCCAAATAACTGAATGGTCCCTTTAACCCGTATTAAATGAAAACCTATAAAAGTTAAAAATAATTGATTTCTTGCTTTCAGGTGATTATGCAGACTCACTGAGTAAAGAGGATTCAGGGTAAATATCAAGATAATATTCATAAATAATAATAATAATGATAATAATTTACTAATACTAGTGCGGATGACAGCGATGACTATATTTGTGAAGAGGATGAAGAGGATGAAGAAGGATTGGATGCTGAATAAAAATAATTGAATTTTGTTTTAAAATACAGAAAAAATGTTTAAAACATTTCTTTCTGTACAGAAACATTTCATCAAAATACAAAATATATCTACAATTTCATTATAATTTTTAATAAAACCATATATTTTGGTTCACAATGCTGTGTACAAAAATATAGGTAATTTTATTAAATGTTTGTGCAACTGTACTTGTTTGGCTACGCTCAATTTTATACAACCGAAGTTAAATAATTTACTTTATTAACTGACTAAATTAAAAATCTAAATTTAGGAGATCAAAATATATCAAGGTGACGTGGCAGAAAATAGAGTTCATCTTGCCGCGTCTGAGTATCCGGCTTCTCTCCTCAGATCGTCTTCCGCCNAAGGTGGAGCATGACGTGGAGATGGCTTGGAGGTTGGAGATGTTGGAGATGGAGGAACAGGTGGAGTAGCATGACGTGGAGATGGCTTGGAGGTTGGAGATGTTGGAGATGGAGGAACAGGTGGAGTAGCATGACGTGGAGATGGCTTGGAGGTTGGAGATGTTGGAGATGGAGGAACAGGTGGAGTAGCATGACGTGGAGATGGCTTGGAGGTTGGAGATGTTGGAGATGGAGGAACAGGTGGAGTAGCATGACGTGGAGATGGCTTGGAGGTTGGAGATGTTGGAGATGGAGGAACAGGTGGAGTAGCATGACGTGGAGATGGCTTGGAGGTTGGAGATGTTGGAGATGGAGGAACAGGTGGAGTAGCATGACGTGGAGATGGCTTGGAGGTTGGAGATGTTGGAGATGGAGGAACAGGTGGAGTAGCATGACGTGGAGATGGCTTGGAGGTTGGAGATGTTGGAGATGGAGGAACAGGTGGAGTAGGGCTGGGGCGAGAAAGGGCGTCAGCTACAGTATTCTCCAGGCCAGGCACATGTACGATAGAACTTGTGAATTCTGCAATATAGGCCAGGTGTCTCTGTTGGTGTGCAGACCAGGGCGGAGAACTCCTGAACAAAGCAGAGGTTAGAGGTTTGTGATCAGTAAATAACAAAAACTCTCTACCTTCGAGCATGAAGCGGAAGTGTCTGATGGAGAGGTAGGCTGCTAGAAGTTCCCTGTCAAAAGCAGAATACTTCTTCTCTGTGTCAGATAACTTCCTGGAGAAAAACGCTAGTGGAAACCAGGCTTCATCAACTCTCTGTTGGAGAACAGCACCCACATGTGAATCGGAAGCATCAACGGCAAGGGAAATTGGAGCTGATGAACGAGGATGAATTAACTCTGGAACTCTGATGATGAGGTCTTTTGCATGACGGAAGGCAGCCTCGAGGTTAGAAGTCCAAGTGATAGATTTTCCTGGACCCTTCAGAGCATCAGTGAGGGGAGCTAGTACTCTAGCAGCTCCCCGGAGAAATTTCCTGTAAATTTTGATCATACCCAGGAATCTCTGTAGAGCAGGTTTATCTGACGGAGTAGGGAACTCGGAGATCGCTGCTGTGTGCTTGACCAAAGGAGAACACCCACTCTTGGAGAGAACATGACCCAAGAACTCGATCTCTGAAACAGCGAACTCACACTTGGGCAGGCCGATCGTCAGTCCGTGCTGTCGACAGAGGAGCAGGACTTGACGAAGGTGATCTACGTGCTGCTCCAGGCTGGTGCTGAACACTAGGATATCATCCACGTACGTGAAACAGTAAGGGAGGTCGCCGCGGATGGAATCCATCATCCTCTGAAAAGTATTACCCGCATTCCTGAGGCCAAAAGGAAGGCGTAGAAACTCGAACATTCCGAAAGGGGTGATGATGGCTGTCTTGCAAATATCCTCCTCGGCCATGGGAACCTGATAATAACCCTTCTGCAAATCCAGCTTCGAGAAAACTGTTGAACCTGCAACTCTTGACGTGAAATCTGCAATGTTGGGTAGAGGATATCGGTCAGGAATCGTAACAGTATTCAGACGCCTGTAATCTCCGCAGGGACGCCAACCTCCATCCTTCTTCTTTACCATGTGAAGAGGAGAAGACCAGGGAGAATTAGATCTACGGATAATCCCTGCCTTTTCCATGGCGGAGAACTCTGCTTTGGCGGATGCCAACTTCTCAGGGTCTAAACGTCGAGCTTTAGCGAAAACTGGTGGACCAGGCTGCGTGAGAAGATGATGGGTAACTCCGTGACGAGGTTTGGAGGCTGTGAAACCGTCGGACGAAACCACATCTGGAAACTCGGCAAGGAGGTCGGAAATACATTTAGGAGTGGCAAGAAGATTGGCTTTGAGTGGAGCAGGTTTGGAGTCTGGAGAAGTTGGCAACACGATGGACGGAGAGGTTGGAGAGTCGGCACTGAAAACTCTCTGGTTGGATACATCCAGGAGGAGATTGTAGTGTTTCAAAAAATCTGCACCCAGGATCGGAATTGCTACCGGAGCTAGTTGGAATCGTCTTCCGCCACAATCCTGTGATTTTTGTTGCTTAAAAAATATCAAGTTACCTAACCAATGTTGAATGCCGCAAGCTCTATCTAAGATCAAAGACGACTTAGAAGTTATCAATCAATTCATATTTTTCCGGGTTATTTAGAACATCACTGTTTGAGGAGATGAAATAATTAATAATGAAATAATCGATTCTACGGTTCATTATGGATTTCATCGATAATTTCCTTTAAGAAATATGTTCCTAAACAGCAAATTAGTCTACAGCTAAACCCTAAATAAAACACACATCAAAAGAATTCATCAAATTCTTCACTTTCTGATAATGGAATGTTGCAGATATTTATTTTTTTAATTAAATGATTATATGGAACTTTTTTAAAACTGTTCCCGCATATTCATGGCTAATTATTTATTTTCGCAAATACTGAGATTTACGTAAAATAGTAAAAAAACTATTGAAAAATTTTTAAGACTACATTTGATAAATTCTTTCGATGTATGGCTCATAATTAGGGGTTAACTGTTCAAAATAATTGTGTTTTTTTCATGTTTTGTCCGGGTTATTAAATAATTGTAAAAAAACGTTTCTTCTGCTGACTGAATCTAATGGTGAATTATTACAAACGACTTTAGGCTTTTATTTAAAAATTGCACACCTTAAAAATGTCTAATTGGTATAAAATGAATCCTAAAGTTGTTTTCTACAATACTGCACTTTCAGCTCAACTACCATGTCTAGCCGGTCTCTCCCTTTAAAATGTAAAAATTATTGCTGCTACTAGATGGAGTTGAAAACTACGAGAAGATGAAAGAATTACTCAACAAATCTAAATTTAAACTTGAAAGATTAGAACAACAATGGAACAAAACAGAGGTAAGATTTTTAGGTGACTGAAAAAAAGGGATTATCGATACCTGGAAAAAAAAATTTCAAAATTTTTGTTTTGTTCGGATGTTAGGCATTGGTAAAATGTTCAATCTATTGTTTTCCAAAAATTTTTAAAAATTCATCAAAAATTATTGAAATATAAAAAAATTGAAACCAATTATTTGGATAATTTGATAGCATTTACTGAAGATTTCCGCTCTAAATTTTTGCGGATTTTTTTTTATCTTATTGAATTTTTAAAGAATTTCTATGAATATTAAACTTGTTCTTCCGATCCTCCTGTCGGCTGGATTTATATCACACATTTCTCCACTAACTATATTACCTAGATGAGAGGTTGCGTAATACCTGCATCATTACAAACGTATATTTATCAGGAGCTGATGAATACTGAGTACACTGAGCTCAGTAGGGACCTGGAGAACAAGAAGAACAGAAGAATAAACAACCCAGAATCCAGGTATAGAATACACCCTGAAGAGAACCCTTTCAAATTAATCAAAATTGTGATAATTTCAGTTCCAAGGATATTATTGCTGAATTATCTGCAAAAATCCTGGACTGCCAAAAGTTGATAAAGAGGAACAGAAAGATTGCGGAGAAAATAGGTAAATCACCAAAATATGTGTTAGGTTTAGGCATATGGTTTCTATGCATTTTGATAAAAAAGAAATTGAGTTTTTGCCACAAACTCAAACTTTCTAATCCCTATATTTTTGCAACCAGATGGTGTATTTAAAATGAAAAATATTTTATCTAACAGAATTCAAAGCCCTAAATATCAAAGATATATGACAAGAGGTGGGATACTATATACTGATTAGAAAATTTTAGTTTGTGTCAAAAACTCAGTTCCTTCGGCCTAACTTTTTTTTACTACAAATCAAAGAGATCGATAATTTTTAATATAAAGTTAGTTTAGAACTGTCTTCTTTAAAGCAAACTTTTTTGTTGTAAAATTATTTTTGATTAGTATTTTACAATATCTTAAAATCTATTTTTACTCTTTTTTTTACTCGCTCACCACAACAACAAAAAGAAAACAGTACAATTTTTGTTTAATCTATGATTAATAAAAAAAAATCCGGAATCCCCAAAACGTTAATAAGTCAGCTATAGATCCAATTCTTTGTGACAAGAGCTAAACTTTCTTTTTTTTTAGATTAGATAGAAATTATACAATAGCACAATTTATTTTATCCTCTCTTAACTTTTGATTTTGAGATGAAAAAGGTTTCGAGATTCTTAAGATCTAAAGATGAACCGAATGTCCTACACAGACCGTATCCTGGATATTCTTAAGAACGTAGAGAAGCAGCAGTTGGATATAGATAATATACTGGTGGATATCAGGTTGGATATATAAATAATATACTAGTGGATATCAGGTTGATATAGATAATATACTAGTGGATATCAGGTGGAAATAGATAATATACTAGTGGATATCAGGTTGGATATAGATGATATAGTAGTAAATATCAAGTTGGATATATAGATAATATACTAGTGGATATCAGGTTGGATATGTAAATAATATACTATTGGATATCAGGTTGATATAGATAATAAATTAGTTTATATCGTGTTGGATATAGATAATATACTATTGGATATCAGGTTGGATATAGATAATATACTAGTGGATATCCGGTTGAATATATAAATAATATACTAGTGGATATCAGGTTGGATATAGATGATGTACTAGTGGATATTATGGTTGGATATATAGATAATATACTTGTTGATATCATGTTGGATATAGATAATATACTAGTGGATATCAGCTTGAATATATAGATAATATACTAGAGGATATCAGGTTTTTCCTTGAAGTTTTAATTGTTAACTATAAGTTTTTTTTCGAATTACAAGTTTTTAAATTGAAGAGAAGCTTTTTTAATTGACTTCTTCTCTTTGTTTCCATGTTTATGTGTATCCATGATGTTAAAAAAGCTTGATAAAAATCAAAATTGTAATCGAAAGTCGTCTTTATTGTATTCTTATATGCGACGATGACTGTAGACATTATACTTTTTGCATAAAATATCTTGAGATTCTATGATGAATGTATTAGTGTACAGTGGTAACTAGAAAACAGAGGACTTTTAATTTTTAAATGTCGAAAAGGATTTAATAATCTCCGACTGTTTTGATTCTTGAAATGTGTTTTACCAATTTCAAGTCAGAAGCCTTGGCGACATCTTCTATATAATAAAGCTGTTCGCTTATATATATGCATATATATGTTAGCTATAGCTGGCCAAACGGCTAAACTAAATAGGTGGAATTTTTGTGTGGGAATCCGGAGGTAAGATAGGCTAAAAAAAATAATTTTTCAAAATTATATTTTTTCAAGTGTTTCTAAAATTCTACGGGCAACGTCGGGCATTTCAGCTAGTTTTGTAATAAAAAGAAATATGAAGACGACATTCCAGATACCACTGTATATCCAGGAGTGTACAGAAGGACATTAACCTGGAGTCTGGTAAACTGGAGAGAACATTTCTAGAACTTAATATTTCAATCCAGGTAATTCAATTCAGGGCGCTTAAAGGGACTGTACGCGTAATTAAAAGTGACACTCCATGCAAAGATGGCAATGCCCGATTTACAACGGTACCCTTAAAAGCTTTATCTGATCGTGTATGCTTTAGATATCCATGTTTTCCTTTATTTCCACTGCTTATTTCCATTTGCGGCTTCTCTGCAAATGAGACATAATGGAGAAACTCACAGAAATAAACACTTTAAAAAATGAATAGCTTAAAACGAAACAAACTAAAAACTAAACACAACAAAGTGCATTCTCTCAGTATCAGAGTTTTGTTCAGTCGTAGTTTGATCTCTCATCAAATATTTGTCGAAATTGCAAGTACAAGAAATTTACATGTATCGGGTAAAGTTAAGACTCAGTAGATTATTAACCAGTGTCCGAATTCAAAGAATTTGAGACGTGTCTCAAATTTAAGCCGCGGTGGTTGGTTCCACTTAAAAGTGTTTTCAATGTTTCAAGATTTAAGTCGGCGCTCAATTGAAACCGGTTTTGGCTGATTTGAGACGCGGCTCAAATTCATTTAATTCGGACTCAGGAACTTTAGTGTTTAATGTGAGAGGAATCGTGATTGATGTCAAATATTCGGTTCTGCTGTTGCATAATTTCTCTGACATTTTGAGCCTACAATTCACCTTTTCTTTTTGCATTGATTATATTTGATCTTTTGCTTGATTTATTGGACGAAAAATACATTGTTTAAAGTTTTATTATTAATATTAGGGAAATTTCCAATAAATTCTTTATTGTTAAGTATTTTTTTATATTTTTACACTTCTTCTTTAGGATCAAACATCTAAAGAAAAATACATTTTTACTTTAAAGTCTAAGTATTCATATTAGTGAAACTTCCGCAGCTTTTTTTGTTAAATATTTTTTTTTTACATTTTGACACTTTTTCTCAAAATCGTCTTTTAGATCAAACATCTTAGAAAAAATTTATTTTTTACGTGAAAGTCTTAGTATTAATATTAGAAAAATTTACACATTTCTGTTAAGTTTTAAAAAAGATATTTTGACACTTTTCTTTCCAAAATCATCCTTTTGATCAAACATCTTGAGTAAAATACATTTTTTACTTTTAAAGTGTTAGTATTTATATTAGGGAAACTTCCGCATAGGTCTTTATTGCAATTTTTTTCTTTGACTTTTTATTTTCGTATTGAATTGATAATAGTAAAATTGAATTTGTGGTCTTGGGTTTATATATATAAATATATGTTAATTATTAATATAGATAAAACTGTTTTCAAATGAAGATAAACAATGTATATTAAAAATGAAACCGAATATTTGATTTCAAAAGTTGAGAATTTATTGAAGAACTGTGAATAGGAGATGCAATTTTAAAATTTATATTTGTTTCAGGACAGGTTAGGAGGAAAGAATGGAAAGGACGGATTTGGAGAAAAGATAAAGACGATGATAAACTTGATTCACCAGGTATAAATTAAAAATGTTAATGCTCTTTGTAAAACTTGATATTTTTGCCAATTTCTTTTTTGAAAAAGCTCTAATTATAGTTCTAAAATGTACCAGTCTAGAGCTACACTACAGTTCAAGTGACTTAACCGCAAAGGGCAAGGCGTTGCGACACTTTATAGTCGGCCCAGTCTTTAATATGAAAATACAATATTCATAGCTCCCTAGATCTCTGTTCTAACCCTTAAACTTGATAAACCATTTGTGTAAATCTTTGATATCTCAATCTTAAATTATTTTATCTAACATAATTCATAGTTTGAAATATCGACATTGGTTGCAAAGATTTAGGGATTGTGTTGTTGTTACAACTTTACGACTTTGTGATTTACAACCAAATTTACGAAAAGAAAATTTATTTAATTCTTGAATTAAACTTACTTTTGACGTCATATTTGATAACTTGATAAAAATTCAAAATCCATTTGATTATGATTGAGTTTAAAATAAACTATTTTTTGTAAAAATATTATAAATTGATAAAATATATTTAAATTCTATAAAACAAGAAAAAATTGTTGAAAAGATATGATCATGAAAAATAAGCGTTAACAGATGGGTTATACATTTTTACACAATACAATACAATTATATTAATGCTTTTAATAATTCAAATCAAATCAAATCATAAAAATTTCTGCAGTTATCATTATAGGTATTAAAAAAACATCAGATACAAAAAACTACAGCTGGCAAAAATCAAGTCCTTCATAGTTCTAAAATGCAAATGGAAAAGGTTATATAGAGTGGTAAAATAAAAAACCACGGCTTTGCGACACTTCAAAGTCGATCCAGTCTTGAAAAATCATAGCAGGCTGAATCTTTGTAAAATTAAGATACAGAACCTTTAAAAACAAGCAATATAATAATATCAGAACAAGTAACAATATATTAATAATAAATTCGACTTCTATTACTAATAATAATAAAAATAATACTGATAATAATAATAATAAATGATATGAATAATAATAATGATTAAGATAAAAATAATGATACGAATAATAAATAAAAATCAAAACAATTTTTAAACTTTATTATAAAGATTTATTCACACACAAAGAATACATAAATGTATAAATGGTGTTGTTTAAATTTGTTTAAATATTTTGAATATATAGTTTTACAAAAGAAAAAGAGAAATATGCAAAATTATGCACAAATAGGCGACATTGATCATTACTTATTACATAACATTTTTATCATTTCAGTTATTACGTAATCATCGAATCCTTCAACATATAAAATATTCGTTCTTGTGTCATTAATGGTTATTGTAAGACCGGAACTTAAATACACAAATCTGTATAAAAGTATCTGTATGAAAATACAACAATTATAAAGAAATTAATTTACAATGGAAATAAATGTTTTCAACATTTATATATTTTCGAAACAAATGGGCATTACATAAAGCTCGCACCCCTGAGCCTTTCGTAAAAGTAAATTTAACCTAAAATCTGACCGCGTCAACCTTGTTGCACCGGTTAGTCCTATTGAGTGTTTGCTTTATTTACCCAATGTCCGGGCGATACAGTACAAAATGGGACCGGAAAGGTTGACCCGGATCGAAAATTCAAATTTACTACTGCTGCCGGTGAAAGCGACAAATGCTATAATCTTAATCAAAAATATCTATTTATGTCATTGCAATGGGTATTATAAAGTGGGAAAAAGTTTTTGCCGGGATTTTTATTTTGATCGAAAACAAACTAGAAAAATTAAAAATCACAGCAAAAACTTTTTCGCGCACATGATATCTATTTCCATAACATATATAGTTTTTTTCAATTTTACTCATATTATTTTAAAGCAGGTCGTTACTTAATCACCCTGTTGTAGGGTGATTAAGTAACGTTATCACCCTACAATGAGACAAATTAGGTGTGAAATTTGAAATTTTAATAGCAGGGTGAAAAAGTTACTTTTTCACCCTGTTGTAGGGCGATAAAGTCACTTAATCACCCTACAACGGGAAATATTAGGTGTGATAAATTCCATCAAAATTGAATAAAAGTTTTTAAAAATTATTTTATGTTTTTCAACATATATCTAGAATATACGAAGAGAATAGTCAATAACAATTGACTTAATCATGAAAATTATTTTTAAATGAAAATATAAATAATAATAAAAACAAAATGAATATTAACTTTTAAACTATAAATACACATTATATTTCACTTCATAAAAGTACATTATTGTTAGGGTCTATTACAGTCTTGCATATATGTAAGTTCTTGCAAACTTGTCAATGAAGAAATTAAATATATATATACATGGGCGAATTGATAATAATAATAATAATAATAATAATAATAATAATAATAATAATAATAATAATAATAAATAATAATAATAATGATAATAATGATAATATCTAGGTATGTTATGAGACGGTTGAGGAGGTTCGAAGCCTAGGACGGGTGCAGCGGAGCTTTAGGCACCTAGAGCAGCAGAACTCAAACTCAACCTTGGAGCGGTTCTCAGAAAAGAAGAAGAAGCTTCTCGTCGACCTGACTGCTCTTAAAGCTGAAACTACTGAAGCTGTAAATTAAATAGTTTATGTTTGTAATATTTTTTATGTTTCATGCAGTTGAAAACTTGCATGAAACAATGTATTCTCGCTTCCGTATACGATTAATGTCAGCCAATGTTTACATCCTCGAAGAAAAGTACGAATAAAATGACTGGTTCTAACGGTAGATGTCTCTGACGAATATTAAGAGGGTTGAAGAATCAAGATGCTGAGTTCCAACCCTGGTGGTGGTTTTATCAACTATTTCTACCAGATGGTGAGTCTGAGAGCTAGCTAAAGCTGCACCCATGGATACTAACCCATCCTGAGCTCAATCCTATTTCTCCCGGTTTTTTAAAAGGAAAGCGTTGAAGTTCTCTTTTCCCTTGCAATCGGAATTCAATCTAACAAATTATAATTCAACTTCCAAAATCTTTATTTTGGCGCGAACTTGTATTTTTGCAATTCTGTCTGTGTATCCTAGAAGTAGAATCCCCGAAATAATGTGTATCGGCGGGATAGGCCGGGACGGGCCAGGAGCTCCCCACAGCCCACAGTATAACTCAGCTCGTGAGTCTGCTATAACTACCACTTCAGCCTTCCTACTGGCTCTTAGGTAATTTCGCTGTTTTCACTGCAATCCACCAGACACAAAATATCCTCGTAAAAGTTAGAATTGGGGGATTCCCTCCTAGAACCCAACCTTGACCTTGCTCCAGCTAGACAAGTGAACACTAAAGATTATTACTATATATATTAATCTAGTTAAATCTGTATTGATATGAATGGGTTGAATGTATGTGTGTTGTGTCCGGCAAGGTGGGTGGGATGGGTGTGGGACGGATTCATTGCTCCTGTAAAGAGCTTCTGCTTGACAGGTTTGGTGTGAGAAATAGCTCCTTGTCAGCTTCTATCAATCATACTCTCGTGCCGGAGAATACTTGTCATACAACCCTTTATTTAACACCGTATCCGACACCTCGTCCGCACAGCACGGGATAGCGTGTAACAAAGACATTTTCTCATGGTTAGTTGAACACAAATCACAACAGTAGTTAAATATGTCGGTGTGGGTTTACGAGGCCGTAATGTGCAGAATTATGCGCTATTTCTGCCCTTTTACGACGATTTTACGATCAATGAAAGTCGGAATTTACTATTGAGAAGTTACAACGTGTGCTGAGGGTAGTTATCTATCTATTCATTCAACATTCTTTATACTTTTATTCTATTCGAGTCATTTTCTTTAGTTTTCATTTTTTCATTTATTTTCAGCGTTATTTTCCATACGTAAGAATTTTTTGTCTTATATTGTTTTTGTTTTTAAGTCTTTTCTTGTATTCTTTCTTGTCCATTCAAATGACCAATCTTAACGCTTTTTAATTATTAAATTTTTCGATAAGTTTTAGTTTCTAATTTTTTATCTTTCCAAGTCATTTTTCTAATTTTAAGCTGGGCGGAAAAATGCATTTTTTGATTTTAAAGGAACTAAATATCTCGCCAAAAACTTTGCAACCTGAACATTTAGAATAGTGACTATTAAATCTAGCAAATTCGTAGGTCAGCTGGCAAAGATTTAAATTTTTATTTTCGCCAAATGTTTTTTTTATCAAATTGACTAGAAGTTATTTAAATTGTGTTTTAATTTCACGCGAGTTAAACATGGGTTTGCCATTACAATTTTTAATTTTTTGCCGCTGACTGGCATGGCGGTAAAAAAAATTTTTTCACGCCGCGGGGGGGGGGGGGTACTGTTATTTATGCATACGGAATCGTATAATTCCATCAAATATTCTGTAATCAGCCATCTACAATCTACATATGGTTGTTTTATATTTACAGACTTTTAAGAAAACTTTTAATTAATTTAATGTACACAAAATATAAACAGATAAAAGAGATACACAATTATATTTTTTTTTACTCAAGAAAGATTATCGAAATTTGTTTAAAAAATATTATTTTTTGAAAAGTTTGCCACAAACGCAAACTTTCTAATCTTTGCACTCCGATAGCATACACTTTTGATAGTTCAAACTAAGACTTTTTTATCTGACAGAATTCTTAGTTTGTGAATATCGAAGATCTACGACTTCGGGTTGCAAAAATATAGGGAATAAAAAATTAAGAGTTTAAGGCAAAAATTCTTTTCCTTTTCTGTTATTTTTTATTATTTAAAAATTAAATTTGACAAAATGATTGAGAGATGGGAGGACGACATTTTTGTATCTTATATTCGTCGCGTAGCTTCAGTGCTCAGCCGGTTCATTCTCCTTAAATCCTTTCTGAATTATCTGTTGGTGGACTTCCAAGTTATCCGCGGATTAAAACTTAAATCCATCAATTTAAAAGTTCACACTGTCGATTTCGAGGCCTATTGCTGAAGCTAAGCGCTATCTCAAACACTTTCTTTCTTTCTAATCGCTATATCTTTGCAACCCGAGGCTTATCCCTTTGATACTATTAATTCTGTTTGAGCGTAAAATCTCAATTTGAAAGGTTTACAAATTAGAAAATTTTAGTTTGTCATAATAACTCATTATCAGGTTACATATTTGAAATTCACAACATTTTGTTATTCTTATTAACAATATTAATATTTTGTTATTCTTAATAACATTATTAATATTTTTTTATTCTTAATAACAATATTAATTTATTTTGTTATTTTTAATAACAATATTAATATTTTGTTATTCTTAATAACAATATAAATATTTTGTTATTCGTAATAATAATATTAATATTTTGTTATTGTTATAACAAGAATATATCCACGGGACCAGAAATAATTAATATCTAGAAGTAGTTGAACTTAATAGACAAAGTTGAGCCCATTTTCTTAAGGACCGGTTCAAGAAATGTGGTTTAACTTATTCTACGTGTAGTTCAACTACTACTTGATATTTATTACTGGTATACGAGACTATATATATAAAGTTTATGTCTAGATTTTAACTAATTAAACTGATGTAGATCGTTATCACGTGAAAACTTATTAACGTTATTTAAAACTCAATTAAATATAATTTAGATTAGAATTTACACAATATTAAATAACCAGGATTAAAACATGGACTAGGGGTGGGGGGGGGGGGGCTCATTATATATCTCTATCTCCGGGTCCCGGGGCAGGTTTTATCCGGGTAGTGTGATTATCTTTCATCAAAACGAACCTCTCTTTAAACCTATATTTAAGCCTAGTACTTACATAACTAAAGGTTTAATCATGAACTTATATCTAAACCTATATTTAAACCTAGTATTCATATAACTTATCCATAACTAAAGGTTTAATTTTGAAACTATATTTAAACTTGATTTAAACCTAGTATTTACATAACTAAACCTAAACTAAAGGATTAATAATAAACCTTTATTTAAACCTATATTTAAACCTAGTATTTACATAACTAAACCTAAGCAAACGGTTTTATTATGAAACTTTATTTAAACCTATATTAAACATATATTTAAACCTATATTTAAACCTATATTTAAACCAAGAATTTACGAAACTGATCCTAAGCTAAATGTTTATTTATCTATACTTAATAAAATCCCTCAATTTAAGGTTTAATTATGAATCTATATTTAAACCTGAAGATAAACCTAGTTTTGAATGAAAAATAGGTTTAATTCTAATACAAGCCTGAATACGAATATTCTGTTTGAATTTACGAGAAAACTGAAATCCCTGCCACTTATTTATTGTTTTAAGTTTTCAGAATATTATACAATTGAAAATCTTGCATCTCTGTACAAAATTGTACCAAATTGTACTAAATTGTACCAAATTGTACCAAATTGTACCAAATTGTACCAAATTGTACCAAATAAGGTTTCTTTTGAAAAAAGTTTTTTTTTTCAACCTGATTCGTTTTTTCCAAGCAGTTCTATTTTTATCTACACTATTTCTTTTATCAAACCTGTTTCCTTTTTATCAAACCTGTTTCCTTTTTATCAAACCTGTTTTCTGTATAACAAACCTGTTTCATTTTATCAAACCTGTTTTCTGTATAACAAACCTGTTTCATTTTATAAACCTGTTTTCTGTATAACAAACCTTTTTATCAAACCTGTTTTCTGTATAACAAACCTGTTTACTTTTTATCAAACCTGTTTTCTGTATAACAAACCTGTAAACTATTTTTATCCAACCTGTATTCCTTTTTATCTAAGCTGTTATCTTTTTATCGAACCTATTTTCATTAACAAACCTTTATCCTTTTTATCAAATCTCTTTTCTTTATACCAAACCTGTGAATTATTTTTATTCAACCTGTATCCTTTTATTTAACCTGTTATATTTTTATCCAACCTCTTATCTTTATCATTAAACCAGTTATCCTTTTATCCAACCTGTTTTGGTTTTATCCAACCTGTTTTCTTTTATCGATCCTGTTTTCTTTTTATCCAACCTGTTTTCTTTTATCCAACCTGTTTTCTTTTATCCAACCTGTTTTCTTTTATCCAACCTGTTTTCTTTTATCCAACCTGTTTTCTTTTATCCAACCTGTTTTTTTATCGAAAATGTATTCTTTTTATCCAACCTCTTATCTATTGATTTATATTCTATTATATTTCTATCGAACCTATTTTCTTTTTTTGTCCAAATTTTTAGTTTTTTATTCTGAAGACAAATTTTAATAGTTTCCTTGTTTCCCTTGTTTCTGCCTTTTCTTTTGCAAAACCGCAATAGCGCTGGTGGCTTGGAAGAGGGGAGGAGAGGGGGGGGGGAGGAGGGTGTAGATCCCCTTAGTGCTTAGCTTTTCCCAGTTGCAAAAATTTGAAGAAATCTCCGTCAAAACCATACTTTCTCATCAAACCAACCTCCATTAAATGAGCTTGTAATAAATTATTTCAAATCCTACAAGTAAAATTTTATAATTTAATAATTCGTAGTGTAGTGTAGTGTAGTGTAGTGTAGTGTAGTGTAGTGTAGTGTAGTGTAGTGTAGTGTAGTGTAGTGTAGTGTAGTGAAGCGTGTTGTTGATGAGCTCTTATAGGTCATTGAAGGCAGTAAGCCTTTCATGCCGGGAAAATATGAAGAAAATCCACTAAACCCGATTTTGCAATCTACACACTGTGTACACTGTACAGATTGTTTAGGGTTTAAATATTTTAGAAGAAAAATATCAGAAGCTGACTGATAAGAAAGTAATTTATTACTCTGTCTACTCATTTAGTTATTTTTATATTTTGTTACTGTAAGAACTAAAGCCTTTTGAAACCAGTTCTATCATTTAAAGCTACTATTTTTTAAAACATATTGTTAATATTATTATTTATATTCATCATAATAAAGAAGGAGTATTTAAAATGTCAGAATTATACGATGCTTTGCGCTCATCCTTCGTTTATAAACTTAATATATAACAATACCAAGTTTGCGGATTATTTTGTCTTCATTTGCTGATTTCCAATATTTTAAAAATTCAAAATTATTTTACGGCAAAATTTTTCAACTTCTATAAAGAGAAGAAAATTGCAAATTGCGTAATTGCAAATGACCTCAATGGCAATTACAACTCTAATCCTCCTAAATCCTGATCAAGTATGAAATATATATCAATGTTTAAAATTTTGAAAACTGATTATTTCTAATTGTGGTTT